ACTTTTTAGACGCCTTTCCAGACGCTCAAATCGAAGCTTTTAAAGCAGAAACGATCAAGAATAGCTTCTCGGCAACTAGTTTAGTTCCATATGACCCAAATCGAGTTATTTTAAAGCTTAATATCCAGCTCCAGACGCCCACACCACCACCATCTCAAGGAAGCCAAAGCAGCGCGTGGGAGCCTAAGACACCATCAAATTATAAGCAGCTTCAAAAGCAAGCTTCTTCAATTAAGAAGCTCTTACAAAAGCGCTCTAAGAGCCCACCAAGCCCAGTCAATTCCGCTGTAGATCAGGTGTTTAAAGCGTGCCAAATCATAATACAAAAGACAGCTTTTCTAGCTCGTGAGAACCAGCTCTTACGCGCTGGCGCGGAGAAAACAGAGCAAAAAAAAGCACGTTCTAAGCTCCAGATATCAGGTCTAGGAGGCCTATCTATCGCTGAGCTTCGAGAACTGGCTCAAAATGATCGAAATAGTCAAATTGAAGCTCCATTCGACCAGCCAACCGGTCAAGCAGAAGCACAAAAACGACGACCTACGGCGCCACCAAGATGCTCTGAGTGCAATATCCAGGGTCATAAGAGAACGCATTGTCCAAATTTGATTAAATAGCTTAGATATTTAATATTATGTTATTTCGGGTGAATTGTGCTGGTTTGAATTAATTGAAGTTGATGGGTTGATCCGCCCGACCGGGATGATCCGCTCAGTGGTGAATTACGTTAACGTATTTCACAAGCGAGCGAGACACCCGGTCGGCCGAGACACCCCATCAACTTTTGATAATTCAAATTAGTATAATTCAACCATAACCACATAATATTGAATATATAAGCTATTTAGCTAAATTTGGACAATGTGTTATCTTATGCCCCTGAATACCGCATTTAGAGCATTTTGGTGGCGCCCTAGATCGTCGTCCTTATGCTCCTGGTTGACCGGTCGGCTCACTATTTTGAGGTTCAAATCGAGCTTTTCTAGCAATTTTAGCTAGCTCTTTAAGCTTAGCGACGGATATGCCCTCTAGATGAGCTATCTAGAGCTTAGACCTTGCTTTTTTTGCTTAATTTTCTCGTTTCTAGCACGTAAAAGCTCGTTTTCTCGGGCAAGAAAAGCAGTCGATTACATCGTGATTTAGCACGCTTTTAGCACTTAATCTATAGTAGAATTCAGCGGGCTTAGAGGGCTCTTAGAGCGCTGTTTTAAGAGCTTTTTAATCGAAGAAGCTTACTTCTAGAGCTACTTATAATTCGATGGCGTCTAAGGCTCCCACGCGCTGCTTTAGCTTCCTCGAGATAGTGGTGGTGTAGGCGTCCAGAGCTAAATATTGAGCTTTGAAATAACCCGATTTAGATTATATAGGACTAAGCTAGTTGCTAAGAAGCTATTTCTGATTGTTTCTGCTTTGAAAGCCTCGATTCGAGCGGTCGGAAAAGCGTTAAGAAAGTCTAATTTATCGATATGATTTTAACCCGTCCGCATAACGTTTTCAATGTATTTCCCATACGCACGCTTTAAGATAGCAAAACAACCTATATCAAGAGGTTATAAAAGATATGAAGAGTGCGCTAGCATGCAAATTAGAATCACATCGTTTTAATAGCAAATTTCGTCGAATTTTGGAGTTAAATGGCTTCTATGACCATCGAGAACTAGAAGTCGATATTTCCCCTTTATCCTCGAGAAAGTTAATAGAAGAAAGATCTTTTAAAGCTAACGAAGTCTAATCTCGTCTAAGGTCCATCCATTATCGCTAACCTCGAATTACCAGTGATCTAGAAGCCCCGTAGTCCAAGCTTCGTTAAAGAGTTTAGCTTTAAAGATCACCATCGGAGGAAGGCTATATCCAGACGCGCCTGTACACTCAATCGAGGTCACCCACTCACGATTTCTAGGTTATAAAACCGAGCGTCGACTATAATATTCTACTCTCGTAACAACTTTTGCGGTCGCGGTTAAGCCCATCGCGAAGCCTATCTCATCAAAGTTATATATATCATCTTCGAGGATCCCGTGCTTAGATATTGTTTTTTGAACTAGGTTAAACCATTCTTTAATGATTTTTGGGTCCTTACACTTAGCACGCTTATAATTATAGCGTCTTAAGAACCTTATATTGAGCTCTAGGTGTCGTTTAATATAGTTCGTAGCCTAGTTCTTGCCGACGGTCTAGATCGGGGTTGTTCCACGTGTCGCGAGTAAGAGATTAGCCATTTCTTGCACCATAGAAGGTCGTGGTGCTGCTCCACGTATATCTATAGAGATCACCTATTTTTTAAGCGAATTCTCCTTAACTTCAGTTAGTTTGAACGAATTTACGCGTAATTCAACGCGGTTTTTACGTCCTTTAAGACGGTGGTGGAGCGTCGAATTGGGTATATTATATATACGTGCTGCCTCGCGAATTGATAGTTTTTCCTGCTTTTCAAAAGCTTGGATAGTAAGCAAGATACGTCCTTCTTATTGCGTTAAATTTTGACGATTTTAAGAGCGAATTAGTGGCATGGTAGGTGGTTGAAGAAGGAAGGTCTAATTAATTGACGCGTTTTGGTTGGGGTGTCTCGGCCGACCGGGTGTCTCGCTCGCTTGTGAAATACGTTAACGTAATTCACCCCCAAGCGAGCCACCCCCCTATCCGAGCCACCCCAACTAAAACGCGTCAATTAATTAGTCTCACCCTTCTTCAACCAACCACCATGCCCCTAATTCGCTCTCAAAATCGTCAAAATTTGACTCAAAAAGAGGGTCGGATTCTGCTTGCTATCCAGGCTATTAAAAAGTAGGAAAAATTAACAATTCGTCAAGTAGCGCTTATATATGATATCCCTCGCATAACGCTCCAATTCCGTCTTAATAGACGTCAAAATCACGTTGAATCACGCGTTAAAACGTTTAAATTAACTGAAATCGAGGAGAATTCGCTTAAGAAATGGATAATCTCTATGGATATACGTGGAGCGGCCCCACGACCTTCTATGGTGCAAGAAATGGCTAATCTCTTACTAGCGACACGTGGAACGACCCCGATTTAAATAGTCGGTAAAAATTAGGTCATAAAATTCGTTAAACGTCACCTAGAGCTCGTTACTAGGTTCTCAAGACGCTATAATTACGAGCGCGCTAAGTGCGAGGACCCAGAAATCATTAAAGAATGGTTTAACCTAGTTCAATAGATAATATCCGAGCATGGGATCCACGAAGATGATATATATAACTTTAATAAGACAGGCTTCGCAATGGGCTTAACCGCGACCGCAAAGGTTATAACGAGAGCTGAATATTACGGTCGGCGAGCTCGTTTACAGCCCGGGAATCGTGAATGGGTAACCTCGATTAAGTGTACAGGCGCGTCTGGATATAGCCTTCCTCCAATGGTGATATTTAAAGCCAAACTCTTTAACGAAGGTTAGACTATAGGCCTTCCAGATAACTGGCAATTCGAGGTTAGTCCAAATGGATAGACCTCGGACGAGATTGGACTTCGTTAGCTTCAAAAGATCTTTCTTCCATCAACTTTCTCGAGGATAAAGGGGAAATATCGACTTCTAGTTCTCGATGGTCATAGAAGCCATTTAACTCCAAAATTCGACGAAATTTGCTATCAAAACGACGTGATTCCAATTTACATGCCAGCGCACTCTTCACATCTTTTACAACCTCTTGATATAGGTTGTTTTGCTGTCTTAAAGCGTGCGTATGGGAAATGCGTTGAAAACGTTATGCGGATGGGTCAAAATCATATTAATAAATTGGACTTTCTTGACGCTTTTCCAATCGCTCGAAACGAGGCTTTTAAAGCAGAAACGATCAGAAATAGCTTCTCAGCAACTGGATTAGTCCCATATAATCCAAATCGAGTGATTTCAAAGCTTGATATTCGACTTCGTACGCCTACCCCACCACTATCTCGAGGAAGCGAAAGCAGCGCATGGGAGCCTAAGACACCATTGAATTATAAGCAGCTCCAGAAGCAAGCTTCCTCGATTAAAAAGCTCTTAAATCAACGCTCTAGGAGCCCTCCAAGTCCATTGAATTCCGCTATAGATCAGGTGCTAAAAGCTTGTCAAATCACGATGCAATCAACCGCTTTTCTTGCTCGAGAAAACGAGCTTTTACGTGCTGGAAACGAGAAAATTAAGTAAAAAAAAGCAACGTCTAAGCTCCAGATAGCTCATCCAGAGGGTGTATCCGTCGCTGAGCTTAAAGAGCTAGCAAAAATTGCTAGAAAAGCTCGATTTGAACCTCAAAATAGTGAGCCGACCGGTCAACCAGGAGCACAAGGACGACGATCTAGGGCGCCACCAAAATGCTCTAAATGCGGTATTCAGGGGCATAAGATAACACATTGTCCAAATTTAGCTAAATAGCTTATATATTTAATATTACGTTGTTTTGGTTGAATTACGTTAATTTGAATTATCGAAAGTTGATGGGGTGGCTCGGATGGGGGGTGGCTCGCTTGGGGGTGAATTACGTTAGGTGAGATGATGACATAATAAATAAAATATCTAGCCCCAAGCCCTATTACCTATTTAGGTATCCATCCCATATCTTCCAAGGTCACCTGACGTTTCTCATCGACCTGAATCCTGCTAAACTCGCTGATCAAGCTCTCAACCTGACGAATATGATCCAGTGTGCTCTTTTCCTTACTCCCAACCCATAGCAATATATCCTGGAGATAACCCAATACATCAGAATTAGACGGAAGCTCAGGTGGGGGCCCATTTTCGTCAATATCTTGTATTTCTGAGCGAGAAAGCATATTTGCCCTGCAAACCGTCTCATGTAAAATTCCTAGAAAGATGTACTACTCCTAGACCTACGGGCGGCATCTCAGCTGTAACCTTTGGACCACGGCATTATTGGCATTGCTATCTATTGATGAGGCCCCAGGCCTTTGAAATTGGTGCTTGACTTGGTACTATGAAGAGTCGATTAGGGCGAAACTGCTCGAATCATCCGGTATACGTTAATCACAATTCTCTGAAATGGACTTCATTTTGCAGTGAAGGACATACCGTGAGGCCCAGGTTTAGCAGATGCCTGCTTAGCAGTGTGTAAGAGGCCTGGGGCTAGCCCATTCTGTTCCTCAGCAACTGATCCTTCAGAATATCGTGCAATTCTGAAATGCAATCATCAGCGATTGAACCCTTCATCATTGAAACATGAAGTGACTTACAATGACAACTCGGACTGCAACGTCTCGTGCCGGAACGCTTCACGAATCTCCGGTACATTGCTTTTGGCGACATTGTTGCCTGCAAATCCTGGAAGGTTGCAATTTGAGCCTAGCCACCGCTTCTTCAAGGAAAGTTCAAATCCACTCTGGATGACAGAGTGCTTGGCTAATTCACACATGTCAACGGCGCTGAACTTATAAATTTGAGCCGCCACCGAATACTCCTCAATGAGAGGCTCTTTCGTGAATGCAAACTGTAGCGGATCGTCGGTTGATAATGATACATTGAGTCCACGCTTGAAAAAGCTGGCGCAGGGGTTCTTGTCGTAGGTTAGAAACAGAGCATTGTTGCTGAGGGGTGACATGGCGATGCCGATCTGGTCCAGGTAATACAGGTACTGCAGCAAAGGTACTTTACGCAGCAAAATACCATGGCTGATACTGTGGCAGCAAAGGAATCCAACGGCAAGGTGATCTGGATCACCCGCCTCTCCACAATGGGGTCGCAGGACAAACGTATTGAACCCCCGCCGTTGTCGCCAGTGGTTGAGGGAGGCGATATTAGCAAACATGAAGTAGATCCAGTAGGTATATGGGGGGTTCTGTTTGGTGTTCCAATCCCGCGGGATAGGGTATTTTCGGTACAACCGACGCTCGGCCTTGCTCTCATCGTCGACGCTGTCGAAGCCCACCACACGCTGAAGAAAAACATGAAGTTTAGGGTGGCTGGATGGATCCTTGGTCACTTCAAATAGTGGCTGGAAGACATTGGCAATGACTTGCTCAAAGTTCTCCATCATTCCACTGGACTTGTATACATCATATAGCCGGGGGACCTGGATCAGCCAGCGAACATTGGGGGAAAACAATTTGTTGTCTACCACCCAGGCGGCGAGCTTGTCCCATTCATCGGCAGATCGCCCGTATATTGAAATACGCCATTCAACCATTTGATACTTGCTGGACTCCAAGTCGGAGATGACTTCCTTGGTGATTTCTGCCAGGTAGCGGCCTTTGATGTAATTATCGGTCTTGAGAAATATCTCACGAAGACGGGACTCGCCCACGGGGTTGTATTTGAGATTGAATTTGTCAAACCGATGGAAGGAATCAGTATGTGCCTATATGCTGTTAGTGACGCTCCCAACTGACGCAAGCCAGTCAGGACTTACATGCATGTCTAACGTATCGATGCTGAGGTCATAAGCCGTCAGGTTGATACTCTCGAAAACCTCCCGGAGGGTGAGATGCTTGCCATCTCGAAAGAGGACGACTTCATCGGGAGATTTTCGCATCTTGCTTTTGATGAAACGCAGAAGATGTTTCTGGTTCATGCAAGCCGAATGGTGAACGTGAGTGTCCACCTTGCGCACGTTGTAGAAGTCGCGATGTGGTACCTTCTTGCTGTCTGCGATCTCCTGATACTCATTCAGGAGCGTGTAGAGTTGGAATTTGCCTTCAAGATACGAGAGGCGCTTGAAAGCAAAGCTTTTGGCTGGCCCCTCAGAGGAGACATCTACGACTGCGTCAAGGTCCATGTAGAAATCACGAAGGGATGGAATCTGGACTATCGGTTCGTGCCGATCTGCTGCTGCTTCCGACTCAAAAACCTGGTAGACGCTATTGCTATCCATACGATAGGTCCAGGAGGACTCGCCAGGTAGCGGAGTCAGTTCGTCCATATCAAAGTCTTCACCTATATCTTGCCCCATCTTCCTCTTCTTCGCGTTTAGATCGGCCGGCCCCCCAACACTTCCAGGCTGATATTCTTTTCCTTCGTCCCAGGCAGGCTCAGGGGGTGGGGGGTAGATTTCCCAATCAGGGCGATCCCTGGGATCATCACCGGGTCTCTGTAGCGACAGCGCTAGGTATTTAGCACGTCGATCCAGGAGGCCCTTGATTTTGCGATAGACGGCATGCAATTCAGAAGTGATAGCGTCTCCGCCAGGCCCCTGAGAGACGATTCCTAGACCAGCTCCATGGGAGTTTTCTCCACTCGACAAGTAAGGCCCTTGACCATGTGTTATCCCCACGGGTCCCGCGTGATTCTGACTCGAGTGGTCGGCCAGCTGGCTACTATGGATCGCCTCATCGGCAACATGATCTGCGCTGGAATCCAGGTCCCAGTCTGACTCCACGACCATGGAATCCTTGCCTGTCGGGTGGCTCTTGTGCCGGGGACTAACCTCAGCGGCCATTGCTAGAATGTCGTCTTGGGAATCGCCCGTCGGGCGCCACGAAGGCACTGGACTCACCGGTCCTGTGGTTTCACCACTTTTGGACGCAAGCTGGTGGTGCTGATAGAATAGTTTCGCCTCCGCGTGGCTCAATGATTTCTCGTAGGCATAGTCGTAGGTGGCAGTTTTCTGCTGTTGATCCCGGGGTAGAATGTCAGCTGATACTTTGGCATCCGGGTCTTCTAGAGCGGGGGAGCTCGCAGTTGTGTGATCGAAGTCTGGCGAGGCCAGCGGCTCGCCCTCGAAAGATAGGCTGGCATTCCGATTGGGAATGTGACCGAGTTCGTCGGACTCGGAAGATCCCATGACTTTGGAGTCAGGTTTGTGGTACACCGCAGATGGGGAAGGAAAAGAGGCTGAGGGCCACAACAAGGGGAGGGAATACACGCAAGAGATTCTGTTTTAGAGAAAAGTAAATAGAGAGGAGAGTAGGATTGATGAATTCCTATTTCATAATGAAGAGAAGGGAAAGGAGATCTCCAGATTTCTTCGAAACATGTAAGTGAGGGGGAGCAAGAAAAAAAAAATACATGTAAGCCACAGCTTCAAGGTCGGTTCCACTTCTCGGTGAGTCAACCATGGGATACTCTGTGTCATGTATGATACACCACACTCATTCATATGTATATTCAAATCGAAGTTTCATGGACGAGGTGAACTTGTTAGCTAATGTGCCCTTTATAGCTACCCTGGACCCGAGCAATACAGTATATATTCTAGTTGGTCTAGAATGTCTCGGTCCTTCACATGCAGAGCTATAGTGGATCTCTCTTGTTGTAGCGATAACTAGAGACCATAGATGGATACAGTAGTCAGAAGGAGATCCTTTTATTAGTTGTATGAATCGATCTATTTATATCCATAAGCTATCTTAGTTCGAGCTAGTGACGTGGATATCTGAATTACTTAGTCATCGCGTTGTTGGGTCTTGAAGCTTGGAATTCCTCTTGGTTCTGCTATGGAGTATAGGAAAGTTGCATCTGATCCAGAGTGAGATGCTATTATCATCTGATTTGGTGATCGTGATCGCGATCATGGATATCATTTAGATTCATATGCAATTGGTGTAGAAACTTGATTATCTAACCTAATGTGTCAACCTAAATAGTGATACCCTCGTTGCCTATAGCACTTCCCTCCCGCAAGTTTCCCCTCTCTTCCCTGCTTTACCACTCCTGCCCTCTCCACTACTTGTACAAAACATACACCATCAAATTGACCACCCTTGACATCTACCGAGGCATTGTGGTCTCATCAAACTGATAACTGCGGATCTTTCAATAGCTTCGCCTCCCTCCGCCCCTTTCTTCCCTCCGCCCTCCACCCCACCAATCTTCTTCCAACCTCGTGCAGCATTGCTTACTCTCTTACCTCGTTTTGACCCCCCCACCATGGCATCTCTCAATCTGTCGGCTAACGGGCCTTCGATATCGAAGAGCTATCAATCGGTTGTGAACTCAATCCCTCCCAAGAATGGCTCACCGACATATGGCCAATGGGCCGTCTTCTCCGTCTCAACCCCACTGGTCAATGCCTTCCAACAGGATTCCGGGAACAAGGAAAGTGTGCTAAAGGTTCAAAACACTGGTGGTTAGACATCCTCTTCTCACGTAAATCTGGAACTTGCTCACAAATTCTCTGCAGAGGGTGAATTACTCGATCTCATCGATGAATTCTCCGAAGGTCGTGTACAATTCGCCTACGTCAAGGTGACCGACCCTAACACTGGCTTGCCAAAGAACGTCCTTATTGCCTGGTGTGGTGAAGGTGTCCCCGAGAGAACCAAGGGCTATTTTACCAGTCACTTAGCCAGTGTATCAAAGTTCCTACATGTGCGAGAGACTCCCCCTTCCCCCCTAATCTACCCCACACAGTTGAGCTGATCGCTGGTAATTCACGCTAGGGATATCACGTTCAGATTACAGCACGAGCGGACGGTCATCTTTCCCCGGAGGGCATTGTCCAACGAGTGGCAGACTCGTCTGGCTCAAAGTATTCACCGGAATCGCAAGCACCGGCTCCAACGCCGGCACCTCGGCCTCCGGTCGCTAGCAAGCCGGTTTTCACTCCAACCCGCTCAGGGGGCATCGCCTCAGTACCAGCCCCGGCACTGCGCCCGAAGCCATCGGCAGCTGTGGATGATGACGGCTGGGGTGCAGATGCACCCCCGGTCACCCGAACCCAACTGGAAAAGGTTCAGCCCGCATATCAGCCCACCAAGGTGAACCTGCAACAGCTCAAAACAGATAACCAGTCCCCCGCATCCCGACCGCCTGTTTCGGCCCCTGAAGAAGACAGAGGTAACGTAGTCCGCGGTGCTTACCAACCGGTCGGTAAGGTCGATATTGCTGCCATCCGGCGCCAGGCCGCAGAATCCGGCCAGCTGAAAGACGATCGTCCGGCTCCTGTCAAAGGATCCTATGAACCGGTAGGCAAAGTAGACATCGCCGCGATTCGTGCTCGATCGCAAAAGCCCGACGGTGTGAATGATGATGCTTCAGCCTCGGGTTCCGTTCCTCGCAACGAGCCCACCACGCTCCCTGAACGACCGGCGGTCAATCAGGAGGCGGAGCGTCTGACAAATCTGCCTAAGCCCAAGGTTGCGAACAAATTTGGCTCTAGTCCGTCTTTCCCCGGCACTAAACCACCCCTGCCCACCAGCTTTGGAGCATCATCGACCACCCCGAATGTCCAGGTCGGGAGCGCCAGTCGAACCTTTGCGGACCAGGGAGGCAAAACTCCCGCTCAATTGTGGGCAGAACGGAAGGCCAAGGAGCGCGACGTTGGACCGGCAGGCGACGCTCTGCCTCAACGGCCGATTCAGAGCCAGACAAGTGGCCACAGCGAATGGAAGAGCGGATACACGGGTAAATCGTGGGCACCTGTCCAGACCGTTCAGGAGAAGTCGGTCCCTGAGACCGCGGATGTGAGGGCTTCTGACCCGCAGGATGCGGAGACAGTCCAACCGTCCACCCATATTCCGGACGTGCGCGATCAGTTCGCCCAGCCACCTGCTCAATCGATCGCAGCTGAGGTACCTCCTTCTGTGCCCCAGGCCAGTCGCCCGGTTCCCGTTCCTGGTTTGCCCTCGGGTCCCATCGAGCCGGAAGAGGTACATGACATTCAGCAAGAGCTTCCTACCCCACCTCCCCAGCCTCGCTCTCCCACCCCTCCGACTCCTCCAGTGCGTGATAGCTCCCCCATCCGCGTGGCGATTCCCGTGGGGCGCGGGGTGACCGACGCGCACGAGGAGCAGCACTCTCCGCCTCCAGCTTTGCCTGTGCAAAGCCTCCAAGAGACTGTGCCAGACGAGAAGGATCTCGAGGATGAATCTCATGACCTGGGCCGGGCTGCGGCTGAAGCCACTGTGCCTGATCAGCAACACCAGAGCGAATTGCGCGCTGTGGTGCAGTATGATTATGAGAAGGCTGAAGACAACGAGATTGAACTCCGTGAAGGCGAATACGTCACTGACATTGAGATGGTCGACGACGATTGGTGGCTGGGAGTAAACGCTCAGGGCGAACGTGGCCTGTTTCCTGGAAACTACGTTGAAATCGTGGATGGTGACGCTCCCGCTTCTCATCCCCATGAACAAGCCGCAGAGCCTGAGCCTGAACCCATTCCAGAGCCCGTCCCAGAGCCCATTCCTGCCCCTGTTGCGGCCCCCGAGCACTCTTCTGCTGCTGAAACCCATAGCCCGACTGCATCGGCACTCTATGACTACGAGGCTGCAGAAGACAATGAACTCAGCTTCCCAGAGGGTGCTACTATATTGAATGTAGTAAGTAGTATCTTGCCCGAGTACGAAACCCTATATTTGCTAACTACGAATATAGGAATTCCCCGACGATGACTGGTGGCTTGGTGAGTATAAGGGGGCCCGGGGCTTATTCCCGGCCAATTATGTACAGTTGAATGAGTAAAACATGGAAGTCCCCAAATCATGTGTGTGTAAATAGCTCCCTTGCTCACTATCAGCTTCTGTCGTTCATTCTTTTCCATCGCCATTATATGCGATACGCCCCAAATGTATTTCCAACTCAAGTCAATTTCAAATGACACTGCTATCATGATGGTGGATACAATAGCCACTTTCGCAAATTCTGCTCTTTTATTTATTCTCTGCAGATCGCCTGTAGGTCCATAGTATACTGTAGGTACAGAGAATGTCCATATCAAATTGAAAGACGTCATGAGCATTACATAACCCGCCATCAGTCAGCATCACGTGCCTCAAAAAGCGGCATAAACAAGTGTGAGACTCCGAGGTGTGTCCGTCCACGCGCGAGGGATATTCGTTTGTAAACTTCCTGGCAGTTTGATCCTGCCGATACCTCTCACCCTTTGGTATCTGTTGCTGAGACTTGGGTGTCGGCCTTAGATCATCCCCCCAACCCCTTTCCCACACACATATACCAAAATGGCGTCGCTAGGTGAGGATCTGCTTGTCACTGTGAACAAGCTCCAGGACCTGGTGTTCAACACTATTGGAAATGACTCCCTTGATTTGCCTCAGATTGTGAGTGAAGCCGATGAAGAAGTTGTTTTGGATGTGGACTTGGAACTAATTACCTTGGATTCAGGTCGTTGTCGGCTCCCAATCATCGGGCAAGTCGTCAGTACTGGAGAACATTGTTGGACGAGACTTCTTACCACGCGGCAGCGGCATCGTTACTCGCCGTCCCTTGATTCTGCAACTTATCAACATCCCTAGCGAGCGTGAAGACCTGCCCGATCACGATGAGGTCCATGTTCCGCACACTGCAGCCAGTGTCGCCGGCCAGCACGAATGGGCTGAATTCCACCACCAGCCCGGCCGCAAATTCGAGGATTTTGCGTCTGTCAAGCAGGAAATTGAAGCTGAGACGGCACGGATTGCAGGAAGCAACAAGGGAATCAATCGGCAGCCAATCAACCTCAAGATATTCTCCCCCCATGTCCTCAATTTGACCCTGGTAGACTTGCCAGGCTTGACCAAAGTGCCGATTGGCGATCAACCTTCCGACATTGAAAAACAGACTCGGACTCTCATCTTAGAATACATCGCCAAACCGAATAGCATAATCCTTGCAGTATCACCGGCCAACGTGGACCTGGTCAATTCGGAAGCATTGAAGCTGGCGCGCCAGGTGGACCCCATGGGCCGCAGGACAATTGGAGTTTTGTCCAAGCTGGATCTCATGGATCACGGGACTAATGCTATGGACATCTTGTCTGGCCGGGTTTACCCTCTGAAATTGGGTTTTATCGGCGTGGTCAATCGATCGCAACAGGATATCCAGTCGGGCAAGTCGCTTGCCGATGCTTTGCGTGCCGAAGCAGACTTCTTCCGCCACCACCCGGCATACCGCAACATGGCCAACCGGTGTGGTACTCAGTTCTTGGCCAAGACCTTGAATTCCACCCTCATGACCCATATTCGAGACCGGTTGCCCGACATTAAAGCTCGTCTGAACACCTTGATGGGCCAAACCCAACAAGAGTTGGCTAGCTACGGCAACAAACAATTTAGTGGCAAGGAGCATCGGGGATCCTTGATTTTGCAGCTTATGACTCGCTTTGCCTCTTCCTTCATCTCGTCCATCGACGGAACATCCTCTGAAATATCCACCAAGGAGCTTTGTGGCGGTGCGCGAATCTACTACATTTTCAACGAGGTCTTTGGCAACTCTCTGGAGACAATTGACCCTACACACAACTTGACAGTTTCGGATATTAGAACGGCCATCCGCAACTCAACGGGTCCTCGACCCAGTCTCTTTGTGCCAGAGCTCGCATTCGATCTCTTAGTTAAGCCGCAGATTAAGTTGCTCGAGGCGCCCTCCCAACGCTGTGTGGAATTGGTCTACGAAGAGCTGATCAAGATTTGCCATACCTGTGGCTCGCAAGAGCTTTTGCGCTTTCCTCGCCTGCAGGGCAAGCTGATTGAAGTGGTATCGGATCTTCTTCGTGAACGCCTGGGACCATGCTCCAGCTATGTAGAGTCTTTGATTTCCATTCAAAGGGCCTACATTAATACCAACCACCCCAACTTCCCTGGCGCTGCAGCTGCCATGCAGTCGATCATTCAGAATAGGCAAGAAGAGGAGCGGAAGGCTATCCTGGCTGAGGAGAAGAGGAAACGAGAAAAGAGACGCCAGAAGGAGCTCGGCGCGGCCAATGGCACTGTTGGCATGCCAGAGGACGAGGAAGCCCAGTCGGAATCCAAACCACACAATCTGCCCCTTCGAAACCATTCTACCAAAGGCACACGTAGCATGTCTCCCAATGTGGGCCGCAACGCGGAGAATGGCATCACAGCCACTCTAAATGGCGCCCACGCAAGTCAATCGGCCGGTTTCGGTGGCTCGCACACTACCCGTGATTCCTTCCTGAACTACTTCTTCGGCAAGGAAGGCGTTCAAAATCCGGCTTCGCCACCCCAGCAGCTGAATCGAGTTGCCCACATGAGTGAGCCTAGTATCAGTCAGAGCATCCGCCGCGCAGAGGTTCGGTCACCGGTGTCAGAGGAGTACACCGCTCCTTCTGAGTATGGAGGTGATGTATCTGTGTTTGTGAGTCATATCAGCTCTCTCTCTCTCTCTTCCGCACGAGCTAACAACTTTCTTTCTTTCCAGCCCAATGAAAACGCAGAACCCACTCTCACTGACCGGGAGATGCTGGAGACTGAACTCATTCGTCGGCTGATTTCCTCATACTTCCATATTGTACGTGAGACTATTGCCGATCAGGTTCCCAAGACCATCATGCACTTGCTCGTCAACCACAGTAAGGATGTCGTTCAGAACCGACTGGTCAGCGAACTCTACAAGGAGGATCTGTTCGGGGAGCTGCTGTACGAGGACGATGGCATCAAGGCCGAGCGTGAGAAGTGCGAGCGGTTGCTGGATACCTACAAAGAGGCCGCGAAGATTGTGGGTGAAGTGTTATAGATATGCCAGAGGGCGTTTTGGCTTAACTTCCATAAGCTTGTTTTGAGTATGGGGATATTTTGTGTTTGAAGATGTACAATTAAACTACTTTTTTTTTTCCTTTTTCTCCTTTTCTCTCTCTCTCTCTCTCTCATTCTTGTGGAGATGGAAATCGGATGCACATGCTCGTCACATATCTACTCTCGTCCCTTGAAGCCCTAACCTTTCTGATCAATGCCCTGCTGCCGTACGTTCCAATGTCGAGGCTTAGAAATACCCCTTGACTCCATCTATGTATGATTGCCTGACCATTCACTCCCGTGTTGGGTATCCATCTGGTTACAGTATGTCTTGACTACTACATACATCTGAGGCTCGAGAGAAACGCAAAGTATGAAATCCTGGTCTCATGTCCAAACTCATAGGGAAAGAAGGCCGAAAGTTCACTCCCAATTGATTGTCTCCAAATCTTCCTGTTAGACTGAAGAGGCCGGTTTAACCTAGTATGCTTCAATCTGATTTATACATTTCTTGTCGCCTCACTGGACCTTTTTGGTGGCCACCTTCCGCAGCCGTGCTCCTTCAAATCCATATAATCCTCCCCCCAAGAAAACTAAGATAGCGCCGATCAAAACCCCAGATCCTAAGTGGTTTCCAAATAGATAGATCGACAGTAAGAGTGATACGAGCTTGCGGATGTTGAGCACCACGGTAACTGTTAACGAGGAGGATTTGGCCGACAGCAGGTGTACGCCTCGGATGCACAAGTACTGGGTCAATGCATTCATCATCAGATAAGCCACTTGAACCGGAAGCTGATCTAGCAGCGATTGGATCGATGCATAATGCAGGATGACCGTCGACAGTACTGATGGTGTCGTGTTGCTAGAAAGATCAGAAAGAGCTGGGGCTGACCCATCAGAGATCTTCGATAGGAACGAGGGCGAGGACGCCACCACTTGCCACTGTGATGACAATTGCGAGGTGCTGGTTATAAACAAAGGCAGAGAAAGGGTATGGGAGTAGAACAAGGCCTCCTTCCAGTGATCACGACCATAGGTTGCATACAGTCGGTCGGCATAGATCCCCTGGAAGGCCGACAGAACCATGGCTAATGCCAGAATGGTGAAACCAATCGTGGTGGTCATGACAGCCGCGTCCAACTCGGGTGTCATCTCCAAGTTCTGACCTTTGGCCTGTGCATCAGCCAGGGCAGCGGCCACCACTCCTGCTGTCAGCATGACCACTGCGAGGATCTGGCCCGAAGAATACCTTCTACCATTGAATATGTATCCCACAATCATGGAAGCGACAGGACCCCCGGACCGGATGATGATATGAAGAGGCACGGAGATTTTGTATGCGAAAGCCCAATTGTTCAACATATTCACCGAGACAAAAAATGCAGTATAAATCAGCCATGATCGGAGTGGGATCGCTCGGGGGCTGAGGAACAGGTTTCGGGGCCCCGCAGAGAAGGAAAGGAAATGGGGAAGGGTGAAGATGGCACATAGAACGAATTGTGCGAAAGTGATCAGGGGGCCTGTATCGATTATTGGTATCCAAATATATGTAACGGGATACAAGGGAGCTGACCTGCGGTAGACTGTTCTCTGCAGCCAGGATTAGTGTCCTCCAAGGTGATAAGTGCTCGAGTCACCGTATAAATGTAAAAACTTACTTGATAATGGCCTCGAGTGTGAACACCTATGTTCAATGTTAGATACATTGTCTCTTCGTTGACATACCCCGATAGACAAATTCCAAAGGTCACTGTTCACTCACATTTGCACAACAACCACCAAAGATGAGCGAGACCATCAGGAGCATGTTGGCCCAGTTGGGCACCGCAGCATGCGCTGCGGCAGCAATTAAGCCAGCATCCTTCAACTTGCCAGACTCCGCAGACCGATGGACTTGCTCGGCAGATGAGGCTGTCACAGTGTGCTTAGTAGCTTCGACTTTAGAGACGTTGGCTTTGTAGGTATCGGGTCTCTGTCTCAAGCTGTCGCCATCATGAATCATCCTGGTTTGTTGATGCCGAAGTGTGCGGGGAAAATGTTGACCCCTAGCGAGTAAGTCGTATGGCGCTGCGATATGGGGGATTGGGTGGGGGTTTCTTCTTATTTTTTTTTTTTTTTTTATTTTTTTTTTTTGCAATTGGATCCTTGTGGTCTCCACTGTTCAGACTTGTTCCGGGGGAAAGGTAATGACGGTAAGGTGGTATTACAATGTAGAAAGAAGCGAAGGAAAGTTGGAGAAGCGTGTGGATCCCGTGTTGATAACGACTCTTATCGGTGCTTTCTCCGCTCTAAACAATTTCTACATCCGAACTCAATCATCCACTATATCATCGTCGCTAAGGTATAGCTTTTCTTCTTTTTGGGGTATTCGAGGCCCAGATGGATTGCTGTGTTGGAGTGGCTGTGATGCCGAGGGCAGTTCATCTTCATCAACGTCGTCGAACCGACTCCTTCGGATCCCCGTGATCTGGTTCAATTGCCTGGATTCAGGCTCAGTGTACCGGATCTGAGCCATGTATGGTAATTGATGAAGTATCGCATCGGGACGTGACAGCATTGTCACCGTAGAAGCTGGAGAATGGTCTGCACCAGAAGGGCCGTGATGACCGACCCGGAGACTTCGCCAGGACCTAACACCTATGGATTCGGTGGATTCGGTAGACCTCATGCCGTGTGACAGAAGATGTGGATCGCCAAAGGGATCCAACATTTGTGTCATCCATGAATCCACGAGACCTTCAATCTCCTCGGACTTTCTCCATAGCCGCAAAGAGGATGGATACAGCATCTTATGTGCATCACCCGCACGACCTCTGCCGTCACCAGTGGCCAGTCGGCGGTTGACAGGATAGGGCAGACCAAATAGCAGCCCGCGTGCGGCGACCTGGAAACTGATCTCATCCTGTCGCAGCTTATCAATTCCAGCGCTTATGGGTACCATACCTGCCCCCATGCCACTTCGCGCGCCCTGAGTAGGCCGTCGGTCAGTACTGAGGATATCGCTATCAGATAATGCCTCGATGCATGCATTGAGGCTGTCAGTGAAAGAGACTCCATCACAGGAGGGCGGGTAATTCTCATGAAGACCACATATAAATGTGGTGATGTCTGTCCCGGTCTCATCGGCCAATGCATCTACTGCCACCTGTGAGACCTTAGGTCGGCGATGTTGAGATAAATAGTCCGGTGGTGAAGGAAGAACCACTGTACCGTTGGGTACAAGACTTGAATCAAGGCGTTTGTTGTATAAAATCTTGCCCACAGCATGAAATAGCCCCAAGCTCGCCTCTCTTTGCGATATCATTTTGAGAGACTCCTCCTCCATTGGGGTCAATGTTGTGTGCCCGCGAGACCTTCTGCCTCTAGTTTTGGTGAGAGTGCCACTCCATTTTCCGGCATCGTCGCCTTTTAAGCATAGAAACTCCAGAGAAGATACGGCACTGCGGACATCTCCAATCTCGGAGATCGTTTCGAGAACGATCGGACCAGGGATTCGGGCACGCTTTGAGCTGCGGGCTTCTTTCTCCAGGATCAAGTTCAAGGCCTTTTGCATGAAAGTCGGGGCGATACTATTGAAGTCTATTATTTTCGTGCTGGGGTGGTTAAACAATGCTGGCCCGAGTAATCGATGGACCGTGAAGTTATCTGATATCGACGACGCTGAGCCCAATAAGGTCTCCGACACAACCATCACAATCGGTGGGTGTATCTCCAATGGATGATCTGCAGCGGCCGCGAAATAGCGCTGGAGGGATGTCCGAAAGGCAGCCAGGCCAGAGTTTCGACTTGTCATTGTCGGAAATTCTTCCACCAAAAGTATGCGCTGCTTTTGAGACAGCGAAGTATGGTGATCATTAACTTCGACCCTATCTTCTAGGTCAAGTCCTCCGAACCGATCCCCCCGGCCTAGGAATTCCTCAAACTGTGTGCTCACGGAGACATAATCTTGGCCTGTGAACTCAGAGACCGCGGGATTCTTCCACTCCACAATATCGAAACCCAGTGATTCAGAGAGTAGTGAGATGGTGGTCGTTTTCCCCGAGCCTGCGGGGCCTCGTAGAACCAAGAGTCTCTATTTCCTGTTAGCAAAGAAAAACGGTCTTGTGCTCCTTGGGCTGAGCGAAGGGTCATGGGGATCGCTTACCTCTCTCCCGCGCCCTGCAAATGCATCTTCCAACCATTTTCGTACATCAGCAACCTTCCTCTTATGAACGGCCAACTCGTCTATGTTTACTGGAGCGAATCGTTGAGCCCACGGACGATGGTCGACTTGTTGGCTCAGAGATTGGGGATCTGACTGCTGAGGACTATGGCTCTTGGGATCTGATGGCATGATAAATCGCTTGGTAGATAGATTAGTCTGTCGTGCTGTGGTGGCTTTGGGTTTGGATACCAACGCCCGGGTTGGGCCATTATTGGAGGCGGAGGAGGAGTTCGGATTGAAGCTAGAGTTTTGGCTAGCAATGTGTTGTGTGAATATCTCATCGTATGAATCATAGTCATCCTCTATTTCATCTGCGTCTAATGTGTCTGCGGCCGATGCCAGTGATCGCTTCCCTTCCAACTTCCGCGAGGACCATCGTTGCCCGTCTGTTGCTGGCTGGAAAAAATGGTGAAGAGACTTGGATTTGTTTGTTTTCGGGGACGACCCAGGTTTCGATGGAGAGGGCGAAGGGGAAGAGCCTCCGGGGGTATGTCGAGTCGATGGGGCTGGACTGGGACGCGCTCGTGTTGATTTGGGGTGCGACGAGAGCGCGGCGGGCTTGATAGAATCAGATGAAGCTCTCTTGAGTTCACTTCTATGGACTGATCGACGTTGTCTTTTCGGAGGACGACTGTCCATGATGGGAAAACGCGGGGAGTTGCGAAGAGGAAAAAGCGCGTCTGATAAGGTTAATGACGCCAAGGGTCCACTTTACATTTTTAAGGTCCGCGTATACAATGGATATACAAAGAAACAAGGGAACTACATATTTAAATCCTTTTAATCTCATATCTCACTAGTTTCCACTTGCAAAACAGTCCAACTCCAATTGGTGTATATCTTACACTTATGTCCAGCCATGGGTATATCGACAGGATTCCAAACCAAAACACAATCATGATGTACAATAAAACAAATTCCAGTTCTCTGGGTCCCCATTTGCTCCTGATTCATGCGCCACCAAAGACGTCATAATAATAGTCTTCGTCCAAGCCATCCCGCGTGGGCACTGGCGGAGCCTCGCCAGCAAAGGTGGCGTCGTCAAAGCGAACATTGAGTAGACGGATCTTCAGCCCATAGTTGCTGACCAGGTCAATCAGCTTATTCGTTTCCGCTGTGATTGGTTGCTGACTGAGAAGCATGAGCAGTCCGTCCAACCATTCCGAGGCCACGCTATGGGACGCTGGCCGTAGAGTCAAAAGCACCGTCTCCTTCTGTGTAGACCGACTGCCAGTCCGAGCATGACCATGGCTTTTTGATTGGCTTGCTGCCGTTGAAGGCTGTGCATAACCATGGATAGTAATCTTAGTTGAGGCTTGACGCGGAGCTGTCTTGACAGTGGATGAGGACGAGTGGTCGGGGTTGGTGGAGACGTTGGAGACAACTGAGGAGACAATGGAGAGATCAACTACAAGACCAGATTAGTATGAAAATGGGAACATAGAGTGGGTCATGGTTGGCGCTCACTCTTCTCAGGCAGAGCATCTAGCTCAGGAGCTCTGTCCCCCATCGATTTGAACTCCCCGAAATGCAGATACCGGCGATTATGCGACAGCTGAACATATTGATGTGAGGCCGTGGACCTGGTAGAGTTTGGCTCGAGCTTGGGGTTGGAGTCGAGCGTAAACCACGCGCCTTGCAACAGGCAGCGAATGCGCTGCTCTTTGACGAATTGAAGAGCTTCGTGGTGAAGTTCTTCACGCACCTGTCGCAGGTGCTGACCCCACGCATCTTCGTAAGTGAGTTCCAGGAGTTCCATCTGTAGTTCTCGCAAGCGATGATATTCAAAGTTGGCCAGCTCCTCCTCGACATCCTGGACATCCTTGGTCCGGCCAGCTCCGCCAACCACTGATTCCATGAGAATGCGAACCAGCTCCACCAACTTATCCAGATCCTCCGTCTCCGCTGCCGTTGCCTTCCACATCCGAAAAAAGGCCTGCAGCCCCGCGACATGCAATCGAGTCCAGTGGAGAAGTAGAGGCTTGAACAGTTTGTCCAAGCTGGATCGTGATTCCATAAGCATATAGTTCTTGGAATCATCCATCTCAGACTTATCCACCTCGAAATGCTCGTACAGGATGGACGTCAGTGCGAGTGATGCTCGCGCGATCGGGCACCGCTGACGCGACGGCTTCGTGGCCTGCTCGAGAAGCATTTTTTGAAACTCATCCTGATGGCTGCGAACATAGTCGGCCAGGTCCATCATGCCCAGGAAGCCCACCTCGTAGAACTCTGCGGCGGGGCTTTCTGACTCAAATCCTAATCGGCGCCATTTTTCCGGATGTTGTCGTTTTGAGCGTCGCGTATCGTCGCTATTCTCCGTAGACTCTTCCGATCCTTTTGCGGGGTTACTGGCGAGGTAGATTCCCTTAAGTGCGCGACGGTGCTCGGGCTTTTCCTGCTGCAAAGGGATGTCTCTCCACTTCCGGAGAAGCACCTTGGTGAGGGATTGGAATTCCAGGAGCGGAGGCGCGAGATCTTGGAGAGCCGAGTCTTGCATGAGCACATAGACGGCTCGAATCACGCCGAGATCCTGCAGTTTCTGAATGAATTTCGGCCACTCTGCCTCCGAATCGTAGGTAATGGAATCGCGCATGAGGGAATTAATCAATTGGAGCGCATTGGCGCATAGGGCATGATCCGCCGAAGAGAGCCGAATGACAAGCATCTCCAAGAACTGAGGATAGATCGCGATCGCTGGTTTTAGGGCACGGAAGCCAAAAATCTCCGCCTGTGATGGGTTGCCTGCGGCATGTGGATGGGAGACCACAGATACTAGGATTGACATGGCGCCTCGGAGGATATTGACAAGAGGATGGGTGACGATTAGCTCGACAATCTAGCCATTTGCGACACCATTCATTAGCGAAGGAATTGGAAGTGAGGGAGGGGGAGAGGCTCAGGTTCATTGCTTACCCGTTCGACCAATTCCTGATCAACACATTCCCATCCTTTGTCAACCTCTAGCAGCCTGGCAAAACTTGTGAGACTATAGGCCAGTGTATTGCCACTGGCATGGAGCGTCAAGTATCGCAGTCGAGTCAATCCACCCTCAATGATAAAGAGGTCGGCGAAGGACGGGTCCCCGATATTGCTCTGGAGCTTAAAGACGGCCATTTTGCGCACGGCATCCTCATCACTCCCAAGGCGCTCCACCAATTCAGGGACATTGACATTCTCCATGGTGTCCCCCTTTTAAAGAAATGATTGTGGGCCAAAGGGAGTTGGGGGAAAGAAAAAGAAGGGAAAGCGTAAAAGGCGGGTACATCAGGGGTCAAACTACTTGGGTACTGTGGGGGCATTGGGATCCGAACTATATTATTAACCAGTGAGATCTTCACCTTCATCGTGTTTATTTATGTGTATATGTTATAGGTCATACAGACTCCAGACCAATGGAAAAGGAAAGATTGTGTCAATTATTCAATTATCGCAATTCATTTCATACATCATAATCCAGGTCATGGATTTTGCAGGCTTTGTCGGCATCTATACTTCTCCATAAAATTCAAGATATCCATCGTGATCAAGACAATAAACCAAACTCCGTGCAGATGCAATGTACCACCGAGAGACAGGATGAGGATGGGATCATCCGCTGTCTTATTATGTACGAAAACAAGGAGGATCTGACCCTTTCTGGTCATCCAACAACGAGCGATGTTCCTTTCTTTTGCTTCTCGTTCTTTTTCAAAAAAGAAATGGGAGGAAATCAAGCTTGGAAACCGGCCAGACTTGAATGATCCTCCATCCAGGGACAGACAGAATATGGCAAGTGAGGATCACCGCCGCCAGCCGACATTCCAAATGACATGGGCAATATCCCGAGCAGTGTTGACCGTATCCACCACACGACCTAAGATGGTATGGTTCACGGCCTCCCCTTCGCGTTCGCCTTCTGGCTCGCCATAGGGCACGAACATACCGGAGGTGGGCAGCTGCAGTGGACGATCCGCTAGCTCATCTTCCTCTTCAGGGACGAACCAGGCCTGACGGTCCCGGTAGTGTCCAGTAAAGTCAAGGCTTGGATCTTCGTCATCGTCTAAAAGGAAGTTCGCAGACGGTGGCCGGAGAGTCTCCACGGACGGGGTTGGGGACAAGGAGGTGGAGGGAGAATGGGAGGTGGGAGACGGTGGGGAGAGCGCGGCCCAGCGATCCAGGATTGAGGGCTCACCACGGGGCTCAGGGGTGTCACCGCGGTATTTCAGGGTGGTAGACGGGAGAGGCGCGATGGTTTTACTCTCGCCGCTGAAACTATTCCGGGGAGTGCTGCAGGTGCTGATGGGTGCCTCTCCCGATATCTGACGCATCATGACCACCCCGTCATCCGAAGAGGGCTCTTCGTCAAGGGTCATCGACCAACCTTCATCAACCTTGGCTTCAACGGCGATGCATTGCACCACCTCATTGTTGAAGTGGATATGACGCCGCTCGCTTGGAGAGGTCATTCCCGAAGAAGAAGAGGTGGTCAGGGTACCCCCGAGCGAATACGTCGAACTCCCCGTGCGATGGTGGAGTTGATCCAGATCCGTGTTGGACCGAGGGAACGGAGGGCGGGCCCAGCCTTGTTCGGCTTCTTGAGCCTTGAGGATCGCCCCGGCATGTTGGAGAAGGGTGTGCTGGGATAAGGACCGCTGGAGCATGGTCTCCGAAGCGGTTTTCTTTTTCAAGATGGGTTTCGGCTCCAGATAGGAGTTGGGGGTTTCGAGGCGGCTGGGTGGCGGCGACACATCCGAGACCATAGCGTCGCTGGAGGCGGACGTTTTGAGTGGCCCGTAGAGCCAAGTGACATCACAGTCCTTTAACCTGGCAATGTCGTTAGCAGGAAGCTTTATAGGGAGGGTGACTCTTCCGACGCACCAATTCAAGGTCTCTGGGGAAATGGTCCCCAGGTTGTTCTTGGCCTTGGCCCACGTCCTCCATGAAGCGTTTTCCAGACGCACGCCATTGCTATAGTCATTCTTGCGGGCGGCGACATATCGCCACGAGGACCAAATATCCTCTTCTCGCCAGTCATGGGAGAGATAGTCTACATGTCGCGAGGGTTCATCTTCCACGGAGGTGTCGTCTGCAGCCGGGGTCCCACAGGTCCACGGGGTTCCACTTTCGGACGCGTCGCTCAGGGCATCCGAATCCTTGCGAGCCCGGCCCGACTCTCCCTCGTAGGATGGGAGGATCAAATCCTCGTCGAGCGACAGGGTGGTGGTTGGGGAAAATTGATCGATTTCGGTCGGAGAAAAGCTCGGAGAGGGAGGGAGGGAGAGTGGCGAGACAGGGGAACACTGGGTGGGATACGCATGGTGCATGGGGGATTTGGGGAAGTCGAGATAATATCGCTGTGCGGTGGGGGCGCGTAACGGATCTGGGGAAAAGGGCGAATGTTGTTCGCGGGGAACGAGCATTGCCGTCATTTCCACTTGTGATGGGTCACACGGAAAGAAAAGAAACGACAGAAAAAGTAAAAAGATTGGAAGGGGGAAGAATTAAAGAACACTCTCCATTCCTCTATATGGGGAAGAAGCAGCAGGTGGAGAAGTGGGGAGGGGAGAATGGAGGATAAAATAGAAAGATAGAGAGTTTGAGAAACAGAGATGAAGAGAATAGGAAATAGAAAATAGAAAATAGAAAATAGAGAATCGCAAGCGTACGGATAGAGGGAAAAGAGATAAAGGTCACACCAGAATAGAGTTGTCGCCACTTTAGTTTATCACATAACGACCTAGACCGATAATTCATGCAGGATTCCCCACCAAATCCGAAGTCGATCCTCTAGTGGAGAAGTCGGAGCATCGCGGGCTTCGCGGGCTTCAACAGGGTCCGACCACGACGGGACATTGACTCCTGCACACAGTGTAGGGATTTCCTAGAATCAATGATGCTATTTAAGATCAAAATCATACCGCTCAGAAGCATACCGTCACTATGATAACACAAGGGCAATCCATTCCATTATGGGCTCTGTTATTCCCTATAACACCGCATAGTATGAGGGGTTAGATCGTGCCCTAACCCTGTACAGCGTCTAGAACTTCATGGGACCGTGCGGGTTAGAGCCTACAAGTATCCTTCCGCCACCAGTCTAGCACGGACCGTGGGCCAGAGCCCATTGACTTTGCACTCCAGATAAGCGGATCGAGATGAAAAAAAGAAAACCAAGATCAATGACTCAGGGGGCTTGGAAGACAAAGACTTCACTTGGGGTATATACATCATCAGTCGATCTCAAGATAGGAAGAGCCGTGCTGGTAAATGGATTCAATACGAACCCACTCTTGACTCTCCTGTGGTTAAAGCTCCCTTCTCTACTGTATCTGCAACAATGACCTGCATACATGTCTGGATTATGGATGGCTTTGATTTGAATTAATCCTATTTTTATTTTTGCCATGCTGTTTCAAGATAGGCAATTAGCCAACGATGTCGTACTGCGTACACCCTTGTCCTTCGTCTGTGCGTGCATCCCCGAGTCCATGATTGGTCTTGAACCTAAACCCATTGTTGATGCAAAATGAGAGGGAAATCTGGGCCAGTGGTATCGCCGCATGGCTGCATGTTACCGATCTTCGGAGAGTTTAGGGCCCCAAACACTTCTCTCGCTTCCTTTTTGACGGCCTGCAAGGTGGATGGGAGTGAGTTCGGGCCCAGAATCCTCCAAAGTGCCCCCTTCCGCGAAGACCTTAGGGTTGATGCGAAAATTAATGCGAGAACCAAACCTCCCCCCCCGCCCCCCCGGGGCCCTCGTGTTCCTGATTTCTCGGGATCTCGACTTCTTCGGCTTCTTTATTGGCTGGGGAACCCACCTCACACAAAGAGATACCCGGCACGGGATGATGCACTCCGGATCCTCTCGCTGTTCCTCCCCCGGGGGGTAAGTGGATGGCGACGGGGGATCGTCACTCCTATCTTATCGGAACCGTTACTCGCTAACGGCCGTGCGGATCGATTGTGATTCGGGCGCCAATGAGCAGCTTCAATGCTGCTATCGTGCCCCTGCGAGACCTCTGGGTTTGATGCAGCTTCTCAACGGCCCGGTTCTGGCCTGCATGGCCCCAATGACAAACAGACAAGGCTACGTCGGCAAAGCCAGAGTGAACACGAAACCCATGGCAGATAACGACCCCTGGAGTAACTTTGGCACTTGACGCCACCAGAAGTGGATCGTATGCAGTGGTGATTTGGTCGCTTTGCGCCTTTGTGCCTTTGCGATGCGTTGACCCGATTACAATCTGCAGGTTAATTCTTTGTCGCCCGGACGAGTCCAGGATGACGACGAATTGAATCAATTGGCCTGATCCCTCGGATAGATTGGAATGTCCGGAGATACAGAAGCCTCTGTAGGTCTGTAGGTAACCTTGGACAGAAACCTTGTCAAACCCGGGACTTTTGACACATTGGAACCTGGAACCTGGCACTGGGAACTGGGAACTGGGAAGGTACGTGCTTTTAGTGCTTGGGGCGCAATCGTACGTAATGTAATGTACACAAATCACATGACCCGGAATTAGCGCTGCTGATGTAATCCACCTGGCCCTCGTGGAAAAAGAGCTACCGAGTGCAATCAAGGGTCGAGACCCTATCACTCTCCTCATCCCGCAAACATGGCTGAGGTGGCAGATTTAGGCCCGGTCGAGCCGCAGGCCCGCCATATCGTGTACTGTGGAGGTGAGTACCCCCGTGGTATCCCGTGTGGAGGACCTAGTTGGCTGACCGTAATAACCCCGCGCAGTGTGTACTCTACCCCCCGAGGTATGAGCTAGGATGCTTTGTTTCCCTTCCCCACCTCGGCCTCATTGACCATTTCTGGATTCAATCTCTCTAGTACTGTGGATTTGGAGGAACAGCCAAGAAATGCGAAGAATGGCTGAAGGATGAAGAGCCCGAGCTCTGGAGTCAGTTACATTCCGAAGGTATGCATTCAATGGGACTTCTTCGGAGCTCCCATGAAAACCTGGGATGAGAACGTGGCAGCCGCTAACGATTACCACCCCTGCTCGGTGGCACCAGATGCTTTGAACGCCAACTTGTCCGCCCTCTCCGTCTCCGCACAGGAGCGTGCCGCCAAAGACGCCGCTAAGAAGGAAGCCAAAGCTGCTCAGAATGAGGCGCGTGACGTCGAACGCAAGGCCGCATCGAAGGTCATCATCAAGCGAGTTGAGCGTAACAAGCGCAAGTACGTCACCGTCATTTCGGGTCTGGAGGTCTTTGGCCTGGAGAACAAGAAGCTGGCCAAGGAACTGGGAAAGAAGTTCGCCACTGGTTCCTCCATGACCCGATCACCTTCGGGTACAGAGGAGATCACGGTCCAGGGTGATGTCAGTGAAGATGTGGAGGATTGGCTGCTCGAGGTCTATGGCAGCAAAGTCCCCGGAGCCAACATCGAGCTGGTCGAGGACAAGAAGAAGAAGAAAGACCCCGCCGCTGTCTAAGTTGGAGCCTTTTTGTCTTTTTAACGATGATGAAGAAACAATGATATGTATTGCGCGAGAAGGGGGTATCATGACATGACCAAAAAGTGAAAATAAATCAAAGACCCGTGCAGAAATGAAACAATTTGTATATCACAGGCAATCCAGTCCCGTAGCAGTAACGTCAGGAGAAAACAAGGTGATTGGCTATAACTCATCAAATATTCGCAGGGGATCATTAGTCGTTGCAGCATCGGCGCTGGCTTGAGAACTTGTGGGTGTAACGCTGTTCGCCAGGTCCAGGCTCTGTCGACGATCCGCCAGACTGGACGGATACCAGGATGAAGCAGTAGTGACCTCCGAGTCAGCCAGAACGGACTCCCAGGTGTCGGATGGGGTGCCGAGAGAGGTCTGGTTCAATTTCTCGCTTAGATCGGGCAATTGGCCTGGGGATTGCAACGCGGGCCAATTCTGGACAACGAGGGCCAACACAAGTACGAGCAAGCCACTGGTGATGATGGCCCAAAAGATTCGCAGTCGACGGCTGACTCGGGACTGCCATTCTGACTCTCGTTGGTCCCAGCGGTCAATCTCGCCTCGGACGCTCTCGAGGCGTTTGCCGAGATCCTCGACTCGTTGCCGTCCCACCTTCATTCGTTTCTCTAGTGCGTCGGCCTTTTGGATCTGGGGCTGAAATCCTTGTAGATCATTGATCTGTTTGCGGGTCTCCTGGTCGAGCCCAGCGGTTTCGCGCTCGAAGTCGTTAAGGAGATTTGACGCCGTATCTGAAAGGTCTTGAAAAGATCCGATCGTCGAGTTAAGTGCTGTGATTTTCTCAAGCAAGTTGTAGTAGGTGTAGTCGAGTCGTCGGGTGACGTCGGTCGCCAATGTCCCAATGGAGGAGAGAGCGGAGCGCAAGTATCTGGTAGGTTCCTGGTGAGCGAGTCTCTTCTCGTATCGAATCACAGAAAGCCAGGTATCGCTATTGGTCCAGAAGCTCTGATCTTACTGTTCGCCTTGTTTCCTTCGCTTCGTCACCTGTCCCAAATCTTCCATCGATTGAATCTCCTGCCTCCGAATCGGACCCAGTTGTCCCTGCTGCTCGGGAGGATCTAGAATGCTGCCCTTGCGGCTTCGGCTGCTGCTACCCAACCCCGAGGTGGAATCCGATCCCCAGCGCGATCGCGTCGTCTCCCGTGTGATAGGTCGCAGGAGCCCATCTTCCTCCCGGTCTTTCTCACGACTTCCAGACCAGGTGGGTAGCAGTCCACGGGCACTGGCGGAGGAGGCGAGATGGCTCATGGGGCGTGGAAGGCGGATTTCGCGCGACTTGCTCGGTTTGTGCCGGTGGTGATGCGACTTTCCTCCGTCAAGATGCCAGTCGGCTGAAGATCGTTGAGAGGATCTGTGACGTGTCTCTGTTCCCCCGATTTCATGGTGGGAGTCTGGTTGCAGCGGTTCGCTGGTCTCATTGGTTCGTGTGGATCCATGGGTCGGAGGGAAAGTCGCAGAAGCGGGTTTAGTGGAGAGTGGTGATGGATATCTGAGATGGTCCATGTTCGGACATAACTTCAAGTTTGTCGATTCCTTCTCTGGTGTTGAATAAGGGATGTCGGATGTCAAAAGTGGAGAGTTCGGGGAAAGCGATGACGCCAAGCCATATGATGCATGGCGATCAACATTAGAATGTATACATCCTTGGAAACCGTGACCGCTTCTGCAAGTACAAAATCATTAGTCCTATTCAAGCTACAATCTTGGACCTCATGATAACTGGTCTTCTATCTCTTATTTTCGCATGTTAACAAAAATGCAGGTCTTTGAATACCTAAGACACCAGACGACTGCACGTCAAACGTGATATTTGTACATTCGTGGTCACGGACTGTAGAACTGCTTTTGATTTTTACCGAGTCCATGCATTCACTCATGCAGCATAATCGGAATTCTGAAATCTATCATTGGCTCCGATGGAATTAACCGTCTTAAAAACAATATATAGTATAAAGAACAAATTTGCATATCAATACCCAGGAAGAACGCCGATGATCCAAACCCCCTTCTCATACATGGATAGCCTCCAAAGTGATGCCAGGCATGTGCTGCACAGCCGGATCAAGATGGAAGTCTTGATGATGAGGAAAGAAGATGTGGCATATGCTGGAAAGGGAACGTAGTCACGGAGCATGAGCTCATGAGTTGAGAAGCTTGTTGCGCTTCTCGCGGCGCTTGAGCCGCTCGACCCGTTTGTGGTGCATCTTTTCCGCCATCTTCTCATAACGAAGCTTCTCCTCCTTCGCAGCACGACGGTCCTTGATGCGTTGGATGTGGGCCTGAATACGGGTCCAGTGTTAGTCGCACCACTTTTCCAAGGAAGTGGGGAAGAGAGGCTGGGACTGAGAGAACGAAACCACAAAGAAAAAAAAAAAAAAAAAAAAACCCAAAACGGAACCAAGAGAAGACGACATATATTAACAGTATTAAACAAAATGCTCACCTGACGTTCAGCCTCCTTTTCTTCCTTCATCTCTCGTTCCCGTTCCTTGACGGCGTCTTGGTGCTTGCGGAGCTCTTGACGTTTGGCATAGGATGTCAGACCGGCAGTCGGACGGAAAGCCCGCTTGTTGTCATGCCAATTCTTGCCTAGAAAAAGGAAAGCGACGATCGGGTTAGTTGGGCTGACAGAACCGAGTAGGGAGAGAATCCAGAGTGGAGACGACGCGGGTTTCGGAGATTCGTGGACTGACCATTCTTGCGCATGCCCGACGCCTTTGCGACAGGCACGGGGACAACTGGGATCTCGGCAGGAGAGGACATTTTGATCTGCAAGATCTCTTCTCGCCAGATATCAAAGGGCGGGAGAAGGTGACGGCACTGGGGAAGGAGGGGGAAGGTTGTAGAAGTCTGATATCAGAAGAGTTATCGCGGGATGAAAATTTCGGTTTTTTGTCAGCGCGTCAGTCGGAGATTATCTGATCGATAACCGGGCTTGGCGGACGCTAACACCAACAAAACCGGTGAAAGATGATGAGAATACTCCACTACGGAGTCTAGTTTTTCTTCATTTGTTTCATTTGGGGGTCTCTATTACTCATAATTATCTGATCGCATGGATCTGATAATAATCTCGTCGTGAAATCGACCGATACATTGGTATTACCCAGTACCACCTGCAGACAGTCCTGGGGCTTGGCATTAACGTACACCGCCCCTCTCGCTTTTCCCTTTTTTTTTCTTTTTCCTGGACTTTCAGTTCTTGAATTCCCCACTTTCTGCATCTACGTCCCCCAAGTCTTGAATTGCCGAAATAAATCGCTCATAAAGCCCCCTCCTCCCCCGCCCTCTTTCTTTTCCCTTTTCTTTGGAACAATGCTCCCTCGATAACCCTTCTTTTCTCGTGGGTCTTGGAAAAGGAACATTGTTGGATGCCTTGATGGCGACAGCCGAGCATGCAATTCCGGTCAGCGAGCAAGTGATGGAGCTCCCATCGCTTCCCCCAACCAGGGGTTGGAGGCCATGAAAGATATTGTCTATGGATCGGTAAGGAGACTGCTCCCCCCCCCCCCGATCTTACTCGGTAGACAACTCACATCCTACTCCAGGTGGCTGGAATGGCAGGTAAATTGATCGAGTATCCCTTCGACACAGTCAAGGTTCGACTACAATCACAACCCGAACACCTTCCCCTCCGATATACCGGTCCTCTGGATTGTTTTCGCCAGTCGTTCCAAGTCGACGGCGTGCGAGGACTGTACCGAGGCATTAGTGCCCCCATGACCGGGGCCGCCGTGGAAACCAGCTGCTTGTTCTTCAGTTATCGCCTTATCCAGGATGCCTTGAAGGCAAACGTCTTTCCCAATGTAGAGCAGCTGCCCTTGTGGGTGCTGGTGGCGAGTGGAGCGGCGTCAGGTTCCGTCACATCACTGGCTCTGACCCCGATTGAACTCATCAAATGCAAGATGCAAGTGCCCGTCGAGTCCGCAGTGGGGCACAAGGCCCCCGGGCCCCTTCTTCTCATGGCCTCGATCTTCCGTCATGAGGGCATCATGGGCTTCTGGCGCGGTCAGATGGGGACTTTGATTCGTGAAACCGGAGGCAGTGCGGCATGGTTCGGCGGCTATGAGGGGGTCTCTTCTCTTTTCCGGAAATACTCCTCTCGGTCTCAATCAGCCACTGAAAGTCTCCCCGTCCATCAGCAAATGATTGCGGGTGCCGCTGCGGGCATCAGCTACAACTTCCTGTTCTTCCCCGCAGACACCATCAAGTCGCGGATGCAAACTGAGGATATTTCCCGACGTCCTGTCAATGGAGCGCGGCAATCTTTTTGGAGCGTGGGGCGTGCTCTGTGGCGTCAGCAAGGCCTCAAGGGTATGTACCGCGGGTGCGGGATCACCTGTCTACGTTCGGCACCTAGCTCGGCCTTCATTTTCGCCGTCTACGAAGGATTACGACAAAACTTTTGAATGTTAGAGCCCTTGATGCACATGTCCAGAATATAGATCTTGGGGGTGTTGCACATATAGATTTCGGATTTCGGTTGCTTTCTCTTTTACTTATACCCGTTTTGTGCAGTTTATATATGAAGAAATCAATCTCTGTCTAGATCTCACTGGTCATTAATATTAATCTCAGGGACCTTTCAATCTTCTATGTTTCTCAGCTGGACCCCGTTTATCATTAAGCCTTCAGGATGCTCAAAAAAACCTACTGTCTAAAGGTATAGCCTGCCCAGTCCGGGAGGTGGGTGTTCCGTATACTTTCCTAGGTACAAACTTGATCAAGAATGAGGAAGTTCAATGATTATTCAAAGGTTTCATGCCAACAAACCAGGCGGGCTCGTGATTTGGTAACTAGGTTGCAAGATTCTGATTGTTGCGGCGCCTAAGCATCCATCCCAGCTATTGCCACGATACTCATTTCACCATATCCTCCTTTCGCTGCCGCCTCTAAAAAGTCCTGCACGGTTAATTCCAGCCCCCGCTCGCTCAGCAGATCGTCTCCATCAAGGGTTCCCCGCAATAAAGGCCCCTTCATGCCTCCATTGAGCTCCCATACCTGGCTGTCCTTCTGGACAAACCCGACGAAGTGGTGATGATTCTCATCGTGGGGCGAAGGAGCCGCAGATGAACCCTGAGATGCAGCCTCCATGTGTGCTTCTTCAAGAAAATTGGAGTCATACAACAACTGTGCTCGTTCAGCCGGTTCAAGTTCGATGGCACACTTCAAAATGTCCCCCAATTTCGAATCCCGACGGACATATCGTCCCCCATCTAGATTGAAGACGCAGTGCAGCAGCGCCATCAGACCGCAGGCATGTCCGATCGTCTGTTTGATCCAGATGATCGGTTCGCCCGCACCAGAGCCCTGATATTCCGGGATCGTAGGTACCACTGCAGACCGGGCTGCATTATATATGGGCCAGTCCGCGAGCAGGATCAGTGCATGAATGGGGCGAGGGATCCACGACAGGGAGTCCGGCGATGTAGAGAAAACATCATGAAAGGTGAGTCCAGGAGCCACACCAAGGTTTTGGCAGAGATGCGACAGGACCTCTGGGTTGTTCTCTGAAGTTCGTTATGAGCAGTCTACCTTTGGAAGAAGAATCCGAGAGGCAGCTCACCCAGAGGAATGAATGTCTTGAGGCCATGAACAACCTCCGCTTTGGGGATAGACATACCGGAAGGCTACAAATTTAGCCTCTTCGTCACTTGCGTGCTGTCTCAGCATATGGTCGAGAACAAGGAGTGGAGAAGCAATCAATGCAAACTTGACCATGCCCCGCACCGTTCTTGTGTCATCCTTTCTCTTTCTCTTCTCAAACAAGTGTGAGAGCTTCAATTCGTCGGTCCATACCTTCTATGCTTCTATGCAGGGAACATGGTCAACGGCTGATAACGCTAACTCTCAGGGTCCCCAGGAAATCAAGGAAGCGGATCCAATGGCTCGGCAAGATGCCGATTTGCATCTACCGATGTTCTTCTCTGCGAGATCAATCCATCAAAAAGGTTGAACTTTGACTTGTTTAATATCTGGAGATTAGAGATATTTGGATCATGGAGATGCACTTTTAGGTATCTCTTGATTGGTATGAACATGATGATCAAGGAACCTCGAGATTGCTTGGTCAACGCGCACTTCTTTGGTTGAAAGTCTCCACTGACACCCGATGGATCTTCTGAATACCAATCATGAGGCTCACAAATGTCATCCATCTCCGAAGAATTCACTATTCTCAGCCCTATGGACCCCGGAGCATGCGCGTTGGGCCTGGTCAACCTGCATAGTCCTGTATAGTGGAGCATTCAGCCCTATGGACTCCAGTCCGGACCCAGAAAAAAAGCTTGCCGATACCAGGCAGCAATTTGACGAGCTTCATTCCACTCGGAATGCATCTGGAAATCGCTCATGGGAGCCCCAAGGTACTCACCCAGCTTGGCTATAAGATGGACACCCAGTTAAGTAGAATGAACTTTGATCTTCATTCCGTTCAGAATCGACCATGTCTTCCTTCGATCCGACCAGTGTTAACCTGAACACGGCCAGTGAAGAAGATGTGCTGTGCTACCTGGCCATCTCTGGGAACGACTACAATGGCCACCTCGGGGCTCGTATCTCCTCCATCTTTGTGATTCTCTTCGTGTCTTCGGCCTTTACGGTCTTCCCTGTGGTTTCCAAGCGGATGCCAGGATGGAAGATCCCATTCAGTGTGTATATCTTCGCGCGGTACTTCGGAACGGGTGTCATTGTGGCCACGGCGTTCATTCATCTACTGGACCCGGCTTACAAGCGAATTGGCCCCAAGACTTGCGTGGGCCAGTCGGGATACTGGGCTGAATATTCCTGGTGTGCGGCAATTGTCCTTGCATCCGTGGTGATCATCTTCCTGATGGATCTGGCGGCGGAAGTCTACGTGGAACATAAATACGGCGTGCACAAGGATGAAGATGCCACCAATGCCTTCGTCCAGCACGAGCACCACCTGGACGTGCAGCCTGGCCCGGATACCGAAAAGGAGGCCGTGACTCCCACCTCTACCGAGAAGCGAGCAGATACATGGGGCTCGGAGGGCGATTCTTCTTCGGCCGAAAAATCTTTTCGTCAGCAGATTTCTGCATTCCTTCTGTTGGAATTTGGTATCATCTTCCACTCCGTCATCATCGGTCTCAACCTGGGTGTGACGGGCTCGGAGTTCAGCACGCTGTACCCAGTTCTGGTCTTCCACCAATCGTTCGAAGGATTGGGAATTGGTGCTCGCATGTCTGCTATCCCCTTCGGAAAGCACACCTGGCTGCCATGGATCCTGTGTGCGGCATACGGCCTGACCACCCCGATCTCCATCGCTATTGGCCTGGGAGTGCGGACCACCTATAACCCCGACTCCAAGGTCTCGTTGATTATCCAGGGAGTGCTGAATGCCGTGTCGGCGGGTATCCTGATCTACACTGGTCTGGTGGAGCTTCTTGCTAGAGATTTCCTGTTTGATCCGTGCCGGAGTAAGCGCCGGTCGCGGCTGTTGTTCATGGTTGGCTGCACCTTGCTGGGGGCGGGAATCATGGCTTTGATTGGAAAGTGGGCTTAGGAGGGTTGAGTGAGGCAATGGAGGATATAGAGGAACGGAAAATAATGTATAGATAGATGTTGATTGGTGTCTTCAAACGTATCTAGATGTCGATCGCAAGTCCATTGGGAGACTTCAATTGATGACACATAATTACCTGCAACGACTTATCGGAATAAATCTTCCAAGCATCCTATGATCTTCGGATCCTGGAATCGATCAAGTAAGATCAGATCAGCCCGTTTCCAGTCCGTGGAGTCCCCGTGGAAGCTGTAGGAATGCATAAGCACTGGTGAGACAGACCCCCATCATATCACAACCTAAACCATGCTAGCTCGCCTGTTCCTCTTTGGCAAGATATCGTGATCCTAATTCAACAATCCAGAATCAAATTGCGATCACAACTTACATCTACCGTGTGCACCGGTTCACGTACCAGCCAGGTGATCAACCCAAGAACATAGTCAGCGTGAGTACCTCGTTCGCGAAACACTACGCAGCTCGAAGCCTTGTCAGTTCCATTCCATCCGGCATTAGAGTCGTGATCATTGAGTAGAACAGTCTCTTTCACTTGACATGGGTACTGCCACGATTCTGCGTCGTCAATAGCCATGATGAGAAAACCTTTATTCCATGCGGCTCCTACATTCAAGCCCCGGATCCTGGAACTGGGTCCACGCAGCAGTGGAATCTATTGTCCCCGATGGATGTAGAGGAACCGTCCAGGTCGCACTGGGTTTCTCGGTTCCTTAAGAATATCCGGTTTTGGTGACGGGATCCTTGCTGGACTTCTATCGAGAGTGTGCCAAGTGAACAGGGTCACTGCAGTGAAAGAACTTGCTGATGAATGAACGAGAATCAGTGAAGCGCAGGATATTGTGGTCGTAGGAAATGTCCTGCTGGGATTGCATTGGTGGTGGTGCTATTGATTTTGATCGCCTGGCCATTTTCCCGCTTCTTTCCCTGTAAGTAGCCCGGTCCTGACACTACCAGGTCACAAGTGTGGTTTATATCACTGATAACCTTGGAATAGCGTTGAAGTGCTGTTCACCACACATAGGCAGAAGGTTGGACTGGATAGCGCGATGGGATGGTGATATATATATAAATATTGTGCGTGAAGTCACTCGGTTGAGAACGGACTTAGAGATCAAAATTGTGCTCAGACCCCAAGACTAGTTGCAAATCAAATGATTGATGAGCGTGATTGTGCGGGTGAGTTGATAAAGAGTCGATAAACTTATCACGGCCCCGCATTTCGTATATGCCGACCTCGAATTTCCCCCTCACAACTATCACGATGTCGTACGTTACTGCTCAAGAGCTGGAGATTCTCTCCACAAAGGTCTTCTCCGCCAAGGAGGCGGCCTACTGCCCCTACTCCAAGTTCCGCGTAGGAGCATGTATTCTGACGGCGTCCGGCGAGTTCGTGATGGGCGCCAATGTCGAGAACGCCGCATACCCCGTGGGAACTTGTGCCGAGCGAGTGGCAATTGGGACGGCGGTGGTGTGTCTGAATCCATAAATGAACTAGAGGTGTAGGAACTAACACGATCATCAAACAGGTGGCCGGGCATAAGGAGTTCAAGGCGCTGGCCGTGGCGACAGATGTCAAGCCTGCAGGTTCGCCTTGTGGAATGTGTCGGCAATTGTACGCCTCTTTTCTATTCCATATGCTCGTTGGATTGCAACTGATACCTCTTAGTATTCGCGAGTTCACCGGTCCATCGTTCCCGGTGTATATGTATGATCGGGACGGAGGGTATAAGGTCATGACTATGGATGAGGTATGTCATCTCGAACTTTCTTTCCTCGATTCTCTGTGATGACCATTGATTCAGTTGCTGCCGGACTCGTTTGGCCCCGAGCACTTAACCTCCACTTAAGTCGATATCAATGAGATGAGATGAGGTAGGACCTAGTATGGAATAAACGCAATAAGACCCCCAAGATTAAAAGGCGAACCCCCTACAAAGTAGATGATGATCCCAATCAAAGAAAGAAGTAACAAACGAACTCTCTATATCTTTCGCGATTTGAGAATACACAAGCCAGAGAAAAAGCCAGCGAGATATGCAATACAAAAACATAACAGAAACCCAAAATTAATAGGCAAAAAAGGAAATTTCGTGCGCCCATAATGTCACATCAAGATTCCAGTCAAGATCCATGTCCAAATCTTCCAAACATTACTGCATTGCGAGGGGGAGAGGCCTACGCCTCCTCTTCTTCCTCAAATTCATCCGTGCCCAGCAGTTCATCCTCGTCGTCCACCACATGCGAGTAATCGCCCCGACGAGCAGCAAAGGACCCACGCGTCGCATAGGGTCGAGAGCCCCGACCACGGCGCATCAATCCAGTAACAGTCCGCCACAGGCTAGTACCCACCAGTGGTAATGCCTGGGCCACGGCCACCAATCCAGCGATGATGGCCACAGGCACAACCACCAAGGGGGAGTCCCCGTCGAACCAACCGCGAGACCCCGAAGAGGAGCCCTCGCCCAAGCGAATTTGCCCAAATTTGCCATCCCAGCGAGTGAAGACAAAGTACCCGAATGCGGTCGCGGCGGCGATTGGGATCACAATGGCAAAGAAGAGACCCACTCCGCTGATGCCATGCTTCTTTTCAAACTCCTTCTCCTTGTTGGGACAGGCCCGGACAATCTGTCGGTCGAGATCCTGATCTCCACTCTGGCAAGTCGTCTGCGGGAGCTTTCGGTAGCCAGTCGGCTCCCAGTACTCGATCAGGTCGGGGTTCTCCTGGCACTGCAAACTGTGATCAGGCTGGGCAAGACCGGGTACAAGGGCACAGCTGCCGTCACTTTGAATCTCGTAGTTGTAGTCGCTGGTGAAGAGGTTAGCCAAATCAATTTCCCGTGACGTATCGCCCGGATCATTGCTTACCATTCAAAGTCGGCACGAGTGCAGGTGCAGTTCCCGGCGTCAATTCGGTGGATATGCGGATCACGCCAGTTGACCCAGCATTCGGCCCCGGGCCTCTTGCGCTGGTATTGTTCAATATGCCCAAACAGACAGTTATCCCCCTGAGCCGGATGCCGAGGAGTCCATAATTCGTAGTCATTGCTCTGGCCATTTACTTCATCCAGCTCGCACTGACGGTCCCAAATACCACTGAAGTCAAGATTGATCGTCGTGACCTTGTTCGAAGACTTGGACCACAAAAGGAAGTTCTTGGACGTGTCTGAGGGGAGGGTCGAGATGTCGTCGATAATCATCTCGGTTTCCGAAAATTGGAATTCTTTCCAGGACTCGCCCTCGTCGACACTGTAGTAGACCACGTTGGTCAATTGGCGCTCCCGGACAAGCACAATAACTGAACCAGCGTCGCCGTACTCAAACATGAAGCGGCCTTTCTTGATTTCTTTCCAGGTGATACCGGCGTCCCGACTGAGGAAAGTATTGGCATCGGCAACGGTATCCGATAGGGAGTCACCCACGTTGCCAACCCCGATCATCAGACCTATGGCAGATCCTGAGTAGAAGGTATCCCGCCAGTCCCGTCGCTGTGTATAACTATGTAGGTGCAGTGCGCATTGATCGGTGCCCTGACCCTCGGTGACTGAGCAGTCATACTTTTTACCATCGACATCGCGAGTCGGGGGTGGCAATAGCATCCACTGGCCACCATCATTGTGAGTGATGACGGTGACCAGCTTCTTGGCGTCTCCCTTTTTATCCACGTCCTCTCTGTTCCGGACGACATTGGCGAGTGCGACACCCTCAATCCCTGCCATTTTTTCGAAATCGACATAACCTCGGTCATCCATGTTCAACGCCTCCAAGCTTTGAACAAAGTACGTGCCGTTGCTGTTGCTCTTGACCAACGAGCCGTACGCGTGACCTTCCTTGGTACTGAGCTGCACAATCAGGAACAACGCATACGAGGAACCTGGGAGAACGGTGTACTGAGCCACATCGATATTGTACGGGAAATGCGCCTGGGCAAAAACACGGGCATCCAGGCTAGTGGTGACGTTCAAGAACTTGTGCTTTTCGGTCGGGTATGTGGCCACGACAATGAAATCATTCATGGTCACAAAGTGCGCGATGTTGTCGTCGATCAGCTTCTTATCCGCCCAGCTGTCTAGTGAGTTACTGGAGACCAGCTGCCGGTTGTTCTTACTGTTCTCCTGGGCATATTGCTCACAGATGACAAGCTCTTCGCTGTTTTCACGCTTGTCGTCATATGCAAACACACACGAACCAACCCCACGAAGCATCAATTGCCACTCGTGGCCGCGATTCTTGCTGAAGTAGGCATCAAGAACGCAGTCTTTACCTTCACAGGTCTCGCTGCCAACCCAGATCATCCAATCCATGTACTTTTCATGAAAAGCGAGAGGTGACATGGTCGCTGGGACATAGGTTGTCGGTTGCTTGAATTTTCGGAAGGAATACCCGCGGTCGATAGTCGAGTAAACATTATTGGAAGTGGTCAAAAAGTAAGCGCCGTCGGTGTAGTGAGGGTGCTGAATCATTTCTCTAACCTTTTCACCCTTGAATGCGGCAGGCTGCTCCCAAGTTTTGCCATGGTCATGGGAGACAGACATCTCCAATTTGTCGGTGAGCATGAAGATGGTCTCATCATCTCCAGAGTTACTTGCTTGCCGTTCAAGATAGAAATAGTCGGCGTCGGAGGCGGCAAACTCTTGTGGCCTTCCTGCATGGACCTTGCCATCAGTGACCGGAGAGCCGGTGGTGGTATTTCCACATGACCGCTCGATTTCCTTGTCCAAATTCTCGCCGCCATCGCGAACACAAGCGTTGCCGGGGATGAGCCGCCAGCCCGAGGGGCCGGTGTACTTGTCACTTGCGTCCTTGCACTTGCCCGCCGGAGCTGTCAGAGACACCGCCGGCAAGCACTCCTTGCCATCTTCAGAGCGCTGGAAATTGTAATCACACTCGAAGTCCTCGGCCGAGCATTTGCATTTCTGAAAGATGGGCGGGTCCATTTTGAACTCGTTCTTCATGAAGCAATCAGCACTGGCTTTGCGGCGTTGGAAGAATTGCTTATGGCCCATCAGACAGTCTGCTTTGCCATTCTCGTCCACACGAGCAGGCCATGTCTCAACGTCGTCCTTGGTGCACTTGCGCTCATGAAGGCCCTCAAAGTTGATGGAATAGATGAGATCTCCATTGCCATCGCTCTTCTGGCCCACGAGCAAGAACTTCAGGCTCGTCGAATCCGGTGTTGTCGTCAGGAAAGAAGTTTTGATCTTGTGCTTCAGCTCGATATCCTCCCATTCCTTGCCATGGTCGATCGAGTACTGAACCTTTTTGGTCTCCCCGTCATCACTGACAGCCACAATCACGCCACCCTGATCACCAAACTCGAATCGATGCGGGCCCTTCAGTGCTTTCCGCCAGTGTAGACCTGCGTCGTCGGAGACGTAAAGGTCACCCTCGGAGTATTTCTTCAGATGATCACCCGTATTCCCCACGCCCATCACTAAGCCCGGTGCGGGACTAGAGAACATGCGGCCCAAAGAGCTCAACTTACGCAAAGAGTCATAGGTAGTCATGGAGTGCAGATGCAGTCGGTCACCTTCCACCTTGAGTGACTGGAAAGTTCTACCATCGTCGAAACTGATACTGGTGACGAGCTTTTTCTCTTCGGTGTCAGACTCTTCGACTTTCTCCCAATTGCTGACCGTGTTCACAATAACAATGCCTTGGATGTCAGCGACCTTTTCGAAGTCAACCAGTCCGTTCAGGTCACGATTAGTATGTTCGATGTTGGGGGAGAAGTATGTTCCGTTCGAATTGGATGAAAAGAGTACACCAATGCGGTTTTCGTGCCATGTGGTCTGCACGTCCAACTGGATACTATAGTTTGTACTCTCCAGCAGCGTATATGCATCCTTCTCGACCTTATGTCCACCAAATTCCGCGCGGTGCCATTCGTGAGAGTCGTCGCTCACATACAGAGCCTGTTCAGTGGTACCCCTTGATTGAACACCTGCAACGATATACTTCTTGACCGAGCGAACCTTGATCTGCACGGCACTGACAGGCAGTCCACGGTTCAGCTTGACCTCGGTACCTTCCACGTCATCGCGGAAGAAACTGTCGGAATACACCAGACGCTCCGAACGATCGGCGGATCGCAGCCCGGGCACCACACAGAGAATCCGGTCTCCCAGGGATTCCTTCACATCGAGGTCTTGTCCGAATTGGGGGGTATTCGCAGCCCAAGAACACTCCAGGATTGTTTCGCGTAGCGGGGTAATGGTCTTGAAGTCATCAGTTGTATAGAAGGACTGTGTCATACACCCAATGATGAAGCACTCTTCGGTCATGAAGATGACCTTGCTGGGGTCCCAACCATTGAAACTGAATGGAATGGCGCTGCGCAAGACCATAGGAGGCGCTTTAATCACAAACGATCTCCATGTCTTACCCTGGTCAGTGGTGATCCAGTGTGTGCCGCTTCGGCCAATGATGTAGGCGCGGTTTTTGTCCCATGGGTGCGGCAAGACGATGATCGCGTTTCCCTGTATGCTTCCATCCTCGCCCTTGACCACTTCCCACTCCTCACCGCCATCGACAGAGATATGGACATTGCGGGCGCTTTCGTCATGAAAGACGATTGTGTTAGACCCTTCGAAATAGAACAGGCCTCTTGGAGAATGGGTTAATTCCGTTGCCGTGGCCGTAGGTTTGTCCCCCTTTGCCGCGGTCGGCTGTGTGGTCAAAGCCAACAGCAGACCAACGACGAGCAGCAGCCACCGAGGTATCATGACCGCTGATACTCAGGCATCTGAATGGGGACGTTGGTTTGAGGGTCAAGCAGTCTAGCTGCCTGCGGGCCGATCCGGAGGGCGGGATCAAATAAACGGCGAGTGGGTGATGCAGATGCGTTGGTAAAATGCAATGTGAGCTGGCCCAGCCGTAGGTCGTCCGACAAAGCACAATGTTGAAATGCGAATGATGATGAGTTGTGAAGTATGAGGGAGATAGCCTGTCGTGGCCTCAGCCTGGGGGAGCTCTCCTGTCACGTGAAAGACTTATCGGTCTATCAGCGGGTGCCTACGTACTTTTGTACCTTGGTTCCCAGCGCCATACCATCAGTGATCCGATCCACTTGAGCTCATCACTTGTGACGTACTGGTCTAAAGGACAACTCCTGGAAGTACTGGATATTGAACCTCAATGCAAATCAGCATTGTGACATTCTGCAGCCAAATGGAGAATATGTACAAGGCGCTGCGAACTCAAAATAGATACTAGATACACGAATGGGCGGAGGTCAAAACCTCCAAATCTGCTTCATGGGAGATGAAAAAGCCAAACCAACGCTAAACCCAAATGCAGAAGATGTTTAAGCCGGCCTCAATAAGACGCCATCAGGAAGAATGAAAAAAACAAAAATACCAAAACAACCAAAAGTAGTATAAGAAGGGGGAATCAACGGTGTTCGAGCGCTGAACGAACGAATAAGAAGAAAGAAAAATCATAATCTAGTAATGCAAAACCAGGAGAAACGAATTTGTATGGCCAGATCCGAAGTCTAAGCCCTGCGGCGCAGTCTGCGCCACATCTTCTTGACCATGCCTTCATTATCATCCAGATCCTCCCAGATGTGTTGGTTGCGATCGGCAGGCGGTAGAGCGGCCAATTGCAGAGGATCCTCCTGGGGAGACTGGGACGGTGTGGGAGACTCGGTCCGGAGATCGGGTCGGGTCAATGTCATTTTTAGAGTCATCTCCCGATTTCCTGGGAGTCGCTGGGGACCTAATTTGGACCCGGGTAAGGAAGACTGCCGTCTTTGCAACAAAGACGGCGTATCCATCGATGGTCGCGGGCTCTCCCGCGGGTGTGAGGCTATTGACGGCGCGTGTGCTTCCCGAACTGATCCACCCGGGCTGCCCACCATGGTGCCATCGTCCTCCTCGAAGAAGGTACCGGCACATTCTGACTTGATCGAGACCGGGACAGGGGAAGGCGGTTCCGGGGACATGTTCTCTTTGTTATGGTCCAAGGATGGGAAGCCAAATTCAATAGCTTCATCAAACTTTTGTGGGGATGCCAGATACACCCGCAGTTTCAAGCGAGCGTCCGGATCTTGGTAGTATTGTGCCGAGGGGTCAATGCTGGAGGTGGAGGATTTCGGTGCATGTTGGCTGGATTGATGACGAGATGCCGGGCGGGAGGATGGGTTCCGATTGCCGGAAGGCGCAAACGGGGGCAACGATTGGCTCGGGGGGATGCTTCGCGGTGGGACTGATGTCGACTGTCGAGGTTTTAATGCTGTATGGGTTGAGAAAGACAAGGAGCGGCGAAAGGAAGGACGACGCCAGGCTTTCCCTTGATGAGTGGCCGCGTCGGCGATATGGGCGTGGTACTCGTCGAGCGACAAGTCCAGATCCCCATCGCCGTCCAGCCACCGGAAACTATCATAGATGGCCTCATCCATCTTGGAGGATTCGTTCTCGTCGACGGATTCTGAATCTGATTCCCAAAAGACGGAGGCAGGATGGTCACCAGACGTCTCCGAGGGCAGAGAGTCGGTCGAGAAATGACGACGAGCCCGGTCGCGACGATAAAAAGCCTCGTCGGCCGCGTCCAGAATCACGCTATCGCGATAGGCAATGCGGAGACGACGGCGTTCCTCAGGGGAGAAAAGCTTTTGTTGGATCTTAGCGGGGAGAGAATGAAAGCATTGCGAGTCCGCCTGAGCAACCAGGTAGGCCAATTGGAGGGAACCAGGTTTACGCAGTTTTTTGGGAGATGCAGAACGTTTCTCCAGACCTCGTCTCTTTGTCACGGTCGCTGTTCGAAGCCCACGGTGGAGGGGTGGCCCGTGAGCATGATTCGTCCGATAGGCCCGAGCATGATGATAGTCATACGTGGAGCACCCAGGGGCTTCCTGATCTAACCTCATGCGCAAGCGCTCGACATTCGAGAAGAACTGTTTCGGGTCAGTCATGAACAAGTGGAGTGAGAGAGTGGAGACGCCGAGTCTCCCGTGCGCCAATGTGGGCAAGGAACACACAGCGCCATGGGTGATAGTGCGGGTAATGGCGGGTTCCGAGGAATAGGGGCAACAAAACAAAAACCAATACGAAAAAATAAAAAATAACTCCAATGAGGAAACAAAGAACCAAAAGTTTCCAGGAGACCCAGGGGGAGAATCACATTAGGGAAGGGATATGCAGAGGGAAAAGTTTCTCGAAAGCTCGTATCAACCGGTTTGGAGGTTGGGGCCGAAACTATCGATCACACTATCGAGTCGATCCCGCAAGGGGAAAGGGGAGGGGGGTTCGGTCACGGGATTGTTCGTACCTTTCGTCTCACTGCCGGAGGTAACGAGTCAAAGCCCTCTTCCGGTACTTGCATCGTGAACTCGATTCAACGAGTTCAATACCATTCAAAAGGGAATAGAGCAGAGAGAAGAAGAGAAAGGAAGAGAACGAGATCGACGAGGATCAACAGAGGTACCGTGGGATCTCTTTCGAGAAGTATAACTGGCAAATGTCCAAGCTTCACAAGTCCAAAGAACTCGAGAACTTGAAAACCCGTTGGGATAGATGGAATATATGTCAAAGACTTACACAGATAATCACACAACCTATACCCCGCCAATGCATGATTGGAGCCACATCCCGTAGGCCCAATCGCCCAGTGCACAGACCTTGTGATGTGACAGGGACATCTATTCCAAGACCTGTCACCTTGAAGGTGGAGCGGCTCCCTCTTTCATCAAATATGACCAGTCACGAACGGTTCGATCCAGATCTGGGAAACCGGTTCCTGAAGGGGTTCGAGCGAAGGGATACACAGTCTCCTGGAGCACACAGAACAAAGGATCCGAGAACAGCGACCAGAGACATACAGCTTCAAGTGCATGGAGACAATTCAAAGTCCCCAGCCTTGTGCGACTTGGGTTTCAAGGAATGTGAGCGGCAAGGAGGGAACCAATCGCAAGGTGTGGGGAGCCTTCCGCCGTACTTCGTATTGTAGGAAAGACGCAGCTGTAGGTCTGACTAGAATCTTCCTGGTCTGCTGGCTCCGGCATTCTCCATCTGATCTTCCCAGCCCTACTGTGCTGGCGCGAACTGAAACTCCGATCATCTGAAACACGTCCACCCCTAGATCGGAGATTCAGGGTCTCGTTGACTTGACAATCCCGTCGGATACTGGAAGAGATTCATTTCAACTTCTCTCAAAAGCAAATTCATATTAGGCCACCGGATTGTGTTCATGTCTGGGACTGGAAAATCAGATGAGCGTGAGCTGTCAGCTGGATCCACAGTGGCCTGGACTAGTGGGAATTAATCCTACGACAAAACTAAGTAAAGATAGCCACCATGATCGGTCTAGTGCGATGCAAGTAATTGCCAAACCCGTTGATCTCATCAAACTTCCCCCGATAGCGCCTCCGAGGTATAATCCCCTGAACATGACCATTGTAGAAGAATAATAAAATATATAAGAAAATAAAAAATATTAAAAAAAGTATTGCTGAACTGTACCATATGACGTGTCTTACGAGGGATGTTCTGGAACAAACAAACTGGGGCAGTTATACTTTACATTAAATTCCTCACAGAGCATTGAGTACCTGTTGTAAAGCCAGGGTATTCGAATCCTCCCGACGGGACACATACGCTCGCACTTCCATGACACTGAGTTTGGCCTCGGGGCCGGAGCCTCGACTGGAGCCAGGCCCAGTGCCACTGGCGGCGCCGCCGCGGATGCGCTCACGGAGCGCCTCCACACCAATGACAAACAAATTTCCAACTTCCAAGAGCACGTCCAGCGCGCCACCAGGGGCCTTGATCTCTTCGTCAATGTCCCACGACTTGAGCAGGTCCGCGTATTGGGTCATATCCTTGGTGACCATCAACCCACCCGGTCCGCTGACGGCGAACCGCTTAAAATGCTCCAGCAGGAGTCCGCGTGTCCCCAGGGCAATCTCCGTCAAAAATTGTCGCACGTTGGCCCCACTGGAGGGCAACGAGGTACGAGCAATGTTGTGCAGTCGCGTGAGAAACGTACATATCGATGCACAGGTCTAGGACGAGTCAGTTTTGTCAAATACTTTTTTTTTTTTTTTTTTTTTTTTTTTCCTTTCTCTTTTTCTTTGGCTATGCGTGGCTTTTTGCTTTGGATGCATCATATCAGGGAACACGTACCGGTGTCTGCAGCATCTCGAGCCATGTGGCATTGTCACTCTCCCGAGGTCGGAAATCATTCTTTCGTTGACCTGAGAGCAATCGCCCAACCCACGCGAGAGTGCCGTCAATGGTCTTTTGTTCGATGGTGTTGATCTTATCCTCAAATCGCGAAGTGGCCTGGCTGGTCCGTTTCTCCATGTCCCGACGAGTAGTGATACTCCCCGCCGCCAAGGGCAGAAGGACGGCGTTCACGCACATCACCATCAACGTAGTGATACTGATCGTGGTTCGAACAGAAGGTAGGTATCCAAAGTCCGGCTCATTCTTGCCGGATTCTTGAGCCGTGGCTGCCTCCAGGGCAGCGTCGAGGCAGACATCCACGTATCCCTCGCCCATGGTGAGCAGTAGCAAGTTCAGCAGAGCCGACACATCCTTGTGCGTGTCCGCGTTGACGCTCAGTTCCAGCCCTCGACCCACCGCTTCCGCCAGCCACTTCAGCATGCGCTTCGCATCACTCAGGTTGGGCTGACCATCTTCGTCGGTGAGTTTGATCTCCGTCAGCCGTACGGTGTCGGGGACATCACCGAGCTTGGCGACCTGAAGCAGCGTTCTCCGTTGAAAGGGAGACACATCGGGCGAGTCTAGCCGAGCGATGAACGCATCACGAGTGGTAGACAGCAATTCTGTGCCCGGGCGAGACAGGGAAGCCATGAAGGTGGTGGCGGCCTTCTTGCGGCGGGCCTGATAGCTAGTGAATTTGAACAGTAGGGCATTAAAGAGATCCTCGAGCGTGCGCTTCTCGCGCTCGATATAGGACGACCCCACAAAGTAGGGCACAAAGAGCTCTTCCAGCTGTTGATCCAATAGAAGTGCGGTTTGGGAGGAGATTGGTTCGGGGTGCTCGGTCAATCCATGCGCCTTCAAATCATCGATCAAGGCACTGATGTAGCCCCGGGAGCTCTGTAAGCATCGTAGAAATGCCAGAGAGGAGACGCCTCCGGCCTTTTCGAGGACCATTTCCAATCGTTGCTGGATGGATTGCTGGAACACGCGCTGGAGGAACTTTCCAAGCACTTGCTCGTAGTATGGGAAGGCTCGTTTAATAATCGCAGACTCTTCCTGCACCACCACTTTGACCTCATCGAGCAACGATTGCAGACTGGGTTCCACCCCGGGAAGCTCAGCGTCGGGGTCGGCCATTCTCTCCCATGATTCCGCATCTCCGCCGACTTCCTCCGTCATCAGTTGGCTACGCTCGATGAAGAACTGATGCTGATTGACGAACAGCGCGATCACACTAGAGCCGGCATTGAAGTCTTGCAACACGGTAGCACAGTCCTTCATACCGTCAAAGTTGGCCTTGCGATAAAAGTCATCAAACTGTTTTAATAGATCCTTTTCCAAAGTTTCGGAGAATTTCTCAATAATCTCCCTTGTATTCCGACGCGGTGTACTGTTCCCACTGTGCAGGTCCTCCGAGGAAGAATTGCCGTGATGCCCATTGGTCGATGAGCTCTGGTTCTGCTGCCAGCTTTGAGGGTCCAGCCGTTGGCTGATCCGTAGCAATTGTCGCGCGATATGTGCAGACCGTACCTTGGCCTCCGCCGTGCCCGTTCGTCGCAGGTTCTCCAGAAGTGAGATCTCCCCGCGATTACAGACCCCGTCCCAGCATTCGAGCAAGAAGTGGGCGTCCAGAGCTCGCCGTCGTTGTCGATCCAGTTCCTCCAATCGCCGTCCAGTCTCCACCGCCATGTTTCCGGTGCCCCCGGTGCTCTCAAGTCCGGGGCCGTTCAGCGAGGTATCGAGTTGTTGGAATGAATCAATAGCCTGTCGGAGCTTCCGACCGAGGGAGGTGAGGTTCTGCGAGTGCTGGGCCTCTGCCCGACGGACCGCCGCAGAGAGTTCATTTTCTCGAATCTCCAGGTCCCCCGAGAGTTCCCCCAGCCGTCGTTGGGCGCCTTCGAATGTACGGATGAGGGGTTTCGGATCAAATGGTTGATTGGCCGTGGTCGTTCCCACTGTTGAGCGACGTGCGGAGATAGCAGTGTCGGACAGAGCCTCGATAAACTCCTTGACGATAAAATCCCGGCCGGAGAAGTCTTCGAGGGAGAAGCTGGGGCCCTTGGGAAAGACAGTGCGGGCGGGGTTGGAGGAGATTATGGATGCATTGTCCATCATGGCGAGTGCAGGGGCTTCATGGGCCACCTCTGGTCCAGACACAAGTAGTTCGATTTGACCAGCTCCAATTCTCAATGTGGTGGGTGAAATGGGACGGTCACTTGAACAATCCGGGGAAAGCTGGGATGCGCGCAACAAGAAGAGTTGTCGCGGGTTTCTAAATGCCACAGCGAAATATTGGGTTATTGCCACGAATTGGCAATATACATAAACCAGATAAATTCACATAACCAGGTATAGCCCAGTATCATGATATTACGATTAACTTGAAATTAAGAATATTATGGTGACATCCCACCTACGCGTCCCAGTGCCGGTATACTATAAATATAATGAACACCTTGGCCTTACGCATGGACCTACATCTACAGATACACATTCCTAGGCAACAATCTAACTTAGAATATCCGAATAAGTCAGACAAACCGGAATGAAAATCACGATTCTATGTCATCAATAGAATCGACGAGACCGGCAAGCTAGGATAGAGTATAGAGTATACGTTGCACAACCGTTTTATCCAGGTTGCAACTTTTCCCGCTTTCACTCTTTGGCTCCCCCAATCTCTCACCGTCGACATGGTCACCCAAGAAGAGCGCAATATCTTGCGCGCAGAGATCCGCTCTCGCGGGAATAATCTCTCCGCTGCCGATCGCGAGACTCTGATCAAGCCATACCTGCCTGATCCCGCAGACTTGCCACAGACCCGGTCCAGAGCATCGACCGCGAATTCCTCATCCCACTCGCGGCGCCAGAAGGCCCGCAAGACGCCAATTCGCACATTCATCAAGTCGCAGATTCACCACCTCACCTACGCTCTCACTCACATTATCTTTGGCATCATCGTGCGCTTGCTCCAGGCCTACCATGCCGTTGTCGATCGAGTCTTCGCCGTCGTCTACCACCACCACCGTACACCTGAGCTGATTCGCAAGGATGTGCGGGGATTGAAACGATTGCCTCAGCATCTCAGTGTCATTCTGACATTGCGGACCGAGGATGATGCGTTAGCGGTCTTGATGGATGAGGTGGCCGAACTGACTGCCTGGAGTGCTTGTGCGGGAATTTCGCAACTTAGTATATATGAGAAAACAGGTATACTCCCCTCCTGACATAACTATTGAAAGCCCATGAGGAAAAGAAGGAAGACTGATTGAAAATCCTCATGAATTTAGGTGCCTTGAAATCCTGTATTCCAGCTCTGCATCAGATGGTCACCGCCAAGCTCGCATCCTACTACGGTTCACCCTCACAACAGCCCCCCTGCAGCTCTTTGCACCTCACCATGCCGTCTATGGTGCCACCTCTGGCTCCAAATCCGAGGTTCCTCCCCTGACGCTCCTTCTTCTCTCCGCCACCGACGGCCGCGAGACCATGGTGGATCTGACCAAGACCCTCGCCGAGATGTCCCAGAACGGAAAGCTGTCCCCGGAGGATATCACCCCAGAACTAGTTGATGCAGAGCTCAGCGAAATTACCTCCCAGCCACTCCAGCCCGAGGGGGAGACGGATCGTATCCCAGCCAACATCATCAATCCCGAGCCTGATCTGTTACTGATCTTTGGACCCTACTTGAAATTGGACGGATACCCACCCTGGCAGATCCGCCTCACCGAGATGTACTGCACCGGGGACCGCAGCCACGGAGTAGCCGGATTTGGAGAGGCTGTGGAATACCAAGGTTTCATGCGGGGCCTGTGGCACTACGCTGGAGCTCAAATGCGGTTTGGACGGTAAACTAAACCAAGGGGAGGGACAGTGGAAGTCGTCCAGGACAGAGTCTAGAATGGCATGGTTGCCCTGGTCTTTTTTATGTTATACCCGATCAGCAGCGACACTCGAGGCCTACATTTCCATATATTGTATCTCATGAACTTGCATCTATCATCACCATTAATTTCCAGGAAATCATTGAATGTTCATTAATTGATGTAATCTGCGTTGGTATCACCGTGCCATGCCATGAAACGAAATGAAAAGGACTAAAATGCACAATATTATGCCACAGAAACCAAGATAATCCCTCCAAAGTCCGGCCAAAAGGAAGAGAAAAGAAGCCGCATATAGAGGTCTTATGCATACATATCCAACGCCAGTAAAAAACAAATCAAAATCCGTCAAGTCAAGTAAGAGGGTGTAATGTCGTAGGGGTCGTTTTCATGTCGGTTTCATGATATCCTAGGTTCCAATGCCAAGCACCTGCCCCGTGATTCATGAAAGGGCGTAGCAGATGAAATGATCGGAATTATCCAATCATACGGTCATGGTTCATGGCATCCAATGTCCATCCAGGTGCCATGGAGCCCGCCGGCCAGTTTGCCGAATGGCCGCGAACGCAGTCCAGGCACTGGACGATTTCCGTGCCTGTCTCGGTTATCCCTTCCACCGCACAGCTCGAGCAGATCTTCCTTCGAGAATCTGTGCTTTCCAGATCGAACGGTCCCTCGGGACTGTAGATATCTGATTCACCGGGAGTTTCTGGATGCCCAGGAACGCCACGACAGGCGGGAGCATCACATTGGCGGAGACAGATGAAGCACGCTCGCTCCCCACAGAGGTCACAGTCTGCATATGCATCCAAGACTTGTCGCGTTGTGGGACGACGGTGGCAAATGTGGCAGGGACGAAGCGCGGAGGGCGAAGTAGACTGGTAGGAGATCGGGACGGTCCTGGGAGACACGGGTGGGGAGTAGGGACCCTGGGCTGAGGCGTAGATGTTGGGAGAGAGGAGAGAAGATTGTTGATGTGCAGGGAGTGTGAGATAGGGGGGCTGAACGTGTCGGCGCTTGCGAGGTAAACAGCGCGGGCGGAAGGAGTGGTCGCCAGTGTCCGTTGGATGTCGAGATAGGGGTAACGGGCAAGTCTCCCGGTCAGGGCGATCTACTCGGAATGGCGCAAACGCTGAGCTATTTGTTTTTATCATATTAGCGATCGAGTTCAAAGGGTACTCGACTCCAACCCGAGGATCAGATCAATACTTACGGCCGAACCAATGTTGCGGAGTCTTCATGATCTCGTTTGCGTTTCCTCCAGCCCGCAGCCACCAGGTCTGCAGGATCTGACAGCCCAGGCATAGATGAGGGATTGTGATAGTCCCACCAATTCATAAGCCTCAGAGATCACAGGGGGCACTGGGTGTTGCGTTGGAGTTGAAGCCAAAGAAAATAAAGCTTGGGGGGTTCTTACACCGCCTGGCAAATTGCCTCGGAGTTCATGTTACCGCCTTGGTGCTTCCATGCCGACTAGATCGCAAGGGGACAGCGAATTACGCAGTTGGGCTTAGTATAACCCCTTTTGGTCTAGCGTCAGGCGTCCTTATACCTCGCCATGCGTGGGGGTATAGAGTACCCTCTTCGCATCGTATCTTTCCATTGAAACTGGCAGGTGAGAATTGGCAAATGGAAAAAGCCAACACATGGCTCCAATGTTTTACTTATCTACACCAGATTGTACAGAAAGAATACAGTAACCCACAGTATCTCATACCTAGTCTCGGCCGTTGCAAACTTCAAAGCGACGTAGGGCTGCGCTAGATCCGCGCGTACTTTACAAGGTTAAGTAGGCTCTACATACCAGTCGTTCTTCGGCCTTAGAAGATCATTGATTAAACCATAACATTCTCGCAAAACCATAGCCCTCTTCTAGTTTTGAAACTCGGAAAGCCAGCTATGTTGAATCGAATTCAAACTAAGTTAATATACAATGATTTTATTTATTAGCTCGAGCGATCTCTATATAGTTTAAAAGAAATACACGGATGCAGAGGAACTGCTTTAATAGGCTGCTGACGGGCAAGAGATCACACAGACCCATATATGAAGGCAACCTTCTCGTTATATATTACCGTACCGTGATGGATCGAAACGAGGAATTTGATGCTAGGGAAACTGAGACAAAGACCAATATCGAAGAAAGAAGGGATAAAAGGGAAAAAAGAAAAGAAAAGAAAAAAAAACAAGAAAAGTTGGCTACCATTTAGAAACGAAGGCTGTAAAGATGTCAAATAAAGAGGTTCAACTAGCTGAACATGCCGCTAAAGAGAGGAATGCCTATTCTAGGAAAATGTATCTTATCCCTCAAGACTCCTGATCCACATGTAGATAATAAGGTTGAGGCCGAGACCCACTGTGATTTCTAGATCCCCAGAATGACAAACCACATTAATAACCGCAGGGCAAGCCCTTGGCTTTGAACGCTCGCAAGCCATGCCAGAATATGTGAATTTAGAATTGGGGTTGATTCAATCAGATCGCTATCTTCCGTTTTGGCGAAAAATTGTCTTTTCAAAGCCTTCTCAAACGCTCAAGAGGTGCAAAAACTCCTTAGACTGTAGGCCGAACAGCAGTAACCACTTGATAGTAAGGGATACACGAGGTGGTCTGGGGATCTAGATGCGTCATATCCCCCGGCGAGGCTTGGATGAATCGCAAGATCTGCATGCCTGCCTGAGCGGCACAACTCTCGTGGAGATTCAGGATATAATTGATTGCAGGTGATGGAGTGGCAACGTGCCAGGTAGCTTCGACACGGACTCCATCATCGACGAGTTCAGCAACTTGATGCTTGTCCCTCCAAAGCGATACGCTCCGGACTTGACGAGCAAAATACAGTCGGGCTTCACCAGATTGAAACTGGGCATGATCCCGAAGAAGCGATGAAACCCAGGCCAGCAAGACACTCACTACTCATCCACACCAGCAGCGGATACGTAGGCTAATCGAGAAGGAATTGCAGCAGTCACTCCGCAAAAAGCTTCCGTCATATATGGTGCCAGTTGCGATCCGGGTGCTGGACCGGATGCCCCATAACAAGAGCCACAAAGTTGATCGACAAGCGCTGAAAGAAAGCAATGATGTGCTCATAACATTCAGTACCACCCCATCTAAAGCTGCCCCAAGGACTGCTCTCGAAAGGACTTTATCAGAGGAACTGGTCGGCCTCTTGCAGGTAAATGTTAGCATCACAGACAGCTTTTTTGAGCTAGGAGGACATTCCTTGACGGCGATTCGACTGGTCGCCAATATCAACAGCCGTCTTGGAACAAGTCTCAGGGTTGGAGATATTTTTTCTTGCAAGCTGGCTGTTGAACGACACAATTTTCTACGTACCGCCTTTTTCAAGTATCAAGAGCAATACCTGCAGATAATTCACCGAGCTACTAATGTTGATTTTGTTCACAAGTGCCCAGGCGAATCCTTGGAGTCCACCGCAGACCTGATTTCCGAGGAGTATATGAGCCTATCTCAGTTATCGGGTCAGCCCCTCCCTCGGTTTGTCTTGCTGTCTCGATCTGCCACAGAACATCGGTTTCTTGTGCAATTATCCCACGCGCAGTATGACGGTTTTTCATTTCCACTTTTTCTCTCCGAGATAAGCTCATCTTACTCCAATCCTTCTTTGTCCCTCCCTCCTGCGACCCAATACTCCGATTTCATCTATGCTCGTGAGCAATCTCGAATCCCAGAAGCTTTGAAGTTCTGAAAGGCATATCTGCAGGGAGCTTCCTTGACCAAGTTGCCCCTCGCGCAGAGGCAGGAGAAGACATCCCAGCCCCTGTGACAGCCATCGCTGTGGACGATCTCCCCACGTTGCTTGGGGTCATTCTCTCTACGCTCGTCAACGTGGCTTTCGCGTTCATGTTGGCAGAAATGGTCAACAGCGATGAACTCACCTTCCTCGCGATGAATATTCGCGATATTGCCGTGAAAGACGCTGGTAGCATCATGGGTTCGTGCATCAATTGGAACCCAATACGCGTGCACATCAAGCCATACCAGACCGTCTTCGACATTTGCCGACGCTTCCATGAGGAATACGCCGGAGTATCACGGTACAGCTCGCTCGACCTGCCCGACATTGTCGCAAACTGCACCAACTGGCAGGTCGACAGTCGCTTTGGTGTCATCATCAACCATCTGACTGGAGGTAAAGACTGTCCACTGAAGCTGCAGGGCACTGAGACCGCAAGTCTTGGCTTTGGTACACGACTCCAGGCCCTCGTTCGCGCCATCGCGGTCGAGGACACGAAGTTGGAAATCCAGGTTCTGACCTCGGATCGCATGATGAGCAGCGAGGGTGCGATGGCCTTCGCTGCGCTGTTGTCGAGAACGGTGAAGTTATTCTCGGAATCTGCTCATAAGCCCCTCAAACCACTGCAGTACAGTGAGCTGAATTAAAACGATGTGTCTCTAGATCGCAATTCGAATGTGATGGCCCAAAGCCCCTAATACCTCAGTCAGGTTGCTTTTTACCGGCCATTCTGCCTACATGGTTCAGGGCCTGCGTCTGCTGGACCAAACGGCCACCCACTAGTGTTTAGTGATTAGTTCTCGGTCTTTGTTTCTTAATTCACTTATTCTTAAGCATCGCCTAACCGATGGGGGCTGTGAAGTCTAGTAAACTATCATCCACTCCAAACTCTTAAGTTTGGGAAAGAAATTTGGGGTAAAGTAGACCAAGTGTTTCTCAAAAGCAGATTATAAGCATTTTGCTCATATGATGGCGCTCATAGTTTAGAATGCTTATCCCCAGTAAATTTCAATGTTAGATCTCTAAGTGAATTATGAAATTCAAACCCACCACAAGAAACTATATTCTTCAGGTGTCTTGACACTATTTAAGAACTGCAAGTTTATTGTCGAGGAACAATGTGATCAGTAAGCGAGTGACTTCTTTGAGTCATTTATGAAAACTGGCGCATGTTTCTGAGCGTGAAGTGATTCCATTAAGCTGGCGACGTAGGACTGTATGTGAAATATTCAAGACACGTGCAGCTGCATGAATGACTTGATTTCTTGCTTTTGAATGGCAAAGATTGCAAGTAGAACCCTTCCCTCTTTCTCGGTAGAATGATTGAGGGACATTATAGATGAGGGTGCCTATATTGTTGTCCTGATGATGTCCTCTCAAGCGGCTTTTTGATCTAACTGGGTACAAAACCCCCCTTGTTGCAAATTGTCATCCAAGACTGCACTGCGAACATGGAGATGACGAACGAAGTCTGGCCGAAAGAGCGCCCCGAGGCTCTATCAGGAGGCAGGTTATTGTATTGTCTTTGTCTTCATTTCCTGTCCAACTCCACGTAACCCCCCTAGATATATCAGGTTCATAGACTAGTCTTGCAGGTCAACCAGGCAGCAACTATAGGGCTAATCTATCGTTGGCATCAGGGAAGAGCAGCCTACTTCGGATTGGTAGGAGGCCAATTGGAGCTGCACACAAACCGGATCAGGTGGGTATATGTACAACGTATACGGGATTATACGTAATGGGTCTGTGTCGCTGCGGCAAAAGACTTATCCGGGACTGACAGGTAAAATTAAACTCGGCGTAAAAGCCCAACTCGGATGGAGCCGAGTTGGGCTTGCAAGACTTGCAGAGAAATGTATTGGAGTCATGTAAATATGAATGACGGAATTAAGAGGATACGCTGGAGATAAGAACATCTCAGGACCTTTTTTGAGGGGAATTTATATATGGTTTCTGAACCGATGTCAAGCACTTAGAACCGGGATCCATCCCGACGGAGCTGGAGAGAGGAGTCGGGGAGCCGGCGGGTCACCCGTGGGGATCGGGATGCCGGGGTGTCAATCGGGGCAGTGCCTTGCAGGTGTTCTGTTTTTAGATGATCTGAAATAGCTTGATATCAATGATCATCGGATGCTGCGAGTCCAAGCGAAAACGAGAGTGGGTTTCGTGGGGCAGTATGCTCGAGGGTATATGGATAACTATGAGGTAGACGTTCAAACTGCCGATGGTCGGCGATTTGGAACAAGAGAAGAGTTGAGATGATGGAAAGCAGCAAGTAGAGAGAGAAGTTGAGGCAATGAGCCGATTTAGCCCAAGTGTTTTCAATCTCCATATGAATGCCTTTTAGAGTGCGAACTTCTGGGTACTAAGTTCTTAGTACATGTCCTATGAAACTGCGATGCTGTATTCTGCACGATATTTCCCACACTTCCCACGCGTGGGGACGTGGGGAAGTTGAGAACATCCCGGTCGCAGGCGATACCTTGTAGACCCTCTCGTTCAGGTCCCTGTTTTCCACAATTGCTACTTCTATTGATTGATCCATTTTTCCAATTCCATTTATTTGATGTTCCTTTTTACCTTTTTTTGGATGCGCGTTGTGAGTGGTTGACTCAGCCCTTCCCCTTGGATGTGACCTTTCTCCAGCTTTGGCCTCTTGCGTAATCCACCTTTCTTTCCGATCGCATTCGGCCAATTCTTAAATACATCTCCATTTTCGTTTTTTCCTGTTCTAGATCCTTTCTCAGGATCCTTAAGTTTCGCTCTTTTATTTGACTCCCCAAAGAGTCGCGCTTTCCTCTAATTTTGAGAATACATGGCATGTATCTTGACCTAAATTAACCCTCTTCATGGATGAGGGCTCTGATAAAGCCCCTCGGCGGAAGAGGGTCTCAAGAGCATGCGACCGCTGTCGCAGTAAAAAGGTGAGTTGGCGAATCGCATTCGCATAGTCTCCGGGCTAACCGTCCGCTTCCTAGGACAAATGTGACGGAATTCGTCCCACCTGTTCCGCCTGTCAGGCCTCGGGCCAAACCTGCTCCTATGATCCCCATGCGAAGAAACGCGGTCTGCCGGAAGGTTATGTGCGAGGTCTCGAGAAGCTATGGGCGCTATCCATCTGCAATATCGACGGGTTCGAAGAGACCATGTTGTCTATGCTGGGAACAACGTTGGAATCGGCCGGTCGTCGCGGCAAGGTGATGTCGGTCTGGACGGACGACAATAACTCGGAGAGTTTACACGAGACGTGGAAGACGAGTCGCCTATTCAGTGCTCTCGAGAAGATGCTGTCGAACTCCGAACCCGTTCCCACCACCACCGGAAAGCGGTCGCGCAACCCCAATGAGGACTATGGGGATGGGCCGGATAATCAATGGGGGTTTCGGGTTGGTCGAGAAATGACTCCCTTGGGCGCCGAAGCACCGCGCGTGGTTGGACCGTCAGGTCTCTCTCCAACCGCGAAACGAGCCCGCCTCGCACAGGCCCCGGACAACCGTGGCTCCCAATTAAGCAGTAGCCCCCATACCCTCCAGCTGCCACCGCAGACCTCACAGCTCCTCGATATCTACTTCGCGACCACGCACTCGTGGTTTCCCATCGTTGCGAAACACAACATCCTTCGCGCGTCCTACCTCTACGCCAATGCGCCCTTCTCAGTGGCCACAACGTCACCGGGGTCAGGAGACCATGCTACGTTATGGGCCATTTTGAGCTACACCATCACTCAATCCCGAACCGATCCGCGAGCCCGTCCAGTGGGGGCTTTGTCTCTCGCAAGAGAATACTATGCCGTGGCTCGGAACCTTATTCCCTTGGAGAAAGAACGCTATGAGCTTGGTCACATCCAGGCCCTACTTTTACTAACATTGGTGAATATGGGTCTAGAAGACTGGACGGCTTCGTGGTTGTTAAGTGGACAGGCAGTTCGAATGGCCATCGCTATGGGCTTGGGATCCATGACAGATACTCGTCGCTCGGATGAACTGAGACAGGGCAAAGCCGTCTTCTTGGGTTGCTTTGTGATCGACTCGTTGCTATCGTTCCGCCTCTCTCGATCGCCGGCAATGTCCTCGAATGACTTGGCCACCGTGGGTCTTTTGGAAGAGGACGGATTGGAGGAATGGAATTCGTGGGTCGACGTACTCCCTCCCACCGGTGTTGCTCATGGCAAGAACCCCCCTCGCAGAGGTCCGCTGCTGGCCTTGAGCTGCTTCAATCGATTAGTCGAATTGGCGAGTGTTCTCAATAAGACCTCGCGCAACCTGGCAATGGGATACAAGCCCGCCTCTTTCGCACAACAGTTGGTGGCAGATCTCAAGCAGTGGGAAGATGGGTTACCTCTTGGATGTCGATTGATCGGACCAGAGAGTATCTACCCGGACCGACACTCGGCTTTGCTGCCACACCAGACCTACCTAGGGTTGACCTACGTGGCAACGCTTCTTTGGCTCTATTTGCGCCTGATCCCCGGGGAGCAGGGGCTACATCGAACTCAGCGAGCCGCAACAGAGGGGGCCAAGAAGCTGTTGTATCGAGGACTATCCATGATTTCGCAGCATCTGGAAAACTTCCCCATGTGTGGACTTCCGCCCATTTTCGAATTCGCCATGCGCACGATCTCCGAACAGGCCTTTTCGCTACGACAAACCGTGGATTCTTCGGACAGCTTCCCCTTTGCCCAGTGGGCAGAGGAGTTCCAACAAAAGACGACTGCGTTAATTCCGACATGGCCAGTGTATGGTTCATTGGTTTCTTCAATGGACCGTTGGCAACAGCCACATGAATATACTGGACCGCAACCGGGATTCCCGGCCGTTGTTCCCCCTGCAATGCCCGGGACTGCTCCCCTCGCTCCCATGCAGCCGGCCGGTGCACAGGGTATGCTTCCACATGACCAAGGGAGCTATGCTTCGTCTATCCTCGGTATTAGCATTCCGGTCGATGGCCAGTCATTGACACCCAAAGACACCGTCATGGAGAACACCGAAATGTCCATGATGGATGTGCCCTTGCAACAGGCGCCACCGCCACCGCCGATGGATGCACGCTCGATTCTTTCAGATAAAGTGACCCCTCGCAGTGGACCCGATGTGATGTATCCGCCCGGTAGCGCTCCCCCACAACCACATACTCCGGACTCGGCCACCTCCAACCCGATGATGGGGAAGCCTCCCACAAGTGATCGGCCCGGCCCGACCAGCGATATGGGATTCAACCCTGCCGGGAACGGAGACCTTGACGCGATTTTCAAAGACCTAGCCTACTTGGACACCACTGAATGGTCTAATAACCGTGAAGCCGGCCTCAAAGACTTTGGATTTCTGGACGACAGCACCTTCCAGGCCTTCTGTCACGATCCTGATCGACTGGTAGGATCACAACCTCTTGTGCATCCACCATCTATCGCGGACATCTGGCCACCTCCCGGGTTTTTCCCGGAAATGTTCCAAGAAGTCCCAGAGAAGACCATGAACGGCTGATTGGGACTGTTTGGTTCACTTGTACATATCGCACCAATTTGGGCCCACATTTATTCCACTCGGCAGCCGTGTCTCAGCCGGTTTCTGGAAAACCATCTCGGCCAGTTGTCCACAACGACACCGCCCACCGCATCGCAGCACGGCATATTCACTACGCCAAGCCCACTCAGATTTGGGAACACCATTGGCGGGATTGATGAGTCCTATCCTGGTGACCGAGGGAGCAGGCTTCACGGACATGAATGTCGGGCCTTTGTCCAAACTCTTTCCCTTCTGGGATTCAGAGTATTGATGAAGTCTACTTGATTCCATCTAAGCATGTAAATATATTGGATTCTTGAAAGTGACATCTAACAATCAATTGATGGCATTATGACCCGCTTTGAGTTTGGAATGTGGCATCATAGATGAATTCCAACATTCATATGCATTCCTGTGTCTGGTACAGTAGCTACATGTACATGTGGAAATGATGAATCCCTACCTTGATGGATCCGTAGTGGTATGTATTGCGGATCTCTACTGTATCGAGTATGTCGCTACCGATCAGGGGTTGGACCCTGTAGATTCACAGATCCGAATCATTAAGACCAGTACTTGGTATGGGTACTGTATGTCTTCGGGCCCACTGAGATTATGCTTGACGCACTTTCGTACTTCCGTCCACTCATGCACGTTCGATCTGAAACACACGTGACCCAGGCATTCAGGCACCCATTGGCACTTCTGTCTCGTTTCAGGTAGAGGCGCTGCTTAACTCTGATTTTAAACTTCGTACCTCGGCTGGTACAGCCACTTCCCCCTCAAATATTGAACTTTAAACCCTCTTGATATTCAATGTTCCTCTCCATTTTCCTTATAACTCCTTTGTAAACCCCCCTGATCAGCTGGATCGGCAGTTGAAATTGAACCAAAGTTGCTAATTCCCCACTCCCACCTGCTCCCTACCGGTCGATCTTTTCCCTGTGCTGTGTCAGAAAGCCCGCAGCCGATGACGCTTGCGTGGGGCCAGCGGGTAGGCTTGAACTCCCGCCCACAGCCTCGTTGGTTCATGGCCCGCGTGCTCGATGATCCATCCCCAATATTTCGGGCGGTTAGCCTATCACTTGGGCGCTTCGTCACCGGTCGACCAACTCATAGGGTCGTTGCCTGTGCGCTTGCCCCATAGATCGTCGCGTTCAACAAGCTATGGGGAAAATGCGAAAGGGGATGGTCACTCCCTCGATGATCCCTGACCCTTTTCTGCACGTTTCACCAGGCGCCGTCTTTGTTTTATCCCTTCACTCATCTGCTCTTTCTACAGAGAGCCTTTGTTCTTCTATGGCCTCTCTTACATTCTTTTCTTGATTCACTCCTTATAGATTTTTTCCACTCTCACTCCTGCTCTGGCAACCATGTTGAGTTCTTCGCGACGATGGTTCTTCATCGGCTCCCCGCTCATTATTTTCACCCTCCTCTATTACGTTCTCTACACATATAATCAACCCTCCGTCGCCGTGAACTCCGAACCCTGGAATCAGTCCGCAGACCACCTGATCTCGGAAACCCAACCACCGCCGCAGCCCTCCGGATCTAACATTTCTGTTGAAGAAGACCAATGTGGACACTTGCGCCATGATATGGACGATGTGCTGGTCATCTTGAAGACGGGCGCCACCGAAGCCCAGGAAAGAGTACCGGTGCAGCTGCGCACTGGCCTTCAGTGTGTCCCGCACTTTGCGGTCTTTTCGGATTATGAAGAAGTCATCAACGGCGTGCGCACCTATGATGTTTTGCAAAATGTGTCGCAAACTACCATGGACAAGGAGCCGGAGTTTGAGTTCTACAAACGCCTGCAAGAGGTGGGCCGTGAAGGTCTGACTGAGGAAGATTGGGGCGACGATACCAACGGCCCCTTCGGCAAAGTGAACAACCCCGGCTGGAAGCTGGACAAGTGGAAGTTCCTTCCCATGGCGGAGGAAGCCCTTCAAGTCATGCCTGATGCCAAATGGTTCATCTTCATCGAAGCCGATACGTACATCGTTTGGCAGAATCTGGTCAACTGGCTTGCACATCTGGATCACACACGGAGTTACTACCTCGGCAGCCCTATGCAGATTGGCGAGATTCTGTTTGGCTACGGTGGTTCTGGTGTCATTTTATCGAACAAGGCTATGAACCGCCTACACACTTACCAGACCGAGGCTCTGGATGAACTGGAGCAAATGACAGCTACTGAATGGGCCGGAGACTGTGTTCTGGCCAAGGCCCTTGAGGCCACGCACGTCTACTTAACCTGGGCCTGGCCCATGATGATGACTTCTCGGCCATGGGAAGTCGACCACTTCTCCGAGGCCTATGGTCGACAGCCTTGGTGCTACCCGGTGATCTCTTACCACCACATGAACCCTGAAGATATCGAGGAGATGTGGCAATTTGACCGAGGGTGGTTCCGGAGTGGCAAGAATGCTCTGCTGCTCCACGCCGACGTGTACCGCGAGTACGTTCACAATGGAAGCCTCTCTCAGCTTGATGACTGGGATAATCTCTCGGGGGCTGAAATCATCTTCGATGAACCCACTCTCCCCTCCGTCGACTCATGCGCCGACGCTTGCATGCAGAATACTGAATGTCTGCAATATTCCTTCCACCATGGGGAGAGTTCTTGCAAGCACGCCGCCACTACCTTGCATGGTGTTCGCAGCAATGGAACATCCTCCGGCTGGATTCCCCGCCGTGTTCAAAAATTGTTGAATACCTTCCAGTCATCTTGTCCTCAGGTGGAGTATATCTTCAATTAAGTCACTTTCGGACCTTCACCCTTTTATTTTGATTGTATATACATACCCTTCGTTGCACATATTTTTCCTCATTATCTCTCAGTCACCCTTTCGGTCACTTTTGCTTGACCGTTTCCCTTGTCTTCATTGTCATTTCCATCACTCTCTTCCAACTACAGGATCATTTGCGAGGCGTTGTAACGGGGCGTTTCTATGGAACACCATACACCTGCTGGACAGACAAGACGTCCCCAGCCCTTTTCATTCGCTGCATTTATTGCATACGAGCGATATTTATTCGTGCCGGACCCCCTCGGGGCTGACGATCAAGACAGAAAGTCTTGGACATTTATGTATCATTGCTATGAAAAATTACTTGATTCACATATTCATTTATTCTGTGTATATTCACGGTTACGTATTTAGTTACAAGCCATCGCATCATCATTTACAAGTCATCATATCGTTCATGACTGTTCGAACTCAAGCAGTCTCTGAAGTCTCCGCCTCGGGGTCCTCCGGTCGTCTCTTACTACGCTCGCGCAGAAACACCGGCGTGATGGTCAAGATAGTGGCCACCACCACTATAATCGCCTGGATGCCGAATACCAGGCCCAGCCCGTTTCGCGTGATCCAAGCCGGTTGGAAATAACCCACGGTAAACCCGCCACAGGTGCGCCACATATTCAGAATGGCCGAGACACAGGTTGCTTGGCCGGGATATTTCTCGAGAGCGTACGCGGTAATCGCCCTGCCGTGCGTTAGCATCATCCAAATTTTCCCAGGGAGACAACTTACACAATACTCGCTACCAAGCCGATATTCACCATGATCCAACCGAATGCAATGCCTATCCAGTGTTTTTCAAAGTTCATCGTCAATCCATAGGTGAGGAGGCCTGCTGCCATGCTACCGACCGGGAACCACACCCCATGGAGCCGATACTCAGTGCGCCAATTGTGAGAGTGGCGGCGGTAGATCCACTCGTTGAAAACATGACCAACTAGGTACCCTAGAAAGCGTCAGCCGGCATTCATCAACAGGAACGATGGAGACAAACCGCAAAGAGTCCCAATGACACCGGCAAAACGCATAGAAGAAGCCTGGATTGTATCGAAGAGGTATGGAGGGCTGTGTAGGAAAGTATCGATGGTGGTTGTGATTCCTGTCAGGATTAGGATCGAACCAACTCAATATTTTGATATTGAAGGTTGACTTACCAATTGGCCAGGTAAATGTCACCAGGACAGCAATACCTGTCAGGAACAGCGGGAACTTGAAAATATAGATAACCAGCGTCCGGCATCTATCTGCAATGGTCGCCAGCTTCGGGAGCTCCGTATTTCCAACGCCAAAGTACGAGCCAACTCGAGTCCCGGTCTTACCCGGTACATAGTAGGTCTCACGTCCGAACAGAAGCACCATCGCCGTGGACAGACCATACAACGCCGTCAGGATCCCAAATGAATCCCGCCAGTTAGTGCCAGCCCCGATATAGCCTGCAATGGCTGGACCCAAGAAAGGACCAACTAAGAAGGTGGTTCCCCTGCATGCATTAGCCTTCGTCACCACATGGTTCCATGCATACTCACCAGATATTAATCATACGAGGCCACTCTGTGCGCAGGTCAGCATCGTTTCATTTCCGTCTAGCGTGGCATAAGATCTTACCATCGGGTCTATAGATATCATGAATAATAGGCAGTCCAATCACCTGCGGCACGGTCCCAAACAAGCCCTGCAGGGAACGAAAGGTGGTGAAGGTGGCATAATCCGTCGAAAGCGTTGCCCCCAGGACCATGAACATGGTGATGACCTGGGGCCAGATCCAGATCGGAAATCTAGTCGAGATGATCAGACCAGTTTCAAATCGGCACATGTATACAACTCACCGTCCATAAGCTTCGATCAGCGGAACGGCAAAGATACCACCGAAGCCTTGAAGTAGAATGCCATAGTTCATACTGGTCGCCGAGTGATCAACGGTGATATCCCAGTCGATCGCTTGCGGAGTTACCAGCGTTGAACCCCAGACCATGGCTCTATATCCTCGTTAGTTACCGTACCATCATCATCAGGATGACTATGGTTGAAAAGGTGGCGTACCCATCAGCTAGGAAAGAACTCGACATGAGTGCCATGAAGAGCAAAGTCTTCCGAGTCGACGACCACTCTCGTGGATCTTGAGCATCCATCGTAGAATGCTTGTGATCGATGGAACGAGATGGACTCACGATGCCATCTGACTCGGTTAGCTCATCGACTGGAGCCAATTTGGACATGATGCAGGTCGAATCAATAAAGGCCGAAAAAGAAAAGTACGCCGCAAGGGATTATCGTTTCCTGTAGAGGGAACCGGAAGATTTTAAAAAGAGTTGAACACATGGTTAACGTGGTTTCTGTCGCGCATCGAATTTCCTTCTGGAAGAACTAGTCAGATCGGATGTATCTGGTGACGGGGAATTGTTATCGCGAGCAATCACATTTCCCTCCTGCATATAGATCACAAAACCTAGATTCCAGATCGAACTAGTGGCACTAGTGATTTGTTCATGCATCTGTCTCGTTTTGGGGGGCAAGAACCCCTTGCGTAGGTTTGATTCGTCCAGCGCCAGCCAAGACACTAGCGAATCGGCTTAATAGGATCGCAAGGAGAAAGTATGGAAAAGTGTAGGAATTCCGTGATAGCTCCTTGTTCTGGAGAGTACAAAGTAGAGGAGTATAACGCCTGGGAAATATTAACTTTGCACCACAATGTCGTTCTTGAATCGTCTAGGTAGTCTGTTCGGCCTCTCCAAGGCAGCTCCTACGCTGCCTCCAGGCGCAGTACTGGCGGCGACGGTCACCAAGGTACGTGACGAGGGGATACGAGCCAGCACAGAACCTAATGCAGAAGTAGTCTGCTTCCTTAGGCTTCGTTCCGGTCGCCATCCATTTTGACCTTTTTGGCACGTTGGTGCGCAATGGAGGGCCCGCCAGCGCAGAAGACGTAGCCAAAGCTTCCAACGCAGCCCGATCTAAGAATGAACCGGAGATTTGTACGTGGAAAGAAATCAACATGATCACTAGCACACTGCTAACCCTTGACTTAGGCACTCAACTTGCATGTAGGCTGTTTATTCCCTGGGGACCCGATACCTTATCTATACTGATCATTGACAGCCGACACGCTTTACATCATGTCTGGTCTGGGACTAGTGGACCGCGTGGACGACAACCGTTTCAATGCCAATGCTGTTACCCGACACATGGTTGACATGCCCTCCGCGCAGCATGGCGCATTGCATTTGTGAGTTCCCATGGACCTGGACCTGGACCCTTGGCAGGAACTGACCTCGACCAGTACCACGGAAGGAATGATGGCCGGTGCATTCCTGATGAAGAAGCTTCAGGACACGAACTTTGCTTACCCCTTCCAAGAGGCCGAGGGTCCAATGCAGTACGCGTATCAGCTGATGGGGCAGGAGGCCCTCGCCCAAGCCCATACGTACACCATCATGGAAGCCCAAGGCCGAATGGACAGTTTCAACGAGTTCATGGTCGGTAAATTCCTCAAGTTCGGCACTTTTCCCGAGCGCGTGGAGTCTCTCGGATACGACCTGCGGGCAGCCCTCAGCGCCCCCGGTTCCGTCGCGATGGTAGACATCGGCGGGGGACGAGGGGAACTGCTCCTTGAAGTCCAAGCGGCGTTTCCGCATTTAACCGCGGAGAATCTGGTGGTGCAGGAATTCAACGCGGAGATCGACGAGGTGCCGGGGGTGAGGTTGATGGAGTGGAATTACAAGACGAGTCCTGCGCAGCCAATCACCGGGGCCCGGATCTACTCTCTTCAGCACATTCTTCATAATCTGCCTGACTTGGCGGCGGTGGCGCTCCTGCAGAAACTTTCACAGGCCATGGCGCCCACGTCGCGGTTGTTGATCATTGAGTACGCGAAGAACCTGACCTATACGCATCTCCATGCCAGTATGATTGCGCTCTTTGGGGGCAGAGAGCGCAGTGCGTCGGAATGGCGGCAGCTGGCGCAAGTGTCGGGATTGCAAGTAACTTTCGAAGCATATGTAGCGGGTGGTGAATCCTTGGTGGAGATGCGGCGTAGTTCATGATCTATCACATCTACCAACCCAATCACAATTTAATTCTGCTCCCTGGGTCCTGATCTGGTTCCTTTGCAAATCTTCTTTCCAGATCTCGTATGATCGCCTCGATCATTCGTGACGCTGAGTTTCTTTTTCTCGAACTATTGAGTCGCCCTTGTTCCCCCTTGCGCATGGTTTCTAACCTTCGCTTATTCTCTCCACATGGGCTTCTTGACCCATTTCAAATCGCCTGGACAGTTGCAGACTAGACTGCCCTTTCTATCTGGACCTTGCAAATGATAGATTTGGGTTTGCTAACACTCGTATGGTTTGTGAATCCCCCTTGTTCCCACATCTGACCTGTAGTCGAAGTTTATCATCAAACCCTCACGCTGATCCGATCCGACTGACGTACATTGATGCGGAACTCACATATGTTGGGACCTATTTGTATAGCGTCCCCCGCGCCTGTCAACGCATTCCTATGCCCCGCTGACCCTGCATTTCACCATGAGTGTTCCACGGCCCAAGGAAGGGGATGTTAATATTGGTATGTCCTGTCGCGTGCTCGTCCCATCAAATACTGACAGCTACAGGAACTGCCACGTTTGATGCATGCTGGGTAGGTCCTCCAAGGCTCCGGACTTGCTTGGTAAGAGCTAATAGCTCCTAGGTGTTAACTGTCATCGTTGGTCTCACGCTCTTGTTCCGATATGCTGTCAAGGCATGGATCCGTTGGGCTTTGCCTCAGGTCACAGCACCAGAGCGGATCTGGGGAATTGAAGATCTTTTCTTTCTTTTCGCCTACGGATTTGATCTCACTCATATGTGCATGATTCAGATGAGGTAAGTCCTGGTTTTGCATATACCTCATATAGCTCAGTCACTGATCTCGCTGGTTAGTGCCCATTGGGGTCTAGGGCGACATTATTTCTACTTGTCTGCAGAGGAAAAGTCGCACGCCATGAAATGGGACTTTACATCCCAACCCATTGCGGTGGCCTCGGCTATGGTGTCACGCACCGGCATGATGTGGTTCCTCTTGACCTGTTTCGCGGCGAGCGATCGCCGGATCCGAATCTCGATTATTGTCTGCGCGATTGTCCAGATCGTCGCCAATATGATCACGATCGCCCAAATCATCGTTCAATGTGGACCAAATCCATACCGCCCGGTATGTAATCCGCGTCCAGGGATGCTAGGAGCTCAAGCTAATGTGCCACAGTCCGATCGCATCCAATACTTCAAGTACATGTGGACGCCACTCCCAGAAGATGGTTCTGTGACATGTCAATCGCCGATGGTGCAAACTACTATTGGGTTTGTTCAGGGAGGCTTCAACACCATCATTGATTTCTTCTTGGCCGCTCTGGCGGCGATGGAGCTCTGGCAGTTCTTCCTACGCACTTTACACCGGGACCCTAACACCTCTTTTTGGTCTCAATTCCGCAAGATTAACAGTACCGTTCGTTCGCGTCGGATTTGGCAGACTATAACCTTGTGCGGTCCACTCATACTCTCAGGTGCTGCATCGATCATCAAAACCTATGTACGTGAGCCATGCCAATCTAGGAGATGGGGAAACTAATAATCATCAGAAACTCAAGTCGCTGGGGGATCGACTAGATTTCACCTACAATATTGTCTCCTTTGTTCTCTGGGTGAAGTAAGTTTTAGTGCACCTCCGGTGACCGCACGGCTGCTAACCTGCCCAGGATCGAAAACTACAGTATCCTTCTCGCATCATGTGCACCCGTCGCCCGTCTCTTCCTCCGGGCTTTCGTCGATTCTCGCCGTGGAGGCCGACCAGGGTACTGGTCCAAGTCCAAGTCCACAAACAACCAAAACAACAGCAACGATACAGAGATGAAACATCGTCCCAAAGATCAATGGGACTCGACCACCGTGACCGGGTGGAACGATGAGGAAAGTTCTCCTTCGGACTGGCCGAACCACGAGCGCTCTGAGAGTCGAATCTCGCGGGCTCAGCAGCCAGATCATATTGACGATGGTTGCGTTACCGTGAAGACGGATATTGTTGTTCAGGTGGGCGATAGTCGCCCGCGTTCAACCTCGTCGGGAGGTGCACGGTTACTTCCAGGCAGTGAGGATGGAGATGCCCACGAATCACATTATCGTTGATTCGGCTAATAATGTATATATCGAACTGGGAAGTAAGAGTAATTAATAAAGTGCTGCTCTCAGGTGCTGGTAGTGTTTTTTCCACCGTTCAAGATTTTGTAGATCTACCGAGCTATATATATCTGTGGATCCGCCAAGGACTCGCCCATCAGACCTCGATTATGGATCACCATGCACTCTACAGTACTATTTATTTTATTGGTCTTTGGGAACTTCGAGGTCTTCCATTTTGGTAGCATGAGTTAGGTACAACTCTGCCTCTCTCAACTCTCATCCAGGCTCAATCAAGGGCATGGTGATTGAACTAGATGGCCTATTTTTTTTTTTTTTTACCGTCATCCGTCCTACCTGGAGCAGGGTCCGCACCCTGAGTACAGTATGTTGATAACACCGTGCAAAATGGATAACTCGCCATGCCCTGACAATCAACCATCCATTGGCTTCCTGGGTGTAGAAATTGTTTGATTATAGGTTCTCCACGGTGAGTTGACGACTAGATATTGGTCCCTCCGTCCTGAGTGCATGATGAAGAGGGAGAAGTCCATCTTACGGCGATGAATAGGACTCATCGGTGGGTGGATGATGACCTGGATATTACGAGATGAACTAAGGAGGTACACAAATATCTCATTCATAACGATCAATTCCAAGGCTGATCAGCTAAACACGTGATGATAACGGGATTACGACGCCTCCGCATCCTCCGCACATCATTCTACTCCATACCATGGCGATCAAAAGCTCTGCATTCCCCTATCGCCGGGGCTCTAACTCTTCGGAGAAAGATTTCTTTGATATCGCCGACGAATCAATACTGGCCATCGCAAAGCGCCAATTACGCCGACCGCGCACATGGATCACTCTGGTGGTCCTGTTCTTCCTACTCCAATGGCGCTTTCGAGAGCGCCCTCCTGCCTCTGGACTCGCTCATATCAACTACAATAAGGTAGACTGGTCGCGCTATGCTTACACTTCATATGCGACCTCGGAAACCTACCTTTGCAATTGTGTGATGGTGTTTGAGGCTTTGGATCGACTCGGGTCTCGTGCAGAACGTGTGATGTTTTACCCCCAAGAGTGGGACTTGATTGTCCAAAATGAGGCAGATCGCACCAGTCAGCTATTGTTAATGGCCCAGAACAAATACAAAGTGCAGCTGAGGCCGATCCTAGTGGAGGGGATCAGGATTGACCCTAAAGGGGAGGAACATGGTGGGTGAAGACTGAACGATCTTCTTACAATCAGATGCTGACTGCATCTATAACAGGATCTTCCAAGGCGGAATGGGACTCGAGTACTGTCAAATTAAACTCCTTCGGTCTCCTGCAATATGATCGGGTCATCCATCTTGACTCCGACATGACACTCTTGCAGCATCTGGATGAGCTGTTCTTCCTCCCGAAGACCCCCATTGCCATGCCTCGTGCGTACTGGCTCCTTCCCGAAACAAACACCCTCTCCTCGCTCATGGCCGTTATCGAACCGTCCTTCCGCGATTACACCGATCTTCGAGAAGTCATCCAGCCCGCCCTCTTCGGTCAGATCGACATTAATCAGACCGACAGTCGATATGACATGGAGGTCTTGAATAGTCGGTATGGGGACAGTGCCATGGTGCTCCCGCACCGACAGTATGGGCTTCTCTCGGGAGAGTTCCGCACCAAAAACCACCGGAGATACCTGGGCACTCATGAGGAGTGGAATCCTGACAAAGTGCTGGCGGAGGCCAAATTCGTACATTTCTCTGATTGGCCATTGCCCAAGCCGTGGGTGATGTGGCCGCAGAAGCAGCTGGCAGAACTGCAGCCCGCGTGCGACATCAACCCTGGAACACCAGAAGAGAGTAGTTGCAGGAATCGCGAGGTGTGGAAACAGCTCTATGACGACTTCCGGCGCCGACGAAAGGTGAGATTTCACAATTCCCAACGAACAAAGGGAGGTTTTTCTTCAAGAAGTTGGTTACTGATCTGGTGCAGGACATTTGCAAGTTGCTTAGCTTCCCGGCTCCGATTTGATTTGATGGCCTCCATGAGCGAGTGAGGCCACATTGTACAGTATTGACTGAGATAGAGTGGCGGCGTTCGTCGGCGTTTTCCCCCTTCTAGGAACTACAACCTGTACAGCATGAAATACAACCAGTATAGATGTGGTCACTCCGGCATTCCAACTTGGAATGGTATCGTGCAATGCAAAACAGCAGCCCATGCCGTATTGAAAATAGAAGCTAGGCATATCCCATACCTTTCCTCCACCACCCCCAAACCCTCCTCTTAGACATCAAGTCCCCAAACTCTTTAACGCTCTCCACCTCAGACAGCCCACTCCCAGGAAGAGGGGAATACTCATCCCCCTCCGGCGCTAAGAGACCAGGCCGCGTGACAAGTTGAAAATCCTTATACCGTAGCTTACGCACGACCGACACCCACGACTCAACATTGGTCTGCTCCTGACCCTCCACGTACATGATCCCGGGACAACCGCCGGAGCGCAGGAGGACGTAACATTGGTGGACGTCGGCGGCACGTTTGAGGGCGGCGACTTTCTTCCGGGAAGTGATGTGGTGGGTGCGGATTAGGGCGTTGAAACGCATGGGCATTTCGGTCTCGAATGCAACCTGCAGTTTGGATTTGGAGCTGAGGATTGGGTATAGGTCACGTGCATACATTCCTAAATTACATCATTGGAACTTAAATTGATAGTCACCTAAGTTAACTTATACCGTAGGCAATGTGATATATAATGTGGACATTTGATCAAGGCGATCTCATAGATTCTCAAGCTGAATGCCTCTAATTGTCAATTCTGACGACATAGTAAACCTCGAGAGTTCAACGAATGTAACCTTCAAGGTTGAAAGCTTAGAACCAGAGTTAATTAGGCAATTCTTAAAGGTTGTCGACTCAATAATTATTCGAGAAAGTCTCTGGCCACAGTATGTAGGTGCTTTGACCCTAACACGTAGCCATCAATGTGGCGTACCAGGCTGGCAAACCCAGACTACGAAAAGCTTGGGTCAAGACATCAAGCTGCATAACATTAGATACCCTCTACATTTCGGTGTCTCTTGATCAACATATGAGCCCATCAAATGTACCTCGCTCCCTGGTCCATAGCCAGTATCCTTGGTTAAAGTATTCCAAAGATGGCTGGCACTGGGCTTCTGTCAAAGACATTGCAGGGCACGTGAGATCCGACATGAGTTTCCCCTGTTCATTCCTTTTTCATCTCCTTGCATCTCCTTTCCTTCACTCCCTTTTCAAGTTTCTCATGCAATGCCCAATTCTTTAAGCGATCCCCAACCCTGGACTATATCCCATAAATCTAGGATCGTCCAATCAGTCGGCCGCGGATAAGCAAAGGAGCTATTGTGGGCCTCAATTGAGATCGACGCGCAGATGTCATATGCGGTCGGAGAATTATGGATTTATGGCAATCCTAGCTGACACTAAGTTCGAGTGCGATTCGTCCAGCAATTTTCGGTACGTACTGTAGAATGATCACGTCGCAAGACGATCGGCACCTGCATTGACCTGATTTACAAGTACGCCGCTAACTTCCTCCCCCCACCTATGTCATTGGCTTTGGCATAGCACTTGACAACCATCAACAAATCCTTCACGAGCTAACCGCCGTGATCAGAATTTCTTGGTTCGACCCGCTAATTTTGGCTCACAAATGGCTGGTTCCGGTGGAGCCTCTCCTCTTGGCTTCCTGTTTCCGCAAAACTTTCGCCGCGGTCTCCGCCGGGAGCGCCAGACTTTTGTCTTTACTCTAATAAGCTACTACTTTAGCCTGTTAGATACCTCGTGGTGTCCTCGGACCACCATGGCTGATTGGTTTCTGTCGATCCGATGGAGATCAAAACACCGTTCATTGTCGGTGGTCCCACTGGCTCTTTTTTCCCCGAAGTTCATCTCCGCGTGGCGGATTGGCCATCCAGAAAAAGAGTCATAGGACAACTTGGCTTCCTCTTTAGGAAGCTGGACCTAACTAGCAGAATGTATTAAATGAAAAAATTTGACAATGACTGTTTCTTGTTCCTCATTTCGATTTCTGGAAGATGCAGGATACTGTGTCTGCCCATACTGCTTAACACCAGCTGGAAAACAGGGTGAATCATGCCCGCTCCTCTTCACGCTCGTCCTCATCCTTCTTTCCCCCAAGGGCAAGAGGGGCCGGCCTCAGGGGTCCAAGGTCCGCGAGTCCAGGTATCTCATGAGGATGAGGACGCTATTGCCCATATTCATCGTACCCTGACCAAAAAGAGCCACGGAGCCAGCCATCAATATTCAGAACCTCACTCGTCATTTGACAGATTCTTAGAAGAACAGGTTCAAAACGGAAAGAAACAGGTCAATATTGGAGTGTCCTTCCAATCCGTCTCCACTTGGGGCGAAGGTAGTGGCCATGATGAGGTGAAGACGTTGGGAACAGCCTTGTGGCGTACCCTCACGTTGCAGGATATCTATGAATGGACCATCCAGCCCTGGCGAACGACGAAGAAACCCCAAGAGGGTCGTCCTTTGATCAGGGACTTCTCGGGGGTGGTAGAGAGTGGAGAAATGATGCTGTAAGTACAAGCTAGGTCGATTCAATCCATAGCTAATCAATGATTTGATAGGGTTCTGGGACGCCCAGGAGCTGGCTGTTCATCATTCCTTCGAACTATCGCAGGACATCATTCATCTTTCCTAGGGGTGACAGGCTCCATAGACTACTCTGGACTCAGCCCCGAAGAGATTCGCAAGCACTATCGCAGTATGGTCGCGTATGTGCCTGAGGATGATGTTCATTTCCCTACCTTGACTGTGCGACAGACCTTGGAATTTGCTTTGCAGAGCAAGACCCCCAAGCGCTTTCAAGAACGAATTCCGCGCTATTTGGAGATTTATGGTCGAGTTTTTGGTATGACCCATACAATGAACACTCTCGTTGGTAACGAGTACATCCGGGGTGTTTCGGGTGGCGAGCGCAAGCGTATCTCGATCATCGAGTCACTCGCTACCGATTCGTCGGTAACGTGTTGGGATAACTCCACTCGAGGACTGGATGCCTCTTCTGCTCTGGATTATGCCCGTAGTCTGCGCATCATGACGGATACTTGTGGAAAAGCGACACTACTTACGCTTTACCAAGCTTCTGACGCCACTTACGAGCTGATGGACAAGGTACTTCTCATCGATGAGGGACGGATGCTCTTTCAAGGCCCGGCACACGAAGCTAAGCGGTACTTTGAAGACCTGGGATACGAGTGTGCCCATATGCAGACCACTTCCGACTTCCTCACCAGTATCACGGTACCGGAGAGACGCAGGTTTCGTCCGGGATGGGAGAACCGGGCTCCCAAGGGGCCCATTGAGCTGGAGGCGGCGTTCCGACAGAGCTTAGCCTTCAAAAATATCGAGAATTCCCTCGAGCGATACGAGGAGCAACGCACTGGCAAGTCCTCCGCAACCAGCCAGTGCGGATCGGAGTGTGACAGCGTGGAGGAAATCAAGCGGACCATACAGAGTGACAAGTCCCGCTTTGTGTCGTCCAAGTCACCGTATACCATCTCGCTATTTCGTCAGATTGTGCTCTGTAGCCAGCGGCAGATGTGGCAGCTAAAGGGTCACATGGGACCGTTGTACATCAAGTTGATCTCTGCCGTGGTCTATGGATTATTGGTGGGATCCATGTTTTATGATCAACCCCAAACTACTGAAGGAATGTACTCGCGAGGAGGTGTGTTGTTTTACTCGTCAATTCTGCTTGCCTGGTTGCAGATGTCGGAACTGGAAGATGCCATGCAGGGACGTGATATCCTCAGCCGCCAGAAAAAGTTCGCATTTGTGCGCCCCAGTGCAGTCTGTTTGGCTCAAGGTCTACAGGATATGGTGGTGAGCGCACTTCTCACCTTTCTGTACCTGATCGTCCTCTACTTTCTGTCTGGTCTCCGCTCAGAGGTAGATAACATGATCCCCCGGTCTCACACATCGGCTAACTGGAATAGGCCGGTCCATTCTTCATTGATTTTCTGTTTATCTATTTGTGCACCATCTGCCTGACATCGCAGTTCCGTGTGTTTGCTGCGGCATCCAATAACTTTGAAGTTGCATTACGCTATTGCGGTGTATCTGTGCTTTTCTGTATCGTATTCGGTGGCTACGTTCTCTCCGTCGACAAGATGATTCAAGATGTCCCTTGGGTGGGATGGCTTGCAGTAAGTATGCAGTCTGTTCTGATGACCAGCGCTAACCCGGATTCAGTATACCACCCCGGCTTTGTATACATACGAGGCGCTCATGGCAGCCGAGTTCCACAACATGAATTTCACCTGTGCCTCTGGATCGGTTGTTCCATCGGGACCCGATTATACCGACGTCGCATATCAAACATGCGCGTATGCTGGCAGCCGGATTGGCAGCACGGTGGTAAATGGCGATGACTACCTGGCTGCCCAGTTTGGATTTTACTACAGCCACGTGTGGCGGAACTTTGGCATCCTTTGTCTCTTCACAATCGCGTTTGTGACCCTCACTTGCTGGCTAAATGAAACTCTGGAGTGGGAGCTGGACAGCGCTGGGCCAATACAATACGCATCTTCTGGTTGGTTCCAACGCAAGAACAGAATAAACCAGGAGACCGACGAGGAAAAAGCCCCAGTTCCCCGGGACCCCAAGGCTACTCCAGTCGCATACATGGAAAGGAAATCTGGGCAGACGTTGGCTGCCACAGAATCTATGTTCACTTGGGCTGACTTGGAACTCAACGTCCAAATTGGCAAAGAATCTCGAAAATTATTGGACGGAGTCTGCGGCTACTGTAAGCCAGGGACTCTGACAGCTCTCGTCGGAGCATCGGGTGCTGGAAAGTCGACACGTAAGATCACTGTCCATTCTACGCAATTCACAGCTAACAATTATAGTCCTGACTGCGCTTACACAACGTCAAAGTGCTGGTACTCTAACCGGATCTCTCTATGTAGATGACCATCCCATCGATGGATCCTTCAACCGACAGATTGGCTACTGCCAACAAATGGACATTCACGACGAAAGCAGTACTATTCGCGAGGCCTTTGAATTCTCAGCTTTGCTTCGCCAAAGCCGAGAGACCCCGAAGGAAGAGAAAGTCGCCTACGTCGAGACTGTGCTGCAAACACTGGATCTGGTAGACCTGCAGAGTGCCGTGATCGGATCCTTGGATATCGAGAAGAAGAAGCGTGTCACAATTGGAGTTGAGCTCTGTGCCCGACCAAGACTACTTTTATTCCTCGATGAACCGACAAGCGGATTGGATAGTCAGGGTGCAACTAGTATTGTGGGATTGCTCAGACGTTTGGCAGACCAAGGACTTGCGGTTCTTTGCACCATCCACCAGGCTAACCAGCAACAATTCGAGGAGGTAGGTTCTTAGTCTGTCTTTATCTACGTTCGCCACTAATGATTTAGTTTGATCGAGTTCTCGCCCTGAGCCCTGGTGGAAGTACGTATTACTTTGGGCCCGTAGGCGAATCGGGCAAAGCGATTTTTGATTATTTTACGAAACACGGAATCAACCCAGAGAATATCACCAACGCTGCCGATTTTCTTATCGAGATTGCAGTTGGTGGTATGAAAACCTCTGGCGTCAGCTGGGCTTCCATCTGGCGCAGTTCTCCAGAGGCCGAGGACGTTCGAAAGACAATTTCTGGAATTCGCCAAGAGCACCACCACGCCGCTCTAACCGCACCCTCCCCACCTGCTATTTACCAACAGACCGCTCTTCTTACCCAGCGGACGTGTCGTCAGTTCTGGAGAACGGCGGAATACCCATACTCGCGTCTCTACTCGTCCTTCCTCCATGCTCTCATCAACGGTCTTACGTATCTCCAGATTGGAGATAGTGCCACGGACCTCCAGTCCAAGGCTTTCTCCTGCTTTTTGGTTCTGATGCTGGTGCCCGAGTTCATCAACGCCATCTCCATGCGCTTCATCATGAACCGTGATATTTGGCTTGCCCGAGAAGGGCCAAGTGGAGTGTATAGTTGGGTTGCCTTTAGCACAGCCCAGATCCTGTCCGAAATCCCGTATGCCATTATCGGAGCAGTCATTTTCTACATCTTGTATTACTTTATGGTCGGATTGCCTTTGGGTTTCGCGGCAGGATACAGTTTCCTGATGTTTTTCTTGTTTTTCCTATTTGCCACGTCCTGGGGACAGTGGATTGCTGCTTTGAGGTGAGTCCAGGCCGCAATGTCAAAATACATGACGATAACTGACCAATTCAGCTCTGACTCGATGGTGGCGGCGACTTTGATGCCGTTCTTTATTATCATGTGTGAGCTTTTCAACGGAATCTTGCGTCCTCATGACCAGATGCCTGCTTTCTGGAAGTATACTGCGTACTATACCACACCATTTACCTATTGGATTGGTGGAGTTCTTACGGCGGTTCTTGGTGGTACATCGGTGGTCTGCGACGAGAGCGAGCTGACGCTGTTTGCGAGCCCGCCAAACATGACCTGTGGCGAGTATGCCGGATCCTGGCTCGCCGAGAAAGGCGTTGGTTACCTGTTCGACCCGGAGAGCACCGGGACCTGTGGGTACTGCGAGTATAGCCGGGGTGATGACTATCTATCCGGCATTGGTCTGGATGACTCGAAGATGTGGCCTTATTTCGGCATATTTCTCGGCTTCACGATCGCAAACTACTTCATGGTCTACCTTCTTGTATATGTGCGATCCGTCATGAAGCCATTTTGGAAGTCTGGATGATCTGTATAAAAGGTACATAACATATTGAATCACAAATACACCATAAGATCCAACGATACTCTACGTGTGCACAACCCATCTATAGTCAGGCGAGATGCGTATGTAACTCAGAACAAAATCTATCCCGTGATGGCCATTAATAAGCATAGCGAAAGCAAGGATTCTCCTTATCTGTTAGTCCAGCCCACTTGAGCTCATCAACAAGGGCCTCATTCACAGGTCCCTGTCTCTGATCTCGGCGACGGTTTTCCCAGCGGTAATACAAGAATAATATCACGGTAACCACTGCTGCCGCAGCCTGCGTCGCAAGAACGATGATCTTAGCAGGACGATAACCCGGCGCATCGCGCGCCTGAAAGGTCTGTGGACCTATTATATTGCCCACGGAGAACGATCCGGCGACGAGGGCGCTGGCAAACGCCCGTTTCGTATGCCCGGCACAGTTGGCCATCGTCCACTGATACAGGATGGGTAGCGTGGCCACGATGGCGTTGACGAAGTAAATGCCGATCAGCACGCCGGCCTTGTTCGACTTTGGGATGAAAGACATCAAGGCTGCCCCGACGATACCTGGGATGGTACAGAGAACATTCCAGGCCCATCGATGCGATGTCTTGCGAATACCGAATCCGACTAGTAGTGTGAAGAAGATACTGACTATGCCGGAGGGGGTGTTGAGGAGTGCTGAGATGGGGCCCGAGAACCCGAATCCTGCGATCAGAGTCGCGGAGTATGTGGTGATCACCCCACTGGATACCGAGATCTAGTCAAATTAGCTTGCGAGCAATTCGAGCGAAATGGGGCCCCAACCAAAATGGTCGTAATGACCAAGAGCCAAAGCTGAATATCCATCACCGCTTCCCAGATCTGTTCTATGTGCAACTTGGAATTCCACAGGCCGGTCTGGTTATGGCTGACATGCTGGAGAAGAGCGGTCTTCTCGTCATCTGTCAACCAAGAGGCCTTGATCGGCGTATCCGGGATGAAGAAAAAGGTCAACACACCCACGATGGTGGTGATCAGACCCAACATCAAGAACATGATGCGCCATCCTTCCAGCGCGGCATGATGAATCTGTTGAAAGGCAAATGAGATAACCCCACCTATGATCTGAGCGACACCCAGCCCCGTGAACCAGAACATAAATCTTGGGGCCTGTTCACTCCGCGTGTAGTACTGACTACTCAGCAACATCAACGATGGACCGATCGTTGCCTCGAAAACACCAAGGAACACTCGTGCAACCAGCAAAGTTCGATAGTCATGGGCACCCGCCGAGGCTGCAGCAGCCACACCCCAGAAAAAGACATTCCCACCGAGCCATTTGGCGGCAGGGAATTTCTGCAAGCAGTAGACTGCATTGAATTAGAACCGAAAGATGATCAACCGAGCAAGGAGCTCAACGCGTACCATTTGGCACCTCGGCGATCAAGTAAGCAATAAAAAACCACGTGGCTGTGTTGGTGAACTCATTGCCGGTGAGTTTGAGATCTTGCTTCAAACCCATGACGGCAGCATACTACTTTCTATTAGAGCTTTCATGTATCACCATCACAAGATCGACTCACATTTAGCATGACTTTATCCAAAAATTGTAGAACGTAGCAGCAAAACATGTAGGGGAGTACGCGGCGGTCGATCTTGCGTCGTAGCGCAATCAGATCCACATCAACGCGCTCAGTATGGAACTCGAGATAGTCCACTGCATCATCGCGGCCAGCCTTTGGGGCCTGGTTGGACAAGCCCATGACAAGCGTTTGTCGATGGTGGGACGAAAGAACGTAGAAAGAGAGAGAAAGGTTAAAGGGGAGAGAGTGGGGAAGTTGAACAAGCTTGAGTGGCGCAAGGTTGTCAGTTCAACGTTGCGATACCCCTCATGTTACATGCGCAAGTGGGTGCCCAGCAGCACTTTGGGTTGGGATTCCTTCATTCCCCTTGCGCAAGGGGTTTGATTGTCTGAATTACCATTCCTTCGTTTGTTTCCATTCGGGTCTATCACAATGGGATGGGTGTACGCTGCTCCGCCTGAGGTGCAAGCAGTATCACAATATCGGCTGATGCTGGCCCTGTGTGTGAGTCTGACCTTTGTAATGGTCATTATCGTCTGTTTTCGACTCTTTCTACGGGCTCACACAAGTCGACTTGGAGCAGCAGATTATGTGATGGTAGTGAGCATGATCTTTAGTATCGTCTACAATGCTCTTTTCATAGCTCGTGAGTACCAGTTCCTCCTTCAACACATGCGCTCATCGGGACAGAAAGTCGATATGGACTCGGATTGCCATTGGCACTTCGACCAAAGGCAGACTTACCCACTTACACCAAAGCAAGTATTGCTATGAGATCTACCAGGCCGTCGCTGACGGATGCAGCTCAATTATGCAGGACGGCCGATCTACAACTTCGGCATTGCAGGGTTCAAGGCCTCTCTCTGCCTGAGTTATCTTCGCTTGCTGGTCGGGACCTCAAAGAAAGTCTATTGCTTGTTGATCTGGATCGTAATTGTGATCGCAACGGGCGGCCATCTTGCCGGAGCTCTAGTCTTGGTTTTTATGTGCACTCCAGTATGGCTCCCTCTCTCATCATGAAAGTTGACTGACCATGTCCAGGTCCAACGAGCCTGGGATCCCTCTGTTCGTGGTACGTGTCTTCCTGTTGGCGCCACTTTCTACGGTCTTGCCATCTTCACCATTATCTGTGATTTGATGGTTATCTTTCTTTCAATCCCATTGCTCTTGCAGTTGAACATCAAGACAGTCCAGAAGGCTGGTGTCGTGTGCCTGTTCTTGTTGGGTCTCTTCACCACGATCTGCTCAATCCTCCGACTCACTCAGGTCCATCGGGTGGCTTTTGGAGATGGGAACTCGACGATGCTAGTCCTGTGGGGAAAGATTGAATTCAATATCGGGGTAAGCAGGCTATTCCAGATGAACCTGTTCACGCTGACCATCTAGAACATCGTCACTTGCGTGCCATATCTGACTCCGCTGCTCAAGGGCTTCATGAAAGACTTCCGCTCGACGGGTCAAAAGGATGGCAGTCGTGAGAGAGCCTATGCATTGGGGAACTCCAAACAACGGTCTCACTTGTCGAAGGCCCCTGGTTCACACGAGATACTTTATGGCGAACTGGCCTATTGGGGGATTGAGAGGACGCTGGAGTATTTTGTAACTAAGAAATAAAGCCTAATCTGTATTCCGACTGAATAGTTCAGGGGAAAGAATGTTAGTTTTGACAAAGTACCACTTTGCACAGGCAAGTGTCGGGTGGGATTCATCACATCCCGCACCAAACCTTCTTCCGTATCGCACCACTCCATGTCGACCCCTCCAATTCTCATCATCGGTGCTGGCATCAGTGGCCTCATCCTCGCCCAATATCTGCAAAGTCGCCAAATTCCCTTTGAGATATTCGAGCGCGATTCGGCATTTGATGCACGAAACGGAGGATGGGGACTAACGCTTCACTGGGCCCTCCCAGCCCTACGACAGTTGCTACCCGAGCATCTAGTAGCTCGGTTCCCGGAGACGTTTGTCAACAAGGATGCAGCAGCCCGCGGGGATATGGGACGATTTCAATTCTTCGATTTGAAATCCGGCAAAGCCCTTTACAATGTCCCTGCCGAAGAACGGATTCGCGTGAATCGAGGACGATTGCGGGAGTTGTTGACAACCGGACTGGACATTCAAGTATCGTGAGGGAATTCGCTTGATGGAAGAATAGCTAATAATCTCAGTGGAACAAAACATTTGTTAATCTCGAGTCGTCGGAGTCTGCCATTACCGCTCGCTTTGAAGATGGATCTTCTTGTACTGGACGTCTGCTCGTTGCTGCTGACGGTGCACGGTCGCGCGCCCGACAGATCTTGTATCCCCAGGGATATGCAATGAATTCACTACCTGTACAGCTTCTGGGGGCATCAACACTTTACACGAGAGGACAACTGGGCGGTGCAGAGTTGATCGACCCTTATATCTTCCAAGGGTCCCACCCCGACACCGATGTGTTTTTATTTTTCAGTTGTACGTGACGCGATGAAACGTATTGGTGCTGAATCGCTAATTTCATGAAAGTTCTGGACACCCCGAGCAACTTTCAGGACAGCAGCAGGGATGAGTATCTCTGCCAGATTATCGTCTCATGGGCTGATCAAAAGGGCATCGCTCTGCCTTCGGGAAGCACAGATCGTATCGCGCTGATGAAACAGTTGACTGAGAACTGGGCCGAACCTTTTCGCTCCTTGATACACAATCTACCTGAAGACAATGAGGCTCGGTCAATCCGCATTGAGGATTGGATCTTTCGTCCTGGCCAGCGTGATGCGCACCCTCGAGCAATACTCATGGGAGATGCGGCGCACACTATGACCATGTGTTAGTGGCCCACCCATAGAATGACTGGAGCTGACAATTATAGTCCGTGGCGAAGGTGCCAATAATGCGATCGTGGATGTCTTGGATCTAGTCACGAAGCTGAATTTCGACATGGGGAACCCATCGTAAGCTTCTCCTGCCATGATATTGAATAATGCTGATCTGTTTATTACCAAGTGCATTCTCATCTGATAACCTGGCGGATTCCCTGGCGGCCTACGAGAATGAGATTTTCTCCCGTGTCGAGCCTAGTTTTCTTGCCTCTCGGCAGGCTTGTCTGGATGCACACGACTTTTCAAAGATTGAGGGAAGTCCACTGGTTACTGCCAGGTTGCTTAAACGCAAAGACTAAATGTCTTCTCCCTGACTCGACTTCAAATATGCCACCCTGATTACTGCCTGCTATCAATCATAAGGCACCAGTTTGGCAACGAAGGACGCCTTTCATTTCAGAAGAGGTTGAGAAGGAACAGCAGAGCCGTGAGATATAGAAATAAAATCTGGATACTTCTATTGCTCTAGACCCGAAAGTAACCTCTAGTCGATAACCAAGGCGATGCAACTATACATTAGACCTTGACAGTCTCTAATTCCGGATCAACCTCCACACAGGTACTTTCCACACACGGCTTCTTGATGTTCTGGGTGGAAAGCAATCTAGCCAGAGTCAGCACAATCTCATACACCTTACACAAAGACTGGTAGTACTCACGCCTGATACCGCTGGATATTGCGGATCTCCTGATCCACCAACGCTTTCAATGCAAACTGGATATCTTGCACGAGACTATCACACCGACTCTGCGTAAAGTCTTCCCGCAACACCACCCGCATCATGCTCATCTTCTCACAATCCGCCGCCATGGTATACGCAGGAACAATCCAGCCCCGTTCCCGGAGCTTATGCGCCAGAGAGAACTCATCGAAGAGGATGTTTTGCGCAAATCCGAGACGGAATGCGACGACGGGTAGACCCTTGCCACCGCCATCGCTCATGATCGTGAAACCCATCTGCTGGAGCTGCTCGGTGAGGTAATCTGCTGTGTGGGTGAGGTTGCTCATGATGGCGTGGTATCCACGTCGACCGAGACGGATCATCTGGTAATACTGGGCGATGATGTGGGAGGCGGGCTTGGAGAAGTTCAACGTGAAGTTGAGCTGGTCGGCACCGAGGTAGTTGATGTTGAAGATTAGTTCTTCCGGTAGATACTCAGGTGATCGCCAGAGGGCCCATCCGATACCGGGATACACCTATTGTTGTGAGTATTTGGTTTGAATGACAGGATTCGGGCCTGGCTCACCAGTCCGTATTTATGACCGGAAACATTGATGGACACGACATTGGGCAGCTGGAAATCCCACACCAGATCTGGGTTCACAAAGGGAGCGACGAAGCCACCACTGGCAGCATCCACATGAATCGGGGTGCTGAGTTTCTTTGCGACCAAGGCATCATTGATCCCCTTGACATCCTCGTATTGTCCGGTGTATGTCGTTCCCAGGATGGCACAGATGCCAATGGTATTCTCATCCACCAGCTCGACGGCTTGGGTGGGATCGATCACGTATCTGGTTTCTGTGCATGGGACCAATCTCTCGTCGATCTCGAAGTACCGGGCTGCCTTCTCCCAGCACACCTGTACCCCCGTGCTCATGATGATGTTGGGTTGCGAGGTGTCTTTCCCTTCTGCTTTCCGTTGGTTCTTCCATCGTTTCTTCATAGCGAGGGTGGCGAGCATGATTGCTTCCGAGGAGCCAATACACGCTGTCCCGATCGCCGTGGCTTTGTCCCCTTTTTTGGGGGAGTGGAAAAGGTTGGCGAGCATGTTCAGACAGCGTTGTTCGATCTCGACCGATTTGGGGTATTCTTCATGATCGATGACGTTTTTGTTCGAGGACTCGAGCATGAGCTTCTCGGCTTCGTCCTCCTGCTTTAGTTAGAATATCCCTGAGTAGTCCATGGGTGAATCTGGGACTTACCATATATGTCGTGACAAAGCTCGCAAGACTATGCAGGTTAGTGGAAATCCTAACAGTGAACCTGCTCAGCTTGATTGCATGCTTACTTTAACATTGGGTTTCCATCCAGAACCAGGTCGTCCTTGATCATGCGGTAGGCAGTCTCTTTGGGCATTTCATCGGAGGGAAGTTCATCGCAAGGCATATGTTCGGATGCGAACCGAGAGCCATACACATTTGTGCATCCTCGAGATGAAGGTCGTTTGTGTATTGATTCCATTGTGAGAGTTAAGAGTACTTGATTGATGATATTGGAAGTTGCATGCGAACACAGTCTCTTATACTGTTATTCTTAGGGCTCAGGGGGTCGAGGGAAAAATCACGCATATACAGTAGAGCAATGTGATGCGGCATTTCTTCGACTGAAACCCGGGAGATCGGCTTTCTGTCTTTGACAGTGATTTATTTAATCCATTCTCGAGTTCTCTGTCCATCAAGATCCCCAGGTTGTTGATGTTTACTCAAGACCGCAGTGCAAGCTATAACTCTATTCGCCTCTTTACTAGAGCCAAGCTTTTCTAGAAAGTATTCTTGCTTCGCCAAGCAGCCTTTCCGATCAGAAGAGTAAAAAAAGAATTCCATTCCACCCCTTGATCGCAAACATTCGTAATGATATGCAATGTCGATCATGCGGGTCGATCTCCCCTGCGCAAGGGGAAACATTGCCGCGGCACGGTCGATCCGAGTGTGATGTGAATCGTTGAACATGCATGTCCGTACGTTCCAAGGTGCCAAGTTGGAATCATGAGAGCCTGGGGCTGGAGGTTATGTTGAAAACAATCTATGCTATTGGGTGATGAATACTGGTGATTGTCTCATTCCCAACTGGTTCTTTCCTACATGTAATATACATCGGCAGTGCAACGGACGTGATTTGTAATTCCCTTGATAGGCTTATCTATGACACGTCACGTCCCTGGCCAGGGAGGCGATATGATACCGGTTCATGAAGGGCGCATTCCGCACTGCCATGATCCCGAACCATATGTCCCTCACGAGCCCTTTTCCACCAGGCTCTCCACCAAACTTGACTGAGCCTGGATGATTCAGCTGCTCACGCCGTATTTCTGCTTGTCTGCGAAGGATGCTTCATCCAATCCTTGATATCAGCAACTTTAATGTGATTCTGACATTCTCAGGTAAGACCAGTCTCGATGGGATACGAATTAATCTCACACTTGACTCAGGAATATACTTGCTTGTGTTTGCTCTACTCTCTCTCAAATTAAAGCAGAGATGGTACCTCGGTGAAGCTTGTGAGTCCGTCGACGCGATCAGCGTCAACAGAACGAGACTAATTCTTCCAGTACCGTCTTTCGTGGTCGGGGTTATTCTAGGTCCCGTCTGCGCAAACCTGATCGATGCGAGACGCTGGGGTAGCCATGTTGAGGAAGGTCAGATTGCCTATGTAAGTGATCCGGCCAGGCATGTGAGGCCACGAACTGATCGAATAGGCCTTGACGCGACTGGTCATTGGTATCCAGATGGTCAAGGTAGGATATGAGCTGCCGAAACAATATTTGCGGCAGAGGCTAGTCGAGCTCACCATTTGCCTTCTTCCACTCATGGCATTGCAGTGGCTGGCAACGTCGGCTTGTATTCTGTTGATGGTTCCCCATTTATCCTTTGTACGTTATCCGCGTCGCCTCGGGAGGAACACGGTGCTAATCATCGCAGCTCACGGCTTTGATTATTGGATCGTGTGTCATCTGCATTGACCCCATTCTGTCGCAGGCCATTGCGAAAGGGCCCTTTGCTGACAAGTACGTCCGGCGTCACCTGCGAGAGTTTATCTCCGCCGAGGCTGGTGGGAACGATGGGTTTGGCTTTCCATTCCTGTTACTCTCCATATCCATTCTACGGTATGCCGAAGTACCGCGGAGTGACGCTGCAAAACGTGACTGGATAGGAGAAACGGACACAGGGCGATTAGGGGGCAATGCGAGCCGTGCATTGGCGCACTGGGTCGTCGAAGGAGTGCTGTACATGATAATCATGGGCTCAGGATATGGGCTGTTGGTGGGATTCGTGGGACGCAAGGGCCTGAATCTGGCGTCGAAGAGGTGAGCACCTTTCAGTCAGATCGTGGTCAAAACGCTCACCTTCGCAGACGATGGATTGACAAGGATAATTTTTTCATCTTCCCAGTAGCAATTGGGGTGAGTCATACGGTTCATCATGACGGCTAGATACTGACATCTCTAGTTGTTCATCGTGGGCACCTGTGGATGCTTCGGATCCGACGAGACTCTTGCCTGTTTCATCGCCGGATGTGCATTGAATTGGGATGGTCTATACCACTCCGAAGCCGAGGCACGCCATGATTCATTCAACTCGGCCATCGAGGTGATTTTGAACTTTGGCACCTTCATCTTCATCGGGATCAGCATGCCCTGGGACCAAATGCACCTGCCGCAGGTCACGGGCATCACGATCTCGCGCCTTGTGACTCTTGGGATCTTGCTGTTGCTGTTTCGCCGGATCCCTGCAATCATGCTTGGGTATCGCTTTATGCCGAAGATCTGCCACTCGTGGAAAGAGGCTTTGTTCATGGGATACTTTGCGCCAATTGGTATGTTCACCAGGACCTTTTCCTTGCGTGGCTAACCTAGCAGGCGTGGGAGCCATCTGCTATGTGGAATATGCACGTCGACTTCTCCCTGACCCTGGGCAGAGCGATACCGAAATCAACCGATTGACAGCCGCGATGATTCCTGGTTAGTTGCCCACTTACTCTTGATCACTTGGTTGCTCTAACATGTCCAGTGGTGTATTGGCTGGTCTTTTTTTCGATCGTAGTCCATGGACTGTCAATCCCAGTCCTGAATGGAATCTACAAGTGGCTGCGAGTTCCTGCCATACGAGATCATCCAGTTGAGGTCATGCTTCTTTCCGACAACGAACCAGTCCCGAACAATAGCGTTGTTGATCGCCGCGTGCACTCCGTAATATTGAACAATCGGTTTTCTCGCAACTTTACCGATGAATCCGACGAGCCACAAGACGAGCCAGATGCTATGTTGTTACGATCCAGGAATCAGGAGAATTATGCGGAATCATCGCGGTCTTCCACGAAAGAGTCTGCGGGTCAGGTTGAACAGGCTTGGCAAGTGGTTTAGTCGTGCTCGAGTTTGTGGACCAGGTTGGACCAGAAAATTAGCTCCTAATGAATGTCCGATCGTGATTTGAGATTCGGCAAACAGGTTTTGGTTGGCAACCCCCCTTGAGCACGGATCAGCTGATCTCATCGCTCCTCGGCCCCTTAAGAACCCACATGCGCCGATCGCTCGGCCTCAAAGGCTCATAAGCTCGGTTGACCCCCCGAACCTTCCTCAACCAAAATTTCCCACCCGGTAAATCATGTCGTATGTAATTTAAACCCCCTGCGCGATAAAGTCGCTTACATTCCCAGTGCCATTTTGACAACGCTTGGTCTGCGCGCCGCTCCTGGCGGGCAGGTCCCTAATCACGCCGCAACTCTGCTTTTGGCCAATTGGGCTCTCGCGTATGGACTGATGAGTACCCGACTCACCAAACTATATTATGGCATCGACAACAATGCTGCTCCCCGTGAGGATCTGGCCACATTCGGGGAAGCTGCGGTTAAGGCTGGCAAGCTTGATCGCCGTACTCTGAACAAGTTGAAGCGTCGGGAGGCCGCGCATGCCAATGCGGTTGAGGGGTACAGTTTGTTTGTTGCTGCGAGTAGGTTAATCCTCAGGCCATCTTTGAGTTCGATTCTGACATGACACAGTTTTGACCGCGGCTTATGCGGGTGTCCCGACCGAGTCCATCAACACGATCGGTGTGTGGTATACCTTGTCTCGGGTCGCGTATGGTCTGGCCTACACATACATTGAGTCGAAATCGCTCAGTTACCTGCGGTCGGTGGCTTGGTGGTCTGGTAACATTAGCTGTATCACTGGACTGGTGCTTGCGGCGAAGAAGCTGTGAATTAGATGTAGCACTGTATAGTTAGAGCCACCATGAGGTGGCATGTATGTTGAGGACTCAGTACTGGTGCCAATCGACTATTGAATATAGAATATAGAGAATCACAGCGAGCAATTTCCCGAGTAAAGCCGGAAAGACGAGATCCTTGTTGATTCTTGCAGATCAAGGGTGGTTGATTGGTGGAGAAACATATTCAGACAAGACGGTAGAATATGCCCCGGCCATTTAACCAACGCGTGAAGCAGCAGTGAGAGCAAGTACCAAGTTCCCCACTCCCCCACGCTCTTCACTTGGCACAATGCGGAGAGAAGACCCACTCAGCCGACTCACAGTGTACACAATACAGTGCAGAGCTTGGCTATGTCCCTGTTGATCAATGCCAATAACAAAGTTTGCCTGTGAAGATTTCTACAGGCGGAGAAATCCCCTTGACCCCGCGAACCTCCAGAATCTCAAGACGGGGAAACCTCGTTCGAGCTGGGAGAACAGGGCATAAATACCGTCAAGATGGCCATCCGTCAATTTTCATCACACTACTTCAATTGACATCACGATGAAGCTCCTAGCTCTGGGTGTACTTTTTGTGGCCGCCGTTAGTGGCCTGGCCTCCTCCCCACATGTGATTCCAGGGGCACAGATCATCCCTGCCAATGACAAGTCGGGACTGAGACACATTGGCGCGTTTCACAAGAAATACCCCGACCGTCGGACCGTGACCATTCGTGCGTCGAAGAGTGACCATGACGACGTGTCTAGCGACTTCCTCTGGGGCATCAAGCAAGCCAATCATGGTGGCCGGTTATTGCTAGAGAAGGGCAAGACTTACGTGATTGGAAAGAAGTTGGATCTGAGCTTCTTGAATAATATTGAGGTGCAACTCGAAGGAGAGATCAAGGTACCTATTGACTAGAGCACATACATCCGGGGCCTTCTAACGCGTGCAGTTTACCAACAACATCACCTACTGGCAAGCAAACAACTTTTACTACTCTTTCCAGAAGTCCATTACCTTTTGGGTCTGGGGAGGTCAGGACATCAAGATCTTCGGAAAGGGAACTCTGAATGGTAATGGCCAGAAGTGGTACGATGAGTTCTCGGGCAGCCAAATCCTGGTAGGAATCCCTGACATCTCTCTCCGCAGCGAGGTTCTGACCTGCTATAGGACCCCGACAACACCTTCTACCGACCAATCTTGTTTTTAACCGACAATGCCACCCGAGTTAGTGTGGAAGGAATCACGCAGTTGAACTCGCCCTGCTGGACGAACTTTTTCGTCCGCACCAACGACATTTCTTTTGACGATGTGTTTATTCATGCGTTTTCGACCAATGCTTCAGTATGTGACCTGGCAGGACGAAATTGTGCTTGTCTAATACTGTATAGGTCGACGCGGCGAACACCGACGGCTTTGATTCCTACGTCGTGAATGGACTCAGTGTCACCAATACCCGGATCGACGTCGGCGACGACTGCTTCTCGCCCAAGCCCAACACGAGCAACATCTTTGTGCAGAACATGTGGTGTAACAACACCCATGGCGTGAGCATGGGTAGTATTGGACAGTACTCGGGCGAGATGGATTTCATCGAGAATGCTTATCTCGAGAACATCACCCTGTTGAACGGACAAGTGAGTCATCCCCCTTCTGCGTCATCATACAGGTCCTGACCTAGACAGAATGGAGCTCGCTTGAAGGCATGGGCCGGTCCCGACGTGGGATACGGTCGCATCAGCAACATCACGTATCGCAACATTCAGATCCAGAACACGGATAAACCGGTGGTGCTGGACCAATGCTACTTCGATGTGAATGCGACCGAGTGTGCCGCCTACCCATCGGCAGTGAACATCACGGACATTGTTTTCGACAACATCTGGGGCACCTCGTCGGGGTCCAAAGGCAAAGTGGTGGTGGATCTGACCTGCTCACCTAACGCGGTCTGTTCCAATATTCATCTGTCGCGAATCAATTTGACGAGTCCCGCGGGAAGTCCCCCGGAGATTATCTGTGATGGGATTGACGGAGACATTGGGTTGAACTGCACGAGTTCCAGCTAAGCGGAAGATGAAGGAAAAGGGGGCGAAGATGAGACCTCACCTGTGTATTCGTACTTAACAACGACTCGGGGTCAATCTCCGAAAGGATTTAACATGTCCGAGTAATGCCAAGGGAAAAAGTGATCCCCACAATCTCGAGGGAAATGTAAGCGAGAGACCTGGACTGGCTGGAGATAGTACTCGGTGAACCATATAATCTAAACTCAAGCTCGACGGCCCAACGGAGCTTTGACCTTGAAGTCAAGTAGAAGTCGTAGGGAAATAAGCGACAAGAACGTGGCTCAAGCCACCTTTTGCGCCAAGTGGCAACAAGCATCGCAGTTTGGTCCCCACGATTTTGCTGGATTTGCTGGATTTGCTGCGTGTGTTGGATTTGCACTTTTTGCAGGTCCGGGGGAAAGGAGAGATCATTGATCAACTCAATAATCTGGGGCAAACCATCCCTAGTCCCCCGGATTCTCTCAATCGCATCTGTCTCCGGCCTTTCATTGGCTTTCAATCTCTTTCGACTTTGGAATCATCTCCACACCCCACAATTATCCCCACCACCGGGTTAAGATCATATCCGTCCCGCCAATCACACTCGGTATACGCGCCAACTCTGGAACGCGATCCACCTCATTTTGGCTCTGGTCTGGGGGTGGATCTGTTTCCGTTGCCGCCCCCGGACACTCTAGCTGTGCACGCGGAGAAAATGGAGAAAATGAAAAACGGTACTATAGGGGCCTACAGGGGTTCCCTATAAGTACTTGGTCTGACCGTCTCCCTGGTTCCCCCAGGCTGGTCCTTACCGTTCTCCTCTATATCCCCTGCATCCTCTCACGCCGTCAACAATGGAGAAGATGGGAAAGACAGATAGCAATTCCCAGCATGTAGAAGGCGCCCCGAGCCCTAGTGCCATGGAGTCGGGCAAGACGGAGGCTTTCTATGTCGAGGATCGAGTGGCCCATCTCTCTGAGGAACATCGCCAGTATCTATTGGCGCGTCATGGTACCCTTGATCTGGACCCGATTCCTGATATGAACGATGCCGATCCGTACAATTGGCCCCGTTGGAGAGTAAGACTTCGGAACGCAATGGCTAGGTGCATTCGTGCTGACAAGAGTGTAGAAAAACCTCAACCTGGGTCTCGTCGTGTTCCACGCGATGATCGGTCTGTTTACGGCGTCGTCGATTCAATCCGCCTTTACCAACATCTCGGCCGATCTGGGGGTCAGCATGCAGCGTACCAGTTACCTGGTGTCGCTGTTCATCGCAGTGCTGGGTGGTGCACCTCTCTTCTGGCGTCCGCTGAGCAACCGCTTCGGTCGTCGTCCGATCTTCCTGATCTCGCTGTTCTGTGCTATGATTGGAAATATTGGTTGTGCGAACAGTCACTCGTACGCCACAATGGGTCTGTGCCGTGCTATCACGGCTTTCTTCATCAGTCCCGCAGCTGCTATCGGAAGTGCCGTTGTCGCCGAGACCTTCTTTAAGCAGGATCGTGCGCGCTGCATGGGTGTCTGGACTCTCATGGTGACCATCGGTGTTCCCGTTGCTCCCTTCTTGTTTGGCTTCTTGGCTCTGCGCGTCTCCTACCGCTGGATCTACTGGGTTCTCACCATTGTACGTCCACCTTTTCCCCAAATCCACTGCCTGTACTAATCCCGACCAGATCAACGGTGTCCAATTCATCATCTACTTCTTCTTCGGCTCCGAGTCCCTCTACATCCGCGAAGAGGGTGCGCCTAAGCAGGTGACCACCGAGAAGAGCAGTCTCCTCCAGTTCCGCCGTATCGATCCTACACCTTTGCGGTTCTGGGACTTCATCCAGCCCTTGAGCTACTTCTCCAAACCCCGCGTCCTCATCCCCGCCGCCGCATATGCCATGATCTTCCTCTGGGGTAGCATCATGCTCACCATTGAGATCCCCCAGATCATGCCCGAGCAGTTCGGCTTCAACACCCAGGAGGTCGGTCTTCAGTTTCTGGGAGTCATCTTGGGTTCCGTGATTGGTGAACAGATCGGTGGTCTGATTTCCGATCGCTGGATGCTCATGCGCCAGAAATCCAGTGGCGAGCGACCGCCCAACGAGTACCGTCTGTGGCTAAGCTACATCGGTCATGCTCTGACCATCTGCGGTGTGGTTGTGTTCTGCGTCCAGATGGGCAAGGCTGGAGACAAGTGGAACATCACTCCCATTGTGGGTGCTGCTATTGCTGCTGCTGGTAACCAGATCGTCACCACGATCAACATTACCTACGCCGTTGACTGCTACCGGGCCGATGCGGCCAGCGTTGGTGTGTTTATCACTTTTGTGCGACAGACCTGGGGTTTCATTGGACCTTTCTGGTAAGAATCTTCTCCGAACAAGAATACTAGAGACATACTAACCTGCTTAACAGGTTCCCTAACATGTATGTCAACCTTGGCTGGAACACCGGAGCCGGCATTGCCGTTGCATTAATGGTAGGTGTGAGTGTCATCCCCACGATGCTGCTTCAATGGCGCGGTGCTTCATGGCATTAAGCCGCTATTTTTTTTTTGGTTCTGTTATGTTTGGATTATAATGTGCGAGGATTAAGTACTATAATATGAGATGTGCAACTGCATACGTTTCAATTAAATTGTGTTCAACCTCGGATGCTTAGTAGATTAATCCACTGACACATGTAGCGTAATCATTCATGTCAAAACATTAAATTCCAGTGAGTGCATGACTTAAAACTCAGAATACAAAAACTCTCCATGCAAAGTATATATCTTCCGTATACCCGATTACCTTGTCCACTAAATACAGTCCCAATTGGAATAGTTGAATCAATTAAAATTCCAAATCAATCATGACAGGCCAAGCGAGACGCCGGCTCTGCCAAAACGCATAGCACCCAAGTGCTCATGTAGGACACATTTACATGCCCTCGCATTCACAAACAACGTAGGCGGAGCACAAATCGACAACAGGCTTGCCCAGGGTAACATAGGTATCCTCGGCATCAAGAGAGGCAGTCAAGTGGTGCAGTTCTTCGGTGAATGTGCAGACGGTTGTCTGTTCAAAGGCCGTGAGCTGGGCACTGGACGCGAAGACCAGGCCATGTTTAGCGAGGGAAGTGTGGCCCCAGAGTTCTTGGACAGGACGCTTCACGCCGTCGACGGGGATCACAGCATTGGCATTGGCGCCGGACTGGTCATTGGCAAGCTGGATAGTCGCGGTGTATGCAGGAGGTCCGTTGGTAGGTGCGGCCAGGCCGGTGGCAGCGAGGAGGAAGGCGAGAGCGGTAGTGGTGAACTGCATAATGATAATTGAGGATGATTGAGGAAAAATTCTAGATGGGATTTTGCTTTGGAGGATCGTTGCTTGAAGCAGTGATGAGCTGGGATGCAAGACGATATATAGCTTCCATGATCACTGTTCTCGGTTCCATGAACACATTGTACTGAAATCGGTTGTTTGAGGGTTGCCGTTTCCGTCGATTCTGTCGAAGTATGGGGTTGCCCCACTTGGCCGCATTGAGACAGACGTTGATGTTCTCACGGTCCATATGATGTTATGAATTGCTGTTAAAATGGTGCAACCGTCACTAGACGAGCCCTGCCTTCTGAACCCGAACCAAGTGAAACCTGCGTCGAACCTCAACACACATAGACTGTGTTGACCATGGTCCAGCGAAGGTTTGCTGTGACAGCTGCCAGGTCTAGACTCAAGCATTTCTCAGAATGGAAGCGAAAGCAGCGATCACTACTGAGCAGAGCTAGTCTTGCAGATCACCGTGGACCGGGCAGTTCCCGCCTCCGATGGGCCCGAAAGGAATTTGAAGCAGAGCTCCAATATGGCATCCCTGTCGGACCGGATAATCTCGAACTTGGTTTCATCAAAGTCCTTGCAAACATGCCAGTGTGTGGTTGAGAATGCTGTGCGAACGACATGGAATGTGGTCCGGAATCCAGGCGACAAGGCAGCAACCTGCGCCTGTCATATGATCGTGTCCTTGGAACTTGTTTCAAGTTCTTCGTCCATTCCAGTGTCAATGCAGATGCATCGCGACCAAGGTCGAGACTGAAAACATCCAGTCAACCTTTGTTGAAACTTTAGAAGTTAACAACTAGACGTCATCAGTTTGATTACGGACGACTGCCATGATTGTCCTAGCAGTTGAAGTCCCGCCTGTCACCCTCAACATTGCATAGTTCTTCACTGCGTCAGTACGAGTGTACGAGGAAGCTTATAGAATGCGCAGTGAGTCGACACTGCAGTACTGACCGCCCTCTGAATCCAATGTGAAGTGAATCAACCCAGTTCCAGTGCCTGCTAGATCGTGTTTCTGGGATAAGCGGGAAAATCATTGAACGGTCAAACAAAGAAACATGCACTGGTGAATAGAGGATGTATTCAACAAGGAAAGAGATCTACATGGACAAGTGACCGAGGCGTGAATCCGGGCCGAGATGTTTCCATTTGAAGTTCGAAGGATCCAGTGAATCTCGATGTCCCCTCAATGTGGTTTGTGCGCAGTTGATAGGGCTGGATCTTCACGATTCGATTCCTTCCACGAGGAACACACGAGTGGGCAGGGACTACTTGATCAGCAGAGGTGTCGAGTCCACGTAGCGTGGGTATTCACGTGACAGACAAAGAAACACGAACCGAGATCGAGAACCCGATCTATATATGGTTCATCTTTGTCTGAGCAAAGATTCAACAAAGTGGCAGGATGAGTGAAACCTAAAAATGGCCCAAAATAATCTCCGTCGTGGCTCTATGGCCGTTGTGCTAAATTTGGCGATTCATAGTCCCCTTATCATGAACTAAACTTAGCACCTGACACAGAGGCAAATAACGATGCTCTGAGGCTTAAATACGGTGATCAGGTCTGAATCTCCTGTGAAAATTATCCATCATGCTTCAGTGTCAAGCACTCGACAGATATCAAGATCGAAGCCACACCAAATTCAGGAACCTTCCTATCGAAAGACCTTACGTGAACCATCATTTCTACAAGATGGCAGTGGTCTCTTCTGAAACTGCAAAGCTGTGGGATGAGCTCGAATCGCGCGGTGCTCAGCGACAGCACTGGATTGAAAATGCACCCTCCAAGTCTGAGGAGAAATGCCCGATCAAGCCTTCCTCCTTCAAGGTGGAGGACCTCGACGGATTCGAAGATACGTGGGGCGATGCGGCGTATTACCCAGCTGAGAGTATGTCAGTAACGGAAGAAGTCATGGGAATCCCGGCCCCTCCTCGCGAGACATGGAAACGATTCGAGCGACTGAAAGTGGACCCAGCGGCAACGCCAGTTCAAGATTCGAGACTGTGGCACCTCCACTGCTGGGAAGGAAACCTCGCACCGGGCATCATCTTTATCGAGAACATGTTTCGACGACCGGGTGCAGGATCCGAGGCTGGACCGCGATCCTCGCAGATGGCGCAGGCTGCATATCAGTCGGCATTTCCCATCGACACCCTGAAGCATGTCATTGTCTGTGACGTGATACACAAGGAGACGAAGCGATTCGTCAAGCGCCAGCTCTACGATGATCGCCTGTATGAGGACACTGGGATTGAGTGGCCGAGTGACCAACTGGTGGCATGGGAATATGATACCCCGGAATACAAAGTTCTTCTTGGAACCAAGATTGGTGCGGTGGTGTCGTGGATCGTGTTAGGAGCCTTTAAGCGGGGCACTCGCAGGATTTCTCAAATCTGCACGGTGGCACACTACGGTCGCTGCATGCTGATGCGATTCGATATCGAGACCATCAAATCTGGACCGATGGCCAAGGCCGGTAACGTGCTTGCGGTCGTCCCCGCATGTGAGGAGACTGCGAGTGAAAAGGGTGAAAAGACCAACAGTAAGAGGAAGCGTGATGTGAAGAATGAGGATTTCGAGCCCACAAAACGCCAGAAGGCTTGATATTTTGTTAGTGATGTATTTGAATACGCATTTCTTGGGACTACGTTTAATCGATGTACGTTAATTCTTCATTGGTAGAGTTTCACATGCAAGCATGAAGTAGACTTGGATCGTTGTGCAGAAATTGATTCCATAGTAGCCATAAATGTAGCAGTTTCAAGCCTCATAAAGCTTACTATCCGTGTATCAATTGAACGTTCAAGTTTGCAGCCTCATCGGAATAAATGCCCAATCCCGTCCTCCGAATTATCAGTCACATACTGATCCATGATCCTAATTCGCTTCCTCCTCGTTCTTCTCCTTGCCCGAAAAGTGACTTTCGGGCAGCATGTTCAGTGCATCCTCCTCACTATCGGTTTGCCGATTGGTGAACCAGAACCCCACTCCTCCCACAAAGGCCAGAATTGCGGTGATACCATAGTTCCATTCCAACAGCGGGTCATCGGACAGTGCCACCAGAGCCTGACCCAAAGCCGAGGAGAAGGCGTTCATAAACAGTGACACTGCCGCCACGAGCGACCTCATATTGTGCGGGGCTTTGGTGAAGGCATACTCAAGAGATGTAACCGAGGCAAAGATCTCGGAGATACCGCCCAAAATGTAGGGCACGGCTTGCACCCAAACTGAGATATTGGTATGCTTCCCTTCCACCTCCAAGCAGTGATTGGCATCTTTGCCACATGGCCCATCCTGATAGATGTAATGTTGAGTCACCGTCGCTGAGATCATCGCGCAGCCTGCGACGAAAAAGCCAGCCGTGATGCGTTTCAACGGCGTGAAATGGATTCCCATGCGACGAAGGCCGGGATAGACAAGCCGGTCCATGATAGGGATAAAGATGATCAGGGTAATGGGGTTCAGGTTGTTGATGATATCATTTGGTACCCCACCCAAGGACATTGTGGCCGCTTGAGAGGTGAGATTGTTCATCGCTTGGTTATATGCCAGCCCTGAAGAGAAAAAGGATATGGTCAGCAAGCCGAGAGGTCAACCTGGAAAAAGGCCACTCACAGTATAGTGGATACCAAAGAAATACCGCGCAAGCTTTGAATCCACGCCGAACCTCATCTACCCAGGCATCGTCAAAGGTCATCCATTGAGGCTTTTCTGAGCCTAATTTACTGGGCTTGACGCGATCCCAGAAACCATTGGGGGTAGTCCTTTTTTGAAACCTTGGTCGTGTCAGTCAAGCTTGGCTACAGTTCAAGGGGCCGTACTGACAATTTTATTGGATTGAATGACCATCGGCCTTTCATGGCAAGGCACCATAGACGGAATGCGCGAGAGTAGACCGAGCCCGTGGGCGGAGCCAGATAGTAGTACTTTCGGCAAAAAAACATCACTGTTGGACAGAGACAAAACATCACCGTTGGGAGCAAAAACGAAAGCCAGAAGCCAACATAGCGCTCAGCATAGACCATGCCTATTTGACCAAGCAGTGAGCCAATGTTGATCATCATGTAGAAGTAGAGAAAAATTCGAGAGATTGTGGCGGCGGGGTCGATAATGATACGTTCTCCAGTAGGCAAGACTTGGATGTAGGGCCTGTCTTCGCGGTACTGCTCTGCAATGAGTGGAGATATGTTGCATCTGTGGAAATTAATAGGGAACATCATGCTTCATGAAGATTTCTTACTTGAACCCGCCAGTTCCTACCCCCATGATCACCAGACCTATAGAGAAACAAGCGATAGCACCTCCGGGACTTGCAATCACACGAGGGATGGCAGAAATGACCAAAATTGTATGTCCAACCAGGGCCACTGCGAGAGAGGCAAAGATGGTGCGGTATCGACCCCAGTATTGATCTGCGACATAAGCACCTGCCAAGGGCATGACATAAGACCAGAATTGATTGACTTTGACCATTAGCCAGCTTGTTGGGGAATTTGATTGAATGTTTTACTCACAAAGTGTCAGTGCGGTCGATGCACGTTGTCCCATGCCCAAGGCACCGGGAACATGTTTATTGAAGTCTGTGCCAGCCACCAGCGCACCGGTCGTGGAGTGGGCGGGAAGAGGTCGCTGGATGAAGTTCACAACTGTTGATGTTAGTATCTGCAATCAACATACAAATCCCGAGCTCTTACAAACTGCCGTGGTTCCATAATACGAGAATCGCTCGCAGAGTTCCACAAAGGCGACTGTGTAGGTGATCCATGAGATCTTTCCTGGGACGCGGCGAAGGCTGCGTAGATCCTCCTCATCGGGGTACTCCTTTTGCAACGAGCCAGTTGTGAAGGCTGCTGTGTTTTGGATGACGGACGCTGGCTTGATACTCGCTTCGTCAGCTGCAACTTCAGCAGGATGTTTCTCACTCAGTTCATGCGACAATGCCCTGGACTTGGCAATCTCGACCACTTCAATTTGGTCGGAGGTGTTCATCTTGGGCGATGGAAGCAAAAATGAGTATCAATAGAAAAGACAAGAAGGGGTAGTGTCAAGGAGGAAGAGAAAGAGGAGAAGACAAAGTGAGAAATAGGAAGATGCCGCAAGTTTCTATTCGGGAAAGAGCGCAACTTCCCTTCTCTCATTTTTACTTTCACTCTTCAACGCCACAATGTTCGTTGCTACCACCAGAGACTATGATCTGAGATATCAAGTCGGACAATTATCTTAGCATATGTGAATCTCAGATAAGTGTATCCGGATGGCACTTTGACAAAACCTTCTTGGTTCCAACTACGCGACATGCACCTGACATCTCAGCATATCATGTCCAGGGATCTCAGCCAATTTCTAGCCTAGTTCATATCATATCCATCAGAGTGACCCATGATGGTCTTCTCCTTGGTGCTTACTGCACCGTTGCTCGGTAGGTTGCACTGCACCCATGATTATTGGATTTCGAACCCACAGTCTGTGAGTGTATCAAAGTGGCACCGAAACAGAATATTACAGGAAGTTACCTAATTATCGACACGATACCTCTCATCGACGTGGACCACGATCATCTACATTTCGTGGTCAGGCATGGCACTGGAGCCGATGTGATACAAGCGGGGCAGTTTTTGAGCGCCTGAACCTCGTACAGGGCTGTTCTACAATGGGTCCTTTGATTTGATCTCTCTCGGAGAATTCCAAAGCTCTGTTTGGTAGAGCTTGTGTTGGAGGCTGATCTGTCAAGACTCTTCTCATTGGTCTAAACTTGCCATGGCACGATCTCCATCCGGGGTGTAAATGCGGGCGAACCAGATACAGTCGCAACTGACCGGCAAGGTATTCCATCGTATTTACTGCTCATTTCGTGCTTTGGCCTCTCGATTGCTCTTGGCGTTGCCTTCTAGCCCGTACAGCACGTCCTCCGACATACCTGGGATCACCATGTCGAACGTCTCCTGGACGACGGTATACTGGTAATATCCACACCGGGCGAGTGGCTTGGTCTTTCGAACGTCCAGAATCCCATCGGTCAGAACTTCGTCTTTGATGTGTACAGCCAACACCCGACCGATCACGATGTCGACGGTCCCCATGGGAGGATTACCTGGCAATCGCACTGTGGAGTGATATTCACATTCAAACTTCACTGGAGACTCCTGAACCATGGGAATATCCATCAAGGTGGCTGGCTCTTTGGTGACCTTGGCTCGCTCAAACTCATCCACTCCGTACGGAACCTGTTCCGCTGAAATGTTGACTGCATCGCGCAGATCCGAGGTTGCCAGGTTCCAGACAAAATGCCCAGTTTCTTCGGCATTCACCACCGTGTCTTTTCGCGTACCATCCACCTTTTGGTTGGAAGAGAACATCACATAAGGGGGGTCAAATGTCAGATTGTTGAATTGTGAATACGGCGCCAAATTCGACTGCCCGTCCTTGTTCTTAGTGGAGATCCATCCGATCGGACGAGGCACAACGCATGCCTATAACAATTATCAGCACTGATAACGGAATGTTTGGTCAATCTGTTCACCTTGAATGGATCATGGGGAAGGTTGTGGTCGGTCACTCCTGGTTGGTAGAACATGGTGTATGCTTGATGTGCTCGAGTGAATGTTCTACATGAAGAGGGATCCTACCCCTCTATTTATGTCTCGCCGCTCCCGGCATTATCGGCCGACGTGATCGGCAGACCTCATTTAGGTGCACACTGCGTAGTGATACCGCCATGGTCGGCAATTTTTCCGTCGTCACTTGACATAGGCGCGTTCCGAGACCCAAGGAGTGCAGATCAATGCTGCATCAAGCTCGCATCGAGGTGGATGACTCTAGAATGTCGGGTATTCGGGTCTCGGATGTCGGGTCACGGCCGACCCTGCGAGACCCGAAGCTGCGGCATACCGAGAAAGTTGAAATTGACTTGTGCAACAAAACTTTGCATTTGGAGTAGTAAAAGTGGTCTGATCCGATTTTGCCGGATTGAAACATCTTGGGACATATAAGTACCAGCCTTCGTTTGCCTGGTTTTCCAATTAGACTGTCACCATACATCCGCACTTTACATACTTCTACCGTTCTACGTCTCTCAAGAACCACACACAGCTTCTCAAAATGGTTGCCAACGAGCCTCATCTATGCTTCCGCTCCTTTGTTGAGGCTCTCAAGGCTGATAACGACTTGGTGGAGATCAACGATCCCGTTGATCCCTATCTTGAAGCCGCCGCGATCACTCGCCTTGTCTGCGAAACCGACGATAAGGCCCCTCTTTTCAACAATGTAGTCGGCGCACAGAACGGCCTGTTTCGCATCCTTGGTGCTCCAGGCTCCCTCCGAAAATCCCCCAAGGATCGCTATGGCCGACTTGCCCGTCACCTGGCTCTGCCCCCTACGGCATCGATGAAGGATATTCTCGACAAGATGCTATCCGCCAGCGAGATGCCTCCAATTGCACCTCAAATCGTCCCCACTGGTCCCTGCAAGGAGAACGTTTTGGAAGAGAGCCAAATTGACTTGACCAAACTCCCCGCCCCTCAAATTCACCAGGCTGATGGAGGCAAATATATTCAAACCTACGGAATGCATATCGTTCAATCCCCTGATGGATCGTGGACCAATTGGTCCATTGCCCGTGCTATGGTCTCTGATGAGAAACACCTGACTGGCCTGGTCATCGAACCGCAGCACCTCTGGCAAATCCACCAGATGTGGAAAAAGGAAGGCCGGGATGTGCCTTGGGCTCTGGCCTTCGGTGTTCCCCCTGCGGCCATCATGGCATCCAGCATGCCCATCCCAGATGGTGTCACGGAAGCCAGCTATGTCGGTGCCATGACCGGATCCGCCTTAGAACTAGTCAAGTGCGATACCAATAACCTTTACGTGCCTGCTACTTCCGAAATTGTTTTTGAGGGCACCTTGTCAATCACTGACAAAGGGCCGGAGGGGCCGTTCGGAGAAATGCATGGATACGTTTTCCCTGGTGATACTCACTTATGGCCGAAATACAAGGTGAATCGCATTACCTACCGTAATGAGCCAATTCTACCCATGTCATCCTGTGGTAGGCTGACGGATGAGACTGTAAGTTGAATGTCTCACTCGTATTCACGACTATAACTGACCAATATCTAGCATACCATGATTGGTGCCTTGGCTGCTGCAGAGATCCGCAAAATTTGCCAGAAGAGCGGCCTTCCTATTACGGATTCATTCTCGCCATTTGAGTCACAGGTCACCTGGGTTGCTCTTAAGGTGGATACTGCTCGCCTTCGGGAGATGAAGACCAATTCCAAGGAGTTTTCCAAGAAGGTCGGAGATGTGGTATTTAACCACAAGGCCGGGTACACCATCCATCGCCTGGTTCTTGTCGGCGACGACATTGATGTCTCCAACGGCAAAGATGTCATGTGGGCCTTCTCGACCCGCTGCCGCCCCAATTGTGATGAGACCTTCTTCGAGGATGTGCGTGGTTTCCCCCTCATCCCGTACATGGGCCACGGCAATGGATCGCCCACCATGGGTGGCAAGGTGGTCTCGGATGCCCTCATGCCATCTGAATATACGACTGGTCAAGATTGGGTCGCTGCAGACTTCAAAAACTCGTACCCTGAGGAGCTTCAGAAGAAGGTTTTGGAAAACTGGACCAAAATGGGATTCCGAGAGGAGTAATTTGTCAAATGGATTCCCGATATTGCGTTGTATATTTTTTTCTGCCTTGCATGGGACATACAAAATTTCGTTAAATTTGTTTTTCGAATAAAAGACGTGCCGTAATTCCAGAAATTTCTCAATATCTTTCTACCGACCCAAAGCTTCTTTTCTATCCGTTTCCCATTTTAGGTTGTATAGAGCGTTGTGGAGAAACGATGATGATTGGTCCAGATTATCACATGACCGATATACCGAGCCGACATCACACATTGAGATCACTACTGCTTTCCCATAGTCACTCCTACTTTGATAAAATAGCTGGTAATATTGTTATCAAACGAGCAATTGGCTTTATCCGTCTTGACGAGGATCGCGTCTGAAGTGTCTGAGGATCGCCAAATCACGGGATTCCTCCTCGGAAGCCTCGGCAGGATGAGCGTTCGGCGCGATGAGGCAGACCGGGTTCTCCGATTGAAGAGTCGGGAGAGAGAAGCCCATGCGTGTTACCCCTGTCGGAAACGCAAGGTCAAATGCGATGGTAACCAGCCCTGTCGGACCTGCCAAAAGCGAAAACATCCGCAAATCTGCGAGTTTGACATTCCGGTGCATTCGAGACGCAGATCGACATCTCACCATATCACTCGCTCAGCTTCGCCGACAGCACCTCACGCAGTGATCGAGAACGTTGCCGAACCTCCACTTCAGAACAATGATAGTTCTAAAAATTATGTCTACTCGGGGGATAACTCTGTGGTCTCGATCTTGCGCTCACGAGCATCGGATGCTAATGATTCCATGGCACGTGAAGTGGGCTCTGTTTTGGGTCTCCAAAACACATTTAACAGCTATCCATTTATGGACTCGAAAACCCCTTTAGAAAAGTGGGAATCTTTGCTACAAGTTGTACCACAGCGAACGGAAATCTTGAAGTACGCGGCACCCTCATAGTCTCGGATATCCACTAAGCAACAATAGATTTTTTCATTATTACCGCGTGACCGCATACCCATACAATCCAATTCTGGCTGATATGGATCGTTTTGAGGCTGACCTGTGCACATACCTCAATGCTCATGCCTTGGGAGAATTCAAGAACCCAGAGAAGATCACGGATCGATGGGCAACGGACAAATCCATTGGCCACATTAGCCTCTTACTGGCCACCCTAGCAGCTGGGGCTCACTATTCCGATGTGGAACACCCCCAAAGATTGGAACTTGCTACGGAATTTGGTACGACTGAATGACCCGACAAACGGCTATTGCTTACAACATGAAGCCCGCAGATCATTTCACGCTCTTCGTCTTGCAAACTTCCTCTTTCGACCATCCTTGGATGCGATTCAAGCGCTTCTAATAATAGGAAACACAATGCAGAACATGGGCCAGTCAGACGCTGCATGGGCGTTGCTCGGCACGACAGTTCGATTGGCTCAGACCATGGGACTTCATACTGAGAGAAGCACCATCCACTGGCCTGAGTATGTACGAACAAAAGCTAGAAAATTATGGTAGGTGAAACACGGTCTAGACTTATTGTCACACACTAACGCCAAATAATAGGTCGACTGTCGTTTGGCAAGACAGTCTTCTCTGTCTCTGCTATGATCGCCCACCCATTGTTTCCGTGACAGGGTGGTCAATTGACCACGCACATTTTGAACAAAACGACTTGTCATATCCAGACACAATGCACCTTATATGCCGTCTAGGCCTAGACATAATGCGACCGGAAAATCTTGGAGTTACGGAAGTCGATAGAGCTATTGAAGGGCTCCAAAGGCTGGACGGTGTGGGCCAGCGGAGTCAGAATTACTTGCGAAATCGGGAAAATTGTATCACCATTCGTCAGAATCTTGAGCACCTGGCACTCAGGATGCATACGTCGTTTTGTGTATCTGTGATTTGCCGACCGGCTATGAAACAATCCCAGCCCCAGCCACTCCACCCACAAGCTGACTTACTTCGAACACGCGCAAGAGCTGGCTTGATTGATGCATCCAAGGCGTTCCTTGACTTCCAGGCTCTCAGCGTTGTTCCCTTGCGGAGCTGGTCGATGGTACATACAGTCTTAAGTTCTACTTTGCTTCTTTGCATCTGGGAAGAGACGCGCCATGACCCTGAGTGCCGCAGTCTGCAGCAACAGGTGATCGATGTCTTTTCGTCATCGGATTCAAGGACCGCAGAGGGAACTCCGTCTGAGAGCGACGGCCAGTGGTTATCTGCTCGACACATCCGAGCCCTGGTTACCCTGCGAAGTGCTTTGGACCGAGAAGGTGACAGGAGTACAAATCAACCTGAGAACTTGGAGATGGGGCTTGAGGCTGCCCCAGGCCTCAATCTCAACAATCAGGCTGGCTACATGCCAGTGGAAATGATGGACCCGTTCGGTATTTCACCGGTAACATACTTAGACTCAATTATGAATGGTAAGTCCTTCCATACCACTTGTGATCACTGCTAATTTCTTTCTACAGTCCCCCTGTTCGACTTTACACAAGAGAATGGATTCCTGTGACATCCTCATGCTCGGCAGAGGTGCAACTATTGCAACCCGGATGACCGGCAATTACGAACTGCATAGTCGGATGGATGAAAAATTCAACGCACTACTAGTTGAATGAGACTTTTTTGGTCCCAGCAAAGTTATTCAACAGTCCCCACAACAATAGCGGAAACAAGCTGCCGGGTTCGTATGTTCTCGGATCTCGGTGTCGGGGCCTCGGAGGCTCGGAGGGCCCATTCGGGCCGAAAATGCAGCACCACTGAGTCGGACCGCGACAGAATTTGTAGAAGCCGAACTTGCCGTCTCAGAGAAGACTTGCCACTGTTTTTTATTTTATTTAACTAGCGGCTGATAGCTGGTCCAGAAGCTCTTGCATTCCTCCATCCCCACAGTATACAGTCAAAGCGATTGAGAACGAACATCCCACCTTCACCTTATCAACCTTCAATGTTTTCACTACTATCTGGTACCAATACTCCTCAGTCTTCTCGTGCTTCTCCCAGTGGAAGCCCGCCCGATTCCGCGATGGTTTCGGACAAAGCAGAACAACAGGCAGCTGCACCCGCGCTCGCACCTACACATCAACCCACACAACGCCGCCGCCGAATCGTGGTAGCGATGACCGGAGCGACAGGAGCAATCCTAGGACTCAAGGTTCTCATCGCACTCCGTCGTCTAAACATCGAGACGCACCTAGTCATGAGCAAATGGGCCGAAGCAACCATCAAATACGAAACCGACTACCACCCAGCCAACGTCAAAGCCCTCGCCGACCACACTCACTCAATCAACGACATGGCCGCACCGATTTCAAGTGGCTCCTTCAAAGCAGACGGCATGATCGTCGTGCCATGCAGCATGAAAACGCTCGCAGCGATTCACAGCGGGTTCTGCGATGACCTGATCTCCCGCACTGCCGATGTCATGCTCAAAGAGCGTCGTCGCCTTGTGCTAGTCGCTCGGGAGACCCCACTGAGTGATATCCATTTGCGCAATATGCTAGAAATTACTCGGAGTGGGGCGATTATCTTCCCCCCTGTGCCGGCGTACTACATCCGAGCTGCCTCGGTGGATGATCTGGTGTATCAGAGCGTTGGGCGCATGCTAGACTTATTCGATTTGGACACGGGGGATTTCTCACGATGGGAGGGGTGGCAGACGGAGAAATGAGTCAATCTAACAGGCGTTCTTGGGTATTGGGAATCGGGATTAATATGTTTTCATCACATGAAGCGAAATGTACATTCAAGAAAAGTCAATATAGATCACGTATTTTTATACATTTCATCTCCCACTTATCCATCTTTCCTTTTCGAGCTCCTGGATCACGGAGATATCACCAGGAACAGAACCATCTGCATGCCATGGTTTGTAAGTCACCGACTCCACCCGATGCTCCGATCTGCAGCTCCACAAGGGACGCCCCACTTCCCCCGGAAACTCCTGCATTCCTGCGCCACACAATTCCTTGGGAAAGCCCCTCATTGCATGTCTTTCTTGGAACCGCTCGCGTCTGACACGAGGGTACTGAAAGTATATCTTAGTCGCCCAATCAAAATTTCAACGCCCCTCCAGAGAACGAGGCCCGAGACCCTGCATAAACTTAACGGCTAGAATCGCATGACCACTTTCCCGGTGAATATTCCGCATTCAGTCGATACCAAGGGAATACCCCGCGTCAGGAGAGAATTGAGTTATGATATTTATGATCAACCGAGGAAATGGAGGAGCACATGTTGACCTGGGGAAGAGGGATGCTCCCTCGATGCGGAACAAGGGCACAGGTCGAGACGATATAAAAGCCCTCGGTCGTTGCGGGCATTTGAGGATGATAAGCTGCAAATATAGGTCATCGAGCGACGACCATGCTCTTTCACCTGATCTTTCTGGTTGTGCCGGTCCTGGCTGCTCCGACTCTGGAGAAGAGGGCTAGTGCACCTACAGTCAGTATCTCATACCCCCAAGCTACCATCATCGGATCAACTTCAAGCAATGTCGATTCCTTCAAAGGGATTCCATTTGCTCTTGCGCCGACAGGTGCTCGTCGACTCAAGCCCCCGCAGGCAATCGCAACTGCACTAGGAACAGTGAAAGCAACGGGGACCGCCATGTCCTGTCCCCAGTTCTACTTCTCCACGAGTAGCAGCGATTTCCTTTTTTCTCTTCTGGGGGAGATTGCGGATATCCCGCTGTTACAAACAGTCACCAATGCTGGTGAAGACTGCCTAAATCTCAATGTTCAACGTCCTTCAGGGACTAAAGCCGGTGCAGGTCTCCCGGTCTTGGTGTGGATCTTTGGTGGTGGGTTCGAACTTGGCTCCACGTCTATGTATGATGGGGCGTCTATTGTTGCTTCTTCAGTGAGACTGGGTATGCCGGTCGTCTTTGTGGCGATGAACTATCGTGTGGGTGGATTTGGATTCATGCCCGGATCGGAGATTCTCAAGGATGGGTCAGCGAACTTGGGTCTTCTAGATCAGCGCCTGGCTCTGGAATGGATTGCGGACAACATTGCACAGTTTGGCGGTGATCCATCGAAGGTGACTATATGGGGAGAATCGGCTGGTGCCATCTCGGTCTTTGATCAGATGGCTCTTTATGACGGTGACATCACTTATAAAGGCTCTCCATTATTTCGAGGCGCTATCATGGACTCTGGAAGTGTGGTACCGGCGGATCCAGTTGATGGGGCGAAGGGCCAGGCGGTTTACGATGCTGTAGTGAAAGACGCAGGCTGCAGCGAAGCAACCGATACACTCGAGTGCCTCCGGGGTCTGGATTATACGACTTTCCTTAATGCTGCCAACTCCGTCCCCGGAATCTTGTCTTATAATTCTGTTGCTTTATCATATCTCCCGCGGCCTGACGGGACAATTCTAACTGATTCCCCTGAGGTCCTCGTTGCAGACGGCAAGTATGCCTCTGTGCCGTTCATTATTGGTGATCAAGAAGATGAGGGAACTATATTCGCATCATTCCAATCCAACATCACCACGACGACACAGATCGTCGACTACCTGCAAAATCTGTTCTTCGCTGATGCTTCACGAACGCAACTTGAGGATTTAGTGGCAACTTATACTGACGTGACCACGGATGGCTCTCCATTCCGAACCGGGACTGCCAATAACTGGTATCCCCAGTACAAGCGCCTGGCAGCCATTCTGGGTGATTTGACCTTCACCTTAACCCGTCGAGTCTTCCTCACGGTTGCCAACCAAGTCAAGCCCGATGTTCCTTCCTGGTCATATCTATCCTCATATGACTACGGGACACTTCTCCTCGGAACATTCCATGGCTCGGACATTTTGCAGGTCTTCTATGGGATCTTGCCGAATTGGGCATCGAAAGCCACGCATGCCTACTACTTTTCTTTTGTTTACGACTTGGATCCTAATTCCAAGGCTACGAGCTACATGGATTGGCCACAATGGAGTACGAATCAAAGCTTGATGAACTTCTTCAGTGATCATGGCGCACTCCTGGCTGACAATTTCAGAGAGGATACCTATGACTTTCTCAAGGCAAATGTCGGGTCGTTTCATATATAGGCTGGACGGATGAAGGACAGCTTTACATATGGATCTAGGGAGGTCATGAATAATGCATATATTGAACATAAATTTCCCTACTATCTGATTGACCATGTACTATCTCCAAGTCGCCGTGACCGTCGCAGTTGTACCTGCACAGCCCGTTGGAACTGTGTACGACCGGTTCGGGTTACTTTCCCATCCGATGGATGACGATCCATCCGTCTTCTCGATGAACTTATACTGGAAAGCTGTTCCCACTGGCAGAGTGACAACGACATACCAGACCGGATCGGAAGTTGTGTAATCAGCAGATGACAAAGCGATAGCATCATCCGTGTCCCAGTCTCCTAGTGCGCTGATGGAGCCCGAGATGTAAATATTCTCACCATACGTCGTGGTCACCACTTCTTCAAAGCGTACTGGCAAAGCAGTAGCTTGAGAACAAGTGCTGGTGGATGTCTTGGAAGTTGTAGTGGTACTAGTGGTCGACTTAGATGTTGTAGCTGTACTCGTGGTTGTCGTGGAGGCTTTGGTCGTAGTTGTAGTTCCGGTGGAAGTAGAGGCGGACGTTCCACACAGCCCACTGCCAGATACAGAAGAGGACAGCATGAAGACACGGGGTAGACCTGAGGCCATTGGAACAGCAATATTTCCACTGGAGTCAACTGTCACAGAAGTACAAGTGTACATCTCCATGAGCACGGTGCCCGAGGAATATCCACTTCCACTAAGGGAAAGAGTGTACGAGCTCCCACTCGCACCGTAGTTTGAGAGAACGGTGATGACGGGTGAGCTATTGGATCCCTTTTTCATGGCCAGAGTATGGCTATCTTGGTAGAACGGATCATTCTGGGACTGATTAGCTGTCATTCGGGCAGGGATCGTTAGTACATACCAGCGTAGTGATATAAGACGAATCCGCAGATATAGCGAGAGTGCGGATCTTGTTTGTCGCAGCAATGTATTCATACAGCTCTGCGGTAGTAGAGTATCCAGATAGCCAGGTGGCTTCACGGTTGTAGGGATCGCTGCCTCCGTCGTAGTGTTGTTCCTGTCCTGCGTAGATAATTGGAATGCCGTCTGACAGGAAGACGAACGAGATCACATTCTTAGCCTGTGAGTAATCATCAGTGTAGCTAAAATGTGTCAGCATGATGAAGACATTTGATAATTGTTAGTTCACATACGAGGCAAATCGAGGGTTATCATGGTTTTCAATGAAATTCCCAAGTAGAGTAGGATCAGCGCAATCCGAAGCAACTGAATTGATCATGTTGTATAAATCACTTATGCTGCCACTCGAAGACTCGAATGCGTAGAGAAGTTGGTAATAGCTATCTCGATTAGCGTTGTCCACACAATTTTCCAGGTCGACTCACATTGGATAATTCAGCACGCCATCCAAGTAGTTCTGATACGGACAAGTGTAGGCTGGGTCTCCATCAAAGACCTCACCGACACAGTAGACGCCTGCAGCATCATTGTAGTCGGGCCAAAATGATTCTTGAACATGTTTCACGGTGTCAATTCGCAACCCATCAACTGATTTATGTTAGTGGTGAAACATCGAACACATGAGTAGAGGTTGCATACTGGAGTAATTTGAGACCAAGTCCGCGACCCAGTCATACCAGATAGTCTGTACTGATGTCAGATCTGTGTTGAGATCTGGCAAGGAGACCGTAGTATCTCCCAGCCAGCAGTCTTCGACATTGCTCTGATTATCATAGTCGCTGATGAGGCAGTAGGAATGGAAGTAGGATGACGAATCGAATGGATCAAAGACACTATAGTCTACAGATGTGCCGGCTCCATTGTAGCCCTGATGATGGGTTAGATAATGGTGGGGAATATGTTGGATGTGCTTACCATGTGGTTTGCCACGACGTCCACCATCAGATACATCCCTCGATCATGCAAAGCGGTCGACAGTGCCAAAAGATCAGCGGCAGTGCCATAATTCGTGTTGATATCGTATCTACAGATATCAGTTTCTGTTGGTTATGAGGTTCTGCGTTCTTACATTTTCTGCTGCCAGTAACCGTGGTATGCCTCTCCATCTCCGGTATCTCCAGAAAGCTGCTCGGTCACTGGTGTGATCCAAATAGCCGTGAAGCCCATGCCTTGGATATAATCCAGCTGAATCCCCTATCAGTCTCGGTATAAGGAGTATCGGAAAGAAGCTTACTTGATTGATGATGCCTTGCCAGCTGCCTCCACAATAAATCTAAGCGGATTAGCCATGGAGATAACATAGGTTGAAAATTCCTACCCGGTCTGAAACATCGCATGCTGCCGTGGTCGAACTGTCCGTCCGACCAAATCGATCAGTCAACAAGAAATAGATGGACTGGCTTCGCCATTCCGCAGGTGTTAGGCCTACGGCCACATTTGCGAACAGCGCCGTGATCCACGCGAGTTGCTTCATGAGAGCGATTGAGTGAGGCCAATCTAACGTCGGAAATTAATTTAGAACTCAACTCCAGGCAGCAGCTCGGCATCTGCAGGTCGGTTTATACCGTTCTTCCCCACACAGGATCAGGCAATCTCCGGCATTCATCAGACACCTACTACTCACGGAGGCCTGTCGGGCGAAGGAACCAATGGTTCCTCAGCATCCGTCGCGTGCTACCTGTTCTGTGAACCGCCTTGGAAGCGGCAGTATGGCTTAAAGTCTGAAACTTTTTCAGCCCCGTTGCCCAAGCCAACTTGAGGTTAGATTCCTGCCCAAACAGGAAGCGATCGCGGTCGGCAATTAAGTTTCCTGTGAGGGACAACACTAGTGCCGGACATAAGTCTTCACAGGGCTCGGCTGCGGGGATTCTTCACGGCTCCACATTCTTCAGCGGCCAATGTGGAATGGCGCTGGACGTCATTTCCCCTTCACATGTCGATCGCATCAGTCGCCAAAACGCCTCTGTCGGAGCCGAAGATGACGGAGTCAGGGACGGAGTTGACGGAGGGTGATGATTGGAGGGCATGGCGCCAAGTCCTGCGGGGTTCGGGACTTCTTGTCGACAGGGGACGGAGAATCCCCGGGGAGTGGACGCAGTGGCACAGAGTGTAGCCAATTTGAATTTCCCGGGCCATGCGGGCTAGGCTTAGCTGCCACAGGAGTTGGTCCGAATGGGATCACGATTCATCAGGATCACCGGGATCGTCAGGTTCTAGAATTGTTCGAAAGAAAGGTTCAGCAAGTAAGTGGGGAAATGCTCATCGCTTCTGAACGGAGTAACGATGTACTGTAGATGCACTGTGGATGTACTTCTTGTACTTCGTGGGTATGATCATATGATTTCACATAATACTCCAATGCAAAGCGAAATGACTAATGATGTCGCAAATCAAGTGTCCAGGAAAGAGGAGAGATGATCTCCGCTTTGCTGCATATCTCCACCCGGTCAGTCCGAGTCACCCCTGCAATATGATTTCAACTTAACCGAGCCCATCCAACGACATGGAAAAAGATATAAAAATCCCAGAGCCCCTCTGGGTCAGAGAGAGGCCAGCACCTTCCAAACTCCGACTCATGGCTTCTCGTATCTTGACTGCGCTATGCGCGCTGGCTCTGGGCCACACGGCCATGGCCATCCCTCAATGGATGAACTTAGCGCCACGAGCAACCACTAGTGTGGCGAGCTGGTTGGCCACGGAGACGGCTGTGGCTAGAACAGGCATTCTCGATAATATTGGATCTGCAGGTGCCTATGCTGGGAGTGCAGACTCCGGCATCGTCATTGCTAGTCCTAGCACGGATAGTCCTGACTGTGAGTTCAAGACGGCAGAGATGGGGAAGACCAAGTCACTGACTGAAGCAGATTACTATACTTGGACTCGTGACTCGGCTTTGACCTTGAAATGCCTGGTTGATCTATTCAAGAATGGCGATACGGACCTCCTTGACGTGATCGAGGAGTACATTGATTCTCAGGCGTACATCCAGACGGTTTCCAACCCGTCTGGCTCTCTCTCTGCCGGCACTGGACTTGGTGAGCCCAAGTTCAATGTTGATGAGACTGCCTACACGGGATCTTGGGGACGTCCCCAGCGTGATGGCCCTGCTCTTCGTGCTACTGCGCTGATTGGCTTTGGCCAGTGGTTGGTGGTAAGTCGTGATACCCTGCACTGTTGGTAATTCTACTCATTATTAATGACGCGGTAGAGCAATGGATACACCACGACCGCTACCAATATTGTGTGGCCGATTGTTCGCAATGATCTGTCTTACGTGGCCCAATATTGGAATCAGACCGGATATGGTAAGACCATCATGTTCTATGGCAAAATTGTGTTCTAATAAACATCTAGACCTGTGGGAGGAGGTTTCTGGGTCCTCTTTCTTCACCATCGCTGTTCAGCACCGTGCTCTGGTGGAAGGCAGCAAGTTCGCCAGCTCAATTGGCTCGTCTTGCTCGTACTGTGACTCTCAAGCCCCTCAGATTCTCTGCTTCCTCCAGTCCTTCTGGACCGGATCATATACCTTGGCGAATTTTGGCAGTAGTCGCACGGGCAAGGATGCCAATACCCTTTTGGGCAGCATCCACACGTTCGATCCTGAGGCAGCCTGTGATGACAGCACTTTCCAACCATGTTCTTCGCGTGCATTAGCAAACCACAAGGTTGTGACGGACTCTTTCCGGTCCATCTATACCATCAACTCTGGTATCAGTGCTGGTGTTGCGGTAGCGGTCGGTCGTTACCCCGAGGATTCGTACTACAATGGAAACCCCTGGTTCCTGTGCACCCTCGCAGCGGCAGAGCTCTTATACGACGCTTTGTACCAGTGGAATCGCATCGGTTCCTTGACAATCAACAGTGTGTCTTTGGCCTTCTTCACCGATCTGTATAGCTCAGCCGCAACTGGAACCTATTCTTCGTCCAGCGCCACATACTCATCGATTGTGAGTGCCGTGAAGACCTACGCAGATGGATACGTTAGCATTGTGGTAAGTGGTGGTTATTTCTTGTATGATGCTACAGACAACTGACACCATGTAGGAGAAATATGCTTCAAGCAACGGATCGATGTCGGAACAGTTTGACAGATCCAGTGGTGCGCAGCTTTCAGCTCGCGATCTGACTTGGTCGTATGCAGCCCTACTGACCGCAAACATGCGCCGCAACTCTGTTGTCCCCGCAGGATGGGGCGAGACCTCTGCTAGTAGTGTTCCAGCCACCTGCAGCTCGACTTCGGCCATTGGTACCTTTAGCTCTGCCACCAACACCGCGTGGCCCACCACCTTGACCAGTGTATCTGGGACAGCGACTACAACGGCCACCACCACTGGCACCGGGACCACGACCGTGACTACAACCAAATCCACATCTACCACGAAGACGACCACTACCTCATGCACCACGCCTACTGCAGTCGCGGTGACTTTTGATTTGATTGCGACCACTACTTACGGGGAAAACATTAAGATTGCTGGCTCCATCGATGCACTCGGCTCTTGGGACACCGATGATGCCGTTGCTCTTAGTGCCAGTGATTATACGAGTAGCAATCATCTCTGGTTCGTGACTCAGAGTATCCCGGCTGGAACCGTTTTCGAGTACAAGTACATCCGAGTCGAGAGCGATGGAACGATTGAGTGGGAGAGTGACCCGAACCGTTCTTACACTGTTCCGGCTGCTTGTGCCACCACGGCTGTGACGAAGAGTGATACCTGGCGGTGATCGAGCTTTTCATTTGGGGAATCTAATTTCGGACAGCATTAAGGAATTAGCCTTAGTTGAACGTATACATATGAAATTTTCGTTGCCTCTGTCCCTGTCGTGTTGGTTTACCAAACGCAACACAGCCCCTTAAATTATGTGAGCGTAGACCAGAAAGTATGCCATGATATATGAAATGTATTGACGGTATGATATCTGTTAAAAAATGGACAAAGAAGTAGACAAGTAATGAGTGGAAGTAATGCTGAGCTTTAGAGCCGATGATGCCGAATAAACAATCCCAAGAACGCGGCTAAAAGAGAAGCCGCGAGCGAAAGCACTAGCGACAGGTTAGAGTTTTCACACGCTTTGCGTAAGGAAAGAGACCTACCGTAGGTGTCCTTGAGACCTGAAATGTAACATTCCACAACAATCTCCCTAAGTCGACCACCGAGATGGGCGATATAATTGGTGTCGTCCATGGCACGTTTAATAACCTATCCCAATTAGTCAAGATCAACAAAAATAAACAAAATGATAGGTTTCATACCCTCTCCGACCCAGGACCATGCAGATTTAGACGAAGTTGGCGTTGGAATTCCGTTCCCAACACTGAATTCGACGCCGTTACACCCGCCGTCATGGCAAAACTGAGCAACATCATATATCCGGCAGTCGCCATAGCCACCTCATCCGGAGGCAATGTTGAAGTCAATGCCACGAAGGCAGCGGCAGCGGCAATTCCGGTACCTATGCCACCGGGGACGATGTAAAGTGATTCCCAAGGACCGGTATGTCCATCCCAACGCAGATAGAGGAGGACGTAGGTGATGGATGCGATCAACCCTGCGAGCACCAGGAGAATACGATATGACCCGGTCTTCCGAATGAACCATCCAGCAAACAGACCACCCAGGGTATTCCCGACCACTGCAGGGACGAGGTGAGCGCCCGCCGCGGTGGTGGATGCTTTTTGGGTGACTTGGAAGTACAATGGGACGGAGAATAGCATGCCGAGCTGGGCAGTGATCTGGAGGGTACTGAGGAGATAGCTAACGGCCACATTGGGTCTGCGCAAGATACGCAAGTTGAAGATGGGTTCTGTGGCTACATAGGCCTCGACCAGGACGAAGGCTACCAGTAGCAGGAGTCCACTGCCACCAATGACATATGTCAGCCATGAGGTCCACGGGAAGGCCTTTCCTCCTTGATCGAGGAGACCGATCAGGGCGACAATCCCCGCTGCGAGAATTCCTGTTCCTAAAAAGTCGACTTGGCTCAGTTTCGATTTTCCGCTCTCCAGCGCGTCGTCGGTATCTTGTGCCACTTGAAGCTTTAGAATCACCAGGAACGCTGCAAGGGCCACGAAGGGGGCTTGCAGGAGGAATAGCCTATCAAAAGTTGCATTAGAGATTAATTTCCCAATCATGGCTGGAAGTCATACCATCGCCAGCCAATCGTATCGCTCAGCCAGCCTCCCACCGGGCCCCCGATACTTCGGCCGAGGGTCATGGAAATATTAACATAGGCTCTCCATGTCGCGATTTCCCGTTTCGGAACAATGTCTGGTCATATTAGCGATGTTGCTTGCACCCGAACGATCATTCCTACCAGTGATAATAACCGAGCTAATGGTCATTGTCCCCGCACCACCCATGCCACTAATGGCACGTCCCAGGATGACGATCCACATCTGGGAACCAACACCACTACCATTCATTAACAACCAATTTCTTCTTTTTCAAGGCTCCGACTACTGCGTCACATACCTTATAATACATCCCAAGGCGAATAAAAAGTACGAGATCAAGAGGAGTGGTTTGCGACCGTAGATATCACTAAGTTTCCCGTACTGCATATGCGATCAGCGCCCGCTCTTCTCCTTTCACTTCCTCACTCACCATGGGTTGTGCGGCGCAAAGGCCTAAGGTATATCCCGTTGATAACCAGCTTGCATCGCGTAGTCGATCGAATTCCGAGGAAATGCGGCCCGATGCCGCGAAGACCAGTGTTGCGTCGGCATTGGAGATGAATTCACCTACAAATGTTAGGATGGATCGCGTAGGGGGGTTGAGACTTTGTTTTTCGCACCCAATAGCAGTACCGCAATGATCGTGCCGACGCCGACTAATGGTTGAACTTTGGAATTGGGGGTTTCTGATGGAAGTAAGGGGCTTTCTTCGTCGTGAATGGTTTGTTCGTTCCCCGACGCTGTTGGGTCGGCCGTGCCATAGTTCCGGTTAACCATGGTATTGTATTTCGTTTCCAATGCGACCTGAATGAAATGGAATCGGAAAGTTTTGGAACTTCACCGGCGAACTTTGGTTGGGAACGGGAAACGAAGCCACACCTTGGAAAGGGATGAAATGCTCCTGCGATCCACGTCGGGACTCGTGGGTTATGAGCGTCGACCGGGGCAATCTGACGAGCCATTGCGTTATATGCTAACAGTGTTAGCCGTTGAGAGCTGGCTTGAAGCTCGCCAAATCTCGTATTTACACCAATAATATGGCTTGTAGATGTGTTCTCATCGTGGTTGCGAAGCACGCCATATACACGGATCCACTTTATAGATATGGATAAAGAAGGGTAAATGCCCATGAAACTATCCATCGATCTAGGTGATCCTGAGATGTTCAGGGTAAGTATTTCAACGAGAATCTTGATTGACCTTGAAAGTTGCATGTGCAAAATTGAAACTATCAGAGACTATCCCAGACTTCGTTCGTGCTGAGGTTTTCAAAGTTGCTTGGATCTATGAAGCCATGAGAGCCACCGATGGCATCATCGTGGAGGTCTCCACCTCCAGATTTATGGAGTATATGCATACACATATCGATTCGATCGAATCTCGGTTAAAGGCCTAGGGACCGATGATGCCCTTTCGATGTTTGTTCTTTACCCTATTTGAATTAAACCTGCGAGTATTTGAAATATTGAGTAGAGTTCTATTCTATGGAGCACCTTGTGTCCATTATACATTCATCGATGAAATATATTTTAACATCCTAAGCCTGGTAGAGTTGCCCAATTAAGTATTGATTCCAAGCTTGGAAGTCGATTTTGTTGAGACGCCATGACCACTGCTTGACCCCCGGGGTCCTCTGAGTCCAGATCTATAAAGACCTGGAAGTCGAACACTAATTGCGTTCGAGCGGCACAACCGACACAGACCACAAAGACCAAACATGTCAAACATGACTGATCACCGGATCACGTGCCTCCATGGTGCGGTGTTAAGTCGGAGAAAAGCACATCGCCGTGTCAGCATGTTATAAAGTGGGTCCTGCTGATAAATTCTTCAAGCCCTGCACAACTAAAGACTTCGATGTGGATAACATTCGATCGAGAAATAAGCTTTCCTCATCAATGATCCAGGAGGCAATGCCATGGTGTCATCAAGTCATTAAGGGAATTTCTCAACGCCGACCATGGGCGGGAATCGTCGGGAGAAGGCAGATTTCCATGATTTTTATGCCGAGTTATGTTCGCTGAAACATGGCTTGCCACACGGAAAAGAAAACCTGAAAAAGATCCCGGAGATGCCGATCCGTGGGCCGAGTCGAACGATCCAGAAACCTTGCAGAACAACCTTAAATCCGATCAGGAACCGTCATCAAGGGGAATGATGACAGGGCTTCATAATCAATGAAACTTGAACGCAGTCCAGCGGTTCAATTGTCGAATTTGTCATCTGTCATCAAGGAGCCGTTGTGTGTGTGGAAATCAATGAAAACAATGGTGGTTTCCGAGAACGGACATAAAATTTGTCTTAAGGCCGTGATGACATGCCCATCAATGGTTCAAGTGGGCCCTGTCTCTGACCATGCAATCCACAGTAGAACCACAGCAGAACCACAGCAGAACCAAAACGGGAACCGTCAGAGATAGACAAATTTTTGAAAGGCTGACTCGGAGGATGACGTTGAATGGTGGAGACTGGTATATAAAGGACAAGGACTGTCCAGAGCTCTGAAGATCAGTTTCGACCATCTTTCTGATTCTATTCACATATCACCATCATCACCATGGGTTCTACCGATTACAAGTTTGAAGGCTGGATGGCCCTGGATAAGGAGGCTGCTAAGGGCAAAATGGTCTGGCAGGAGTTTGAGCCTAAGCCGTGGGAGGAGACGGATATCGATATGCGTGTCACCCACTGTGGTATCTGTGGATCGGATATGCACACTCTGCGCAGTGGATGGGTATGTGAACCGCCGGAAGAAATAAAGAGAGGTGGTGAAAGATCGAAATTAACAGTGATTAGGGACCTACTACCTACCCCTGCTGCGTCGGACACGAAATCGTTGGTATCGCTGTTCGAGTCGGCTCTAAGGCCGAGGGCAACATCAAGGTCGGTGACCGCGTCGGTGTCGGCGCCCAGAGCGGATCCTGCTTGAACAAGGACGGTGACTGTGAGGCCTGTGCCTCAGGTATGGAGCAGCACTGCAACCGCATGGTGGGCACATACAACGGCACCTACGCCAACGGCGGCAAGTCCTTCGGTGGATATTCGCTGTACAACCGAAGCCCCTCCCACTTTGTTGTTAAGATCCCCGACGCCCTCTCCTCGGCCGACGCTGCCCCCATGCTTTGCGGAGGTATCACCACATACTCCCCCCTGCGACAGAACGGCTGTGGACCCGGCAAGAAGGTTGGAATTATTGGTGTGGGTGGTTTGGGCCACTTTGGTATTTTGTTCGCCAAGGCTCTGGGAGCCGACCGCGTTGTCGCTATCTCTCGCAAGGGCAACAAGAGGGAGGATGCCTTGAAGCTTGGAGCTGACGCTTACATTGCCACCGATGAGGATGAGGACTGGGCCAAGAACAACGCACAGTCCCTGGACCTCATCATCTCCACAGTGTCTTCCTCCAAGATGCCCATCCTTGGTTACACCCAGATGCTGCGGACTCGTGGAACCTTTATCCAGCTCGGTGCTCCCGAGGATGGAGGACTTGAGATCCCTGCCTTTGCCCTGATTATCAAGGGTATCAAGCTCGGTGGTTCGCTGATTGGTAGCCCCGATGATATCCGGGAGATGCTGGAGCTTGCCGCCGCTAAGAACATCAAGCCATGGATCGAGGAGCGGCCAATGAAGGAGGCCAACCAGGCCATTCAGGACATGGACGCTGGAAAGGCCCGATTCCGTTATGTGTTGGTGAATGAGCAATAGATGTTACTGGAACCGGCATTGAAGAAAAAAAGGAAGGAGTTACGATAGACGAATAGTTTTGAAGCGTTGAAAATGAAATGCATGATCACATTGAGTAATTCACTTTTTCGTACTTTCACTGTTCACTTATCCGTGAAACCTCCGGCACAACACCCAGCGCCTCTTTTCCACTTCCACTTCCACTCCAACCATCAACCATCACCATCACCCTTCCACCTTCAACCTTTCCTTTCAACCTTTCAACTCCTGATCCTTCCCTGACCAATACCCAAGATGACTAAAGATAACCACGGCAACGAGTACACCTACAGCGGCTCTGGCACCAACAGCCAGGTAAGTGATACTGAGACCCACCACCAGAGGTGAAATAGACTGACATCGACGATCCAGGGCAACCACTACTGCAACCGAGACTACGGCTCCGATGCTGCCAACCAAAATGCTTATCACTACTCCAACCAGTAAGTGTTGTTGAAGTTCGAGGCGAGCCCCACTAACCCGATATAGGAATGGATCGTACTACTACTCCAACTCTGACGGTAGCACCTACTACAACAATGGCCAGGGCGAGGCCACCTACAACCCGCCAGCTTCGTCCGACTCGTCCAACTCGGGCAGCTCGGGCAGCTCGGGCAGCTCGGACAGCTCTTCCAACTCGACCGGCCAGAAGTGACAGCCTCGCATCATGACCGAGCAGAGTTGATCTCCAAGAATTTGCAGTTTTACTGGGGTAGAGAAGGATGACCTTTGGGAGAGGGACTGGTGGGAATGGACGTTTATCGGGACCCAGATATTCTTGGAGACATAGTGAAATCCATGACCTGATGGGTCTATTTTGAAAATTGAGTTCGAACGTAAATCTGCAGGTTCATTGGCTCCAGCTAGTACATATCTGTCAACCCCGCACTTTCGGATGTGGAGACATCAACACGACGCCTATCAGTGGTAATCACCGTCGGATCGGAAGCGCCGATAAGAATGGGAAAGCCGTCGCGTCGATAACCCCCTCTCCTCCTTGAATCTGACTGAATTCGAGAAAATGCACGCTGCGGTGACCCCCGGGCGAGTCTGTGCTCGTTGCGCTCAGATTGTGAGTCGGCTTGTTGTAGAACACAGATCCACGCTAACGAGAACAGAAACAACGTTGCGATGGCGGTCTGCCTTGCTCCCGATGCAAAAGTACGTCTCCATCTTCCGGCTGATATCCAATTGAAGGAGAGGCTGAGGTCTTGACTAGGATTGGGACATGTCTGCAAGCCCCGAGTACCAGCAGAGAACGTGGGTCCCTCACGCGGAACGATGGGGTCACGCCGGCCCCGAGCATCACGGTCCCGTGGCGGCTGTCTGTCATGCAAGGCAAGGTAGATCGAGACTAGTGGATCGGTGACAAGTCTATCTGGGGGCTGACGCCAATCAATCGACCTGTAGGAAAAAGAAGTGCGACGAGAACCGCCCTCGATGTACGGATTGTCGCCGCTTGAATCTATCCTGCCAATGGCCATCCAATGGCACATCGGTGGCTAGCGATGGTGAATCCCCGGAATCTTATGCGACGGGCTCAACGGATTTGGATCCGATCGACAGTGCCGACGGAGATTTGCCGACTCTTGACTGGAGCACGCCTGATAACGATGAGGAGTTTATCGCCTCGCTTTTCCCCCATTCGTTGTCGCGGAGTGTCCAAACCCCGTCTATTGGGTCTCCAGTCTCCACAAATCCGCACTTGCGCAGTGAAGAAGATCGTTCGCTATTCAATCACTATATTCATGTGGTCTCGCGTGCGCTTTCCCGATCTCATGATTCCGATCGGAATCCATTCCTGGTGACACTTTTGCCCCTGGCCGCCACATCGGATACTGTCACCAGCGTGATTCTGAGTTTGAGTGGATGTCATTGGAAGCGGGTGTATCCTAGCATCTGGGGTTGCGCGTTGAGGAGACAAGGCCAAGGTACTCTACTTCAATTTCACAGAGTTTGTTTGTTGGCTAACCACCTATAGCATTGGCCCAAGTCAATAATTTACTGGGCCAGTCAGATGGCCGATGCATTTTTGAAGCGTGCGCCACCGTGCTTTTACTCTGTTTGACCGAATTATTTGATGGGACGTCACGAGTATGGAAGTGGCATCTCAAGGCGGCCAGTGCCATTCTAAAATCGCCAGCTTTTCAATCTCTGATCTCGGGCGATGAATGGACATTCTGTATCAGCCTATTCCATTACTTGGACTCCATGTCGACTATCTCACGGTGCAAGCCTCCCCTTTTGCATCCCGGGGCTAGCATGACTGAGCTCACGACTAGCTTTCGACGGAGCAGTGTACCAGAGCTAGAATACGGTCAGTCAACTACGGCAATCTATGGAATCTCTCCCAACCTCTTCGACTATTTGGGTATGGTCAACATACTGGCCAATCACCGAAGTAAACGGGTAGACGAGCTCTCCGAAATTGGGTTCCGAGCAGCAGCGACCAATGTGGAGACTCGGATCGACGAGTGGCGAGCAGATCATGATCAGATGGCGAAGAAAGAGCCGGACACGGAGTTCGCGACCACCGCGTTTGAATGGGCTATCCGCCTTCGTCTACACCAGGTGGTGGAAGGCTATGATCCACTGCATGGGTTCGTTGAGAAAGCGATTGTCACCATCCTGGATGCCGTGCAAGAAATACCCTACGCCAGTCGGGTCGAAGGGTGTCTTTTGTTTCCACTGGTTATTGCCGGGTCATCCAGTGTGACCATTGAGCGACGGATGATCGTCAAGGAGCGACTGATGGTCATGGAAAATACCTTAGGATTTAGCCATATTCAGTACGCGCGACAGTTACTTGAGAAAGTATGGGAGGCGAACTGCACGTCCGACATGAATTGGGCGTCAGTACGATATAGTCAGTTTCCTGGCGTGGTATTTGTATAATTATGACCCCGCTATACTGTAAGATGAAAGATAAACGAACTGTGTATGCTTTATATCTTGAAATGACTCATTACACTGTAACTCAAATTAGGTACTAGCTTGCTGTGCCTCATCTACCAGCTTAGCCAAGTGTTCTCTCATATTGTATCCACAAACCTCCTCAATAGTCAACTTCCCCGGACGATCTGACGATGAGCTCCAGCCAATACGCTCACTGAGATCCTCGCGCGCTCTGAAACTCGCTTCTTGGACTCGTGTGGCTCGGGGCTTGCGCAGCTTCTCATATAGCGACAATCCATCAGCAACAGCATAGTCTTTGCGGAAGTTTTTGTGGAAAACCAAGCCAAGGGCACCGGCATCTTCAAATGCCATGCAAGACCCCTGCGATTGATCGGGCATCATGGGATGGGCTGGATTTCGTTAGCTCAGATCTTCATGAGGGAATACACTCTCGACTTACCGGCATCACCAAGCAGGCAGACTTTGCCCTTCACCCAGTACGGATACGGGTCATGTCTGTATACTACTTCAACGTTAGTACTGGTTTGCCTGTTAAAGTGAAAAAAAAAAAAAAAAAAAAAAAAGGAAAAAAACATACACCGCCACATTTTGATATCCTCCGCATTCAGCATCAACTTCTTCATCCTCGGATCCAAATCAGGGAACGTCTCGACCAATTGCTCGGGTGAGGCGCCGATATTCCAGCCATCCTCACGAAGATTGTTGACCGAGGCTGGATAGAAGCAATAACAGCTGACGACCTCACCATTGCTACAGGGGGACATGACAATCTTGTTGATGCCAAATCCGCCCCAGTATTCAATGGCTTCATTTGAGATGTAATCCTCAAGATCCAGGGAGCGCAATTTATCCGCACTAATGATACAGCGATAGCAGCATGATGTGGACATGGTGAAATTGGGAGTGATGCCGATCAATTCCCTGGTGAGAGACTAAGGTCGGTCAATATCACTGATTTCATTTTGAGTGTTTGGACTTACTCGGATTCCGTCAGCAGCGACAATGATGTCGGCAGATGCCCGTGGGCCATTTTCAAATTGAATCGTGCCTTCTTCTGGGTCAACATGGACAGCCTTGTGATTCACTTTCAGGATACATTGCGGCCCTTCGCCGGGCACTTCAAACGCAGACTTGAGAAGTTGCTTGTGGATATCGATTCGGTGGAAATTGTTATAGTCCTGCCGAGGGTCAGGCCACGTCCATTAGGGAAATTTATGTCGCCTTACAGTGCCGAATTTGGATTTATAATCCCCCAGCGGATAAGTGCTCTGAACCTGTCCATCGGACCAATTGTGCATAATCAATTGACGAAGAATGACCTTGATTCTGTGAGTGCTTGGCGCTCATTCATCTGAGGTTGTTACGTACCGGCTTTGCTGCGCTCACATCAACGCCCCATTCCTCCAGAAACCGGGATCCATTGGATGCAGCACTCAAAGATGCACCGACTTCACCGGCAAAGTCATATCGCTCATAGACTGTCACTTGATGGCCCTGACGCCGCAGGGATACAGCAGCAGCCAGGCCACCGAGTCCGGCGCCAATGATGGCAACTTGAAGAGGCAAGTCTGTACGTGAAGGCATCTTTACAATCTAGTGTGCTCCAGCATGGGAACCAGCCATTTTACTCTTAATATATACACGACTGATGAAGCTATTCTCGTCGGATGCCACTATCTCTATCTTATCGGTAGCGACGGTGTTTATCTATCCGACGGCCGCATGTCTTGGCTCTTCCGTTGCCGATCATTGCCTCGTTCCCATTCGCCTCCCTACAGCCGGTACTATCACCGATTTCCGGGGAAGCTTCGACCTGTGTTGTTATCTTGGTCGGCCTCGTATCAGCGCCCCGTGATAGTCTTTAAATGGCAAATGCCAGCATCATGCGCAATCCCACCTCCCAAATCACCTCAACCCAACCATTCTCACCATGGAGAAGAAAGACGCGCTCGCGATGAAGTTGGATGAGTCTGAGGACTATGCCTTGGGCAGTCTTGCAACTGACGACAAGAGACTCGTTCGCAAGATCGACTCGCATATCTTGCCCATTATGTTTTTGACGTATTTTCTTCAGATGATTGACAAGATTTCTATTAATGTATGTGGCTCATCAGCAATGCTTGGCACATAGCTAATGAAACAGTATGCAAATGTGATGGGATTCCAGGATGACCTGGGTATGACTGGTAACGACTTTTCGTGGTTGGCAACGGCCTTTTTCATTGCGTATGCCGTTGCAGAAATTCCACAAGGAGCTCTGCTTCAACGGTTTCCCGTGTCAAAAGTGCTTGGGACGAATGTTTTCTGTTGGGGGATCATTTTGTGTTGCTCATCAGCAACCAAGAACTTTGCTGGCATGATTGCCCTCCGAACTCTTCTGGGCCTTCTGGAAGCAGTCATTGGTAAATACCGTTGATTCTTCTATTTCGCATTGTGCTGACGGTCATAGCACCCTCTCTCACCATCTACACGAGCATGTGGTACACCCGAGCAGAGTCCACTCCCCGATATGGATTCTGGTATTGTGGACTGGGCGCTGGACAGATAGTTGGAGGACTTATATCCTTTGCAGCCCAACATGCACCCGCCAATCTGTCATTTGGGGGCTGGCGCATCATGTTCGTGGTCATTGGGGCCGTCAATGTCTTGGTCTCGCTACTGGTTCTTTTCGTCTTACCTGAGACGCCCGAGAAGGCTAGGTTCCTCAGTGAATCAGAGAAGCAACGGATTGCTCAGCGACTGCAGACCGATCAGGCAGGTGTTGGTGCCAAAACATTTCGCTGGCGGTCTGTCCTTGAGGCATTTGCGGATCTTCAGACGTGGCTGTTGGTTCTTCTCACCATCCTCATTACCATTCCGAGCGGAGTTATCACAACTTTCTCATCGATCCTGATCAAAGGGTTTGGGTATGGCAATAAACAGAGTGCGTTGCTCAACATGCCATCGGGGGTGGTAAGCATTGTGTCTACGATGGTTTCCACATATGCGATCGCCAAAGGCTTTTCTCGATGGCTGGCCATCGATCTTCTGCTGATCCCGACGCTGATTGGGTCATGCCTGATGTCATTTCTTCCATCATCGAACAAGGGAGGTTGTCTAGCAGGTATCTACTTGGTGAATACGGTATGTCACTAGAGAGAAATTCTCTTCGAGCACCTCTGACTTACTTAGACTGTTGCTCCGCTCGCTCTTATCTATGCTTGGACTGGCGCCAACTATAAAGGATACACGATGAAGGTATGCGGTCAAACAATAGCTTTCCAATTGGATCCTAACAGCTCTAGGTTGCTGGCACTGCGCTTGTTTCAGCTGCATTCAGTATTGCCAACATCGTTGGGCCCCAGACCTTTCAGTCTAAAGATGCTCCCCAGTAAGCGATTTCAATCGTCCGACTTATGGTCATGCTGACAATGCCAGGTACATCCCCGCCAAGATCACTTTAGTCGCCGTCAATGCAGCGGCAATCCTAATTTCGACTCTTTTGCGAATCATGTATGGGCGTCGCAACTCTCGCGCCGATCGATTGGGGACCCCAGCACGTAGTTCGATGGAAGCGCGTATGGCGAGCACAGAGAGCGCCGATGTTGATGAGACTTTCCGCTATGTGTACTGATTGAGCCATGTATCTATTTTTAGTTAGCGTCTTGGAATTGACAGATACATAAGTTCACGCATAGAAGTGCAAATTAGAAGCGGAGAGGAGTTCAAGTGTCCGTGGGGATCGGCGACTGCATGTATCTATCCGACGGCGGCGCATTCATGTCCGACACAGTCAACGCTAATGATAATATGCGTCCGCTCTATTTAACTCCTGATGACCGTGGAATGACACTGGAATATTTTTAATTGATTTATTCTCAATACTTGACATGGCTCCCATCGACGCAGGCTCCCTGGTTCTTATCACAGGTGGAAACGGTTTCATCGCCGCCCACTGCATCGCAAATCTCCTGCAATCTGACTATCACGTCCGAGCGACCGTCCGATCAGCGGAAAAAGCAGATGCGACTCGCAATGCACTCAGCGCCGCAGGTGTACAGCATCTTGCTCGTCTCCAACTCGTTGTCGTCCCCGATCCGACCAACCTTGACGCTTTGATTGGGGTGCTACAAGACTGCCAGGCCATTCTCCACCTCGCTTCGGCATTTAGCTATGATGCCGCCCCGGGTGAATTTGAAGAGAAATTGATGATTCCCGCTCTCAAAGGGACTCAGGTGGTTTGTGAAGCTGCTCAACGGTGTCCGACTGTTCGGCGTGTAGTCATTATGTCGAGTTTCGCCAGTGTCTATGATGCCAGCTTGGGGCTGCAACCTGGACGAGTCTACACTGAGAAGGATTGGTGTCCGTTAACGTACGAGGACGGTGTGAATGCATCGGCTGTTGTAAGTCCATCACCCCTGTTTTGAAACGTCCACTGACGATACTAGCCCATCGCATACCGTGCCTCAAAGGTCGTCGCTGAGCGTGCAGCTTGGGACTATGTGAACAACAACTCTGTTCATTACCAGTTGGTGACACTGTGTCCCGGCATGGTATTTGGCAAAATGATACACCCTATCTCTTCCCTGTCTCAGCTCAATGCTAGCAATCAGATCGTGTGGCAGGTTCTGAATGCAGGCAAGGATGGTGAAATCCCACCTACAAAGGCACCTGGTAAGCCTTTCCAGTTTGACCATGCGAGTTTGCACTGACAGGGATATAGTCTGGATCGACGTTGAAGATCTAGCGGAAACCAGTCGCAAAGCATTGATCTTCTCTGCTACAGGACATGAGCGTTTCCTGGTCACACAGTCGTCGTATGATACGCAGGAGATTGCAGATGTCATCCGCGCCGAGTTGCCTGAAAGACACAGAGTACCAATGGGACAACCTGGGCAGCGAAGTGCGGATACTCATTACTCGTGTGATTCTTCCAAGGCCGAAACCGTGCTTGGCGTAAAGTTTCGGGGGCTCAAGGAGAGTATTGTTCTTTTAGCGCATCAGTTGTATGATATGAGTTAGTTCTATCGAGTCATCTGGCATGTCCATGGAATCAAGGTGCTATGTTACATATCACTGTTATCAGTCATGGCAAGTAGTCTCTGCCATAGAAGGTATTCTGGCAATCGAGAAATAGGGCTTCTCCGAGAAGTGGTAGCTCCTCGCGCTACAGATTCACCACATCAGATTTTCATGATCATGTCCAGGTAAATTTTTGTTCTCATTGAAGGTTACTGAGCCATTTGTTTTTGTAAACTGTCCCTCACGCTAATCCCGGTCCGCTGTACCTGTTCTACCGATGCAGAGTATCTCGAATATGATCCGCAGTCAAATCAATAAACTCCTTCGCCTGCCACAGGTCTAGACTTGGTCAGCAGTGCCTCGCAGAACGGACCGGAAATACTCACATTCATCCATATGCATAAAAGGGTGTGGAACCCCCGCAAATCGCTTCTGAATGACTTCGTTCCCACCCTCGATCAACTTCTTTGCATACGCCTCGCCCTCGTCGCGCAGAGGATCACAACCAGCAGTGTAGATCACAGTCTTGGGCAACTTTGTAAAGTCCGGCGCCTGCAAGGCATTGGCATACCACTTCAGCGCCTCAATCTGCGCCTCCCGCTCCAGACCCTCCGCAATGCTCTGCCACTTCAAATTATCAAACCACTTCAGTCGTGCCCAGTTCAGCGTAGGCGCATGTTCCATCTCCTGCATGGACGGCCAGGGAGCCTCAGCGGCAGACGCATACTTGGAGATATCATCAATAGTCGGGGTACCCACTGCGACCAGTCGCAGAGGGAGACTCGCATCCCGAGCTAGATGCGCGCAGATCAGAGCGATGTTGCCGCCGGCTGACACGCCACCGAGGGAAATACGGGTCGGGTCAATTTTGAATTCATCGGCGCCTTTCGCGTGAATGTGTTGCAGTGCTGCGAAGGAGTCCTGGATCCCAATAGGGAATGCGTGCTCGGGAACCAATCTGTATGCGACGTCGATTACGCAGACGTTTGCTTTGACACAGATGTGTTTGCAGATGTGGGATTCTGTGTCGAGATCGCCGAGACCCCATCCTATGTCTTTTTTAGTGTTTTGTACCTGTGAGATGAGATTGGGATGTTTACCTCCGCCGTGAAAGTCAATGTGTACCGGCCAGGGACCTGGGGAGTCGGGCTCATAGACCCGGACAGGGATCAAATCGCCGTTGTGGCCTGCCACTTGGGCATCGTAGATACGGGCGCAGTCGGGGGCTGGACCAGTACCATAGGAGTAGAGCACTGAATATTTTGAGCGTAATAAGGCCAGATCAATTGGGCCGGAAGGAGTGTTGGCGACGTGTTCGTTGTAGAGCTTCACAAAGACGGGGTCTAAGTGGGGGAGAACGGCGGGGTGAATGGGGTTGAGAGCCTCGTGCGACATGATGAAAGTGGATGAAATATTGATCAAAGATCAAAGAGCTTCAGGTTTATAACATGTCATCACGTCTTATAACCCCAATGGATGTGTTGTATCACCGGCGGCCGTCGCATTTTAGCCGACGGGAAACGCGATAACCCCCGCACGTTATCTATGCGACGGCCCCGATACCAGAAACAAAAAGGCATGGAGCAGCAAGGACACGAACCACATCAACATGGATCCGGTACTCATTGTTGGCGCTGGTATCGTTGGGCTGACTCTCGGTCAAGCCCTCAAGCAGAAGAACATCCCCTTTGAAATCTACGAACGCGATGAAACTTCCGATGCCCGCGGACAAGGATGGGCCATTACACTCCACTGGGCCCTGGAGCATATGTTCAAAATGCTGCCTGCAGAGACGCTAGCCAGAATTCAAGAAGTGCAGGTCGATCAGGAGGTTGCGCAGAACGACAATGGCAACTTTCTCTTCATTAATCTGGAGACAGGGGAACCGAGGTTTAGGATTCCCCCGAGTAGACGGTGGCGCGTGAATCGGGAGAAGATGCGCAAGGCATTGCTGCAGGGAATTGAAGAACATGTCAATTGGGGGCGACGTGTAGTTGGACTGCATGTTCCCCAAGACAAGGTGCAATTGGTCTGCGCCGACAACACAACCGTGACGGGACGGATGGTAGTTGGTGTAGAAGGAAGTCGATCGATTGTCAGGCAGATGCTGCGACCGGATGCATTCGATAACACACTTCTGCCCATCAGGTTCACCGGAGTTGCGGTTGATTTGACGCCGGCAGAGATTAAGCCTTTGCGAGAGATGGATCCGTTATTGTTCCAAGGATGCCATCCGCCGACGGGTGCTTTCTTCTGGTTTTCCATGTTAGAAACGCCACAAGGGAACGGAACGGTGGACTCGGCGTCGGAACGCTATCGAGCTCAGATATGCATGTCGTGGCCGGTGCATGGCCCAGCAGATGAAGTCGCCGCGACAGATGAGGCGCGACTGGCCAATATGAAACGTCGAGCAGAAGGATTTGTCCCTTTTTTGAAAGAAGCCGTCGATCGTATTCCAACTGGGACCTCGGTGACGGAGATCAAGCTTGCAGATTGGGAATGTCTGTCCTGGGATAATCATGGGGGTCGAGTGACGCTGGCTGGAGATGCAGCGCACGCAATGACAATGTGTAAGTTCCTTCACCTCGACGAACATACCCTTTCTAACGTCAATAGATCGCGGGGAAGCGGCGAATCATGGTCTTCTCGATGCATACCATCTAATGCAAGCGATTGAAAGGCTCTACTCCGGCACCGCAACGGCTCAAGCCGCGATCGACGACTTTGAGCAAGAGATGAGGGCGCGAACAAGTCGTGCCGTCCGATTAAGTCGACAGGCATGTCTGGATGCCCACGATTGGAGCCGACTGGATGAAACATCGGCCATCTTGACCAAGCGCGCGATTGGAGAATAGGAATAATCTATTGAAATCATGACACGAACCTATACATTCTAGTAAACCAGCTGAAACCAAAATAGCCCCGAAAAAGAAATGAAGAATCGCCAAATCCAATTTGTTATTAGAGCGAGTCAAAAGACAGTGACCATGTGTATAACTAGAACTACCAGTGAGGGACTCCTCGAATAGACCAAATGTATACCTCAACACATGCTATAAATAAAGAACACGAAAAGAATGCTGTCCAAAACGCGAGTCCTGATTACAGGAGAATCATACCCATACCGGTCAGCAGGGCGATGGCCGAGTAGACACCGACCTGGATGGAACCAAAGGCAACGCTCTGGTGGATGCTAGCGGGGGCACCAGCGCTGGACGAGGACGAAGTGCTGGAGGAGGAGCTAGAGTCGGCGGTAGCGGTAGCCTCGGTGGTGACGGTACCAGTGCCGGCAGTACCGGCCTCCTTCATCTGCGAGGAGCAGGTACCAGTAGCCTTGGTGGTGGCCTTGGTGCTGGCAGAACCGTCGAAGCTGCAGGCAGTGGCAGACTCGTCCTGCTCGCTGTAGTACTTGTTCAGGGCGAAAGCGAGCTGGTCCTTGACACCACACATGCTGTAGGCACCGTACTTGCCAGTGGTACCGTTGGAGTCAATACCACCACAGTCAGTGTAGCCACAGACAACGCCGAGCAGTTTGCCAAGCTTGGCGGAGCTCAGGCTGCTGTCGGGAACGCAGGCGGAGGCATCGTAGACACACTCGCACAGGGACTCATCGGCAGCAGGGGGCAGGGGAGAGGCCTTGGCTTCCCAGGCGCTGCTATCTTCGGTGGGGCAGCTCATCAGGGCGGTGTTGGTGGGGGTGTAGGCGCTCTTGCTGGTGCTGGAGGGGTCGGCACTGTTGATCTGGCTGGAGTAGTACTTGAAGTCGCTCATCTTGCTGACGCTGGTGCTGTCCACAACGGACACGAGACCTGGGATGTCATATTAGCGGGGCGAAGTCAGAGCGGCCGAAGACAATGCTTACCGTAGTCGTTGGACTCCTGGAAGTACATGTACACAATACCACCGGACCAGACGGGGGTCATGTTGTCGCCGTACAGGGCCTCAACCTCAGTGAAGGTACGGACAGAGGCGGTGTTGCAACCATACTCGGCGAAGAAGACGGGGACGGTGTAGTTGGCGAACTCCTCGGTACGGGCCTTGTAGCCTGACTCGGCGTAGGTAGAGTCACCGCACCAGGAGTAGATGTTGTATCCGTAGAAGTCGACCGTCTCATCTTCGGACTGGCAGTCCAGGTAGTTGGCCAGGTCGACTCGGATAGCAGAAACGTCGGCAGTGGCGTATCCGACACCCATGGCACGGTAGCCCATCTCCTTGATGTACTTCTTCATGTCCCGAATGGCGGCCTTGGCGTAAGCCATACCATCGGTGGTGGCGACGGAGTTGGCAATCTCATTACCGGCAAAGAAACCAATGGTGTTGTTGTACTGCTGGAGCTCGTCAATGACGGCGGTGTAACGGTTGTAGAGGGCGACATTCCACTCGGGGTCGCTACGGTCAATGGCCTCAGACGTGCTGGAAAGGTCAGAGACAACGTAGATGCCGGCTTCCTGCAGAAGCTTCATGCACTCGGAGTGGTCGGCAGTGGCATTGATGTAGTAAGTACGGATCACGTTGGTGCGCAACTCCTGCATGATAGGGATATCACGCTTGCAAGCGGTGGGGTTGGCCAAAGGATCCTCAGTTTGAGAGTCTATTCCCGTTAGTTCCCACTCATTCAGGGTGAAGAGGTGGAGACCTACACTGGTAGGCGACACCACGCATGAAGCTGGGGATGGGTCAGCGTGCTTCCTGGCCTCTCAATTGGAATCACTCACAATTGCGTCTGGTTGCTGGAGTAGTAAAATTTGGTACCCTATTCCCGATCAACATCCGTCTCGATAGTTCGATAAAGTCTGCGCAGGTCTACCTTGATCACAATAGGGTCGACGGTGGTAGCCATAGCGGCCCCGACCAGGGTCGCCAGCGACAGAAGAGAGAACTTCATGGTGTATACTATACGGATTTACACCGCAAATTGGATATAGCGAATGGATCGGAAGGAAAACCTCCTGGCAACAAAAAAAAAAAAAGAAAGACAGCTGGAGAAAGAACAGACGAGGATAGGAACGAGTGATATCCAGGTCAAGAGAAAAGAGAAAGCCACTGAAGACCCCGAGTGGCTTTGCCCCCCGTCGGCCCTTAATACCCTCATGGATTCGATCAACATGATTCGCCCCTGACCCCTAAAGGGGGGACGCGTACAACAGACCCAGCTCGCATCCACCGCAGGGGTCTGAATCAAACGACTTACGACTGGCGGGTGTCAACTTTTCCAGACCGGAGATGATATGGACCGCGTCAACCAAACGTTAGGGCTGTTTTCGACACTAAATCGGCCCAAATCGGTTCCCAGGCCCCGAGCAATGCCTGCTGGCCAATCGCGTGGGATCCACTAACTAAAAGTATCTTGGCTTTTGCAGGCTAACACTCATTAGTGCGCCACGATCCACCAGTCCGCCCAAGTCATGGCAGGAGCATGGGGCGGCAAAAGATAGCTGACGAGGGCAGAGTGGGATCTGAGACATGTCCATTTATCTGTAGAACCGCATCCATTGATCATCTCACTGGGGCTCGGTTGGATAAGTTCTTGACGAGGTTTCTGTCGCGCGCAAGTGGAGGGGAAAGTGAAAAAGTCGAAGCTGACGCGGTTGTGGGGCCATTTGGCTTAGGATGGCGTCGGCAGTGCGTGTACACTTATTTTTAATTTTCTTTTTTTGGGCTGTGTTGGTCTTCATCTTTTGCTTTGGCGATTCATGAATCTATAATTAACTGGCTTGAAGCTCGAGACAAAGAATCATACATGGACGTTGTCGTGGTTGTCCTTGGCGTTGTGGTTTGGTCGGCGATCTACAGTCGTGCACTGCCTCGGAGATGATTTCCTCAGTTGATCCCGAGTGCCTGAGATCAATTAATCAGTCGATACGAGATAACCGGATATTAGATTATTAGATTGAATTATTAGATTGTTTAATTCACAGTCTATTGGAACTTAATTTGGCCGAGATTGAGGAAAGCTCAATGCCAAGCACGCCGATCTGGGGAATCGGCGCCCGGTGGATTCGTCGTTCGTGTAATGCGCACGCTTTCCTTGTTATGATCTACTCTATACTACATCGACCTTAATCATGGACATGGACGTGTCCATCCTTGTTGATATCAACCCGACTCACCCTCCATGCTTACTGAGTTAATCAGGTTCCAGTGTATGTCAAATGTTATCATTCAATTCAAATAATCATAATAATACATTTTCAACGCGTTCAAGGTATCATAAACATGCTCATCTCAAAACATAAACCGCCCACCCGCATCAAATATCCATCACAATTAAAGATCTTGTTTCCGATGCGCATCAATGGCAGCTTGGAAGGATCGAATCGTGTCTAACGGGCGCTCCAGGCGATTGCGGGTTGGATTGCAACGGTCGGGGTCCGCTGGTCACGGTCAGTGAATTTTCAAAGTGTTAGAGGTAGGAGACGTACCGATGATTCTTCCTTCCCGGTCTTTGTGTTGAATACTTCCAAGGGAGGAGGAACTATAGTCGCCGTGGTTGCCCAAAGACACTGTGCGGGTTAGTGACTCAAGCTGTGTACTCCGTTTGGGGGGAACGTACTTGGCTGTGCCTCGTGAAGGGCCAGGTTGGGGTCCGCTTTGGTTTGCAATACCTTCTTGGGTGACTCTGCGGAGTGGATGGAGCCAGTGCGCTCACTGGATGATCGTGATGAACCCATGGTAGTCAAGGAGAAGTTCGGAGAGTGTATCGGTGGACGACAGTGCGGTTCGTGGTGATGTACCTGGAATGTATACGGAATGGCGGGGCTCTGAGTGCCTGGCCCATCGGGCTCTTTAAATAAACCCATGGAACATGTGAGCCATCAACTTTCGCTGCCATTTCTCTAAGAATAGGTGGGATCACGCAAGTGGCAAGAACAGACGCATCGTTGATTGGACGGCTGATCACCGGAAAGTCGCAACATCCCAATTCCGTATGACGTTACACCTCTTCAATCGAGCGTTCCCAGTGGTCGGCCAAGCTCCTTCTAAACAGTAGTAGAATGCTTAGCATCCATCGACCAGTGAACGATCTGTGAACACGCAATCCCCAGTGGCTGGTAGACGCGATTCAGGTACCCGTGGGAAAGTGGAGATTTCCGGGATTCTGAAACACTTGAAGATGTGGTTGCGAGTGACGGACGGCGCAGGTACAGTACGTACGCCAGGAGCATCTGCAATCTGCAAAGATCAATCCGACTCCAAGTTGCCATGGGTTCTTTGCGGACTGAATATGACAGAATCGAACATTCCTTCCCCGTGTTCCCACCGTGGGGTAGACCCATGTGTGGTTTGGTCCCAGATCATGTGGAATGCTGGAGTGTTTTGGAGTTGTCATGGCTCGATTCTCATGCCTCAACTCTTTCTGCCGCACAGCCGGTGCACTGATCGCGAGTGGATCCGCAAGGCTGGGACTAGGCAGCGAGTTTTCCTAAACACGGGATAGTTCTGCAGAGCATGAAGATGGTCTGGCAGATCATCGATCATAGTGACTTCAGCTGATCGTCGCTGATTCGACCGAGGCAAATGCCTCGGCTGCAAACGGTCGTGGTTGTATTCACCTCTCCAACCGCCACATTCCGGAGTCATTGTCTCGTCATCCGAACAATTCATTATCGAGCGCTCGTGGAACATCCACGGTCGCATCCCGTCGTTCGCCATAAGACACGAGTCATGACCTGCCCACATCCGGCTTACAAGAATCGGTACAGATGCTCGAGGTTCTGCGGATTAAGATAGTCCGGATTCGTCAAGGAGCCCGCCAGTCCCAACACATCATCGCCCTCCACGTTGAATAGCTCGTACCAGTCCATATTCACCGCCGGCTCATCCAGATGCATCGAAGGGTCGTTTTGGGTTGGAGGCAAGAGCTCATTGGCATGGGTTTCGGGTCTGTCCTTGTGGCTGTCGGTCGGAGATCCGGGGGCCAACCCCTTGATCACTTGAGATGCCGACGCGCCACTATCCCCAAGGCGAAGATCTCGAGCGGTCCGATCATCAAGGCAGCGGAAGAACAGGTCTAACACCCAATTCTCTAGATCCCACGACTTTTGAAGTTCCTTCAGACCAAGGAGACAGAGTTTCGCCCGATGTTCGGCCAGTTTTCGAGCCGTCCCAGTGACGCGCCCGAAGTGAATTGTGTGGATACACAGTGCAGAGAAGGTGTGCGTGATGCTAGATCAATTAGATTGGGATCATGTGGCGATCGGGCGACTTACAGGTGGACCGATCCATGCTGCACCAGGTTTTCGGAGAGCATGTCTTCCAGGATGCGGGTACTCCTAGTCGCTGCTTCCAACGCCATGTTGCCTTCCATGCTTGTTGACTCACTGGGCGGCAGTAGGAAGATGGGCCGGTACAGTAACACGTAGAGATTACTGTCAATGGTCAGCGTACTCCTTCCGTACAGCCCTGGAGAGGAGGCGATACTTGTAAGCCATGTGAAGCATGCCCACCAGAAATGTGACATCTCGGCTGGTTGAGGTTTGAAAATGCATCTCTGTCGGCAATCTAGACTCCCAGTCTAACAGACGCTGGTGCAACACAGGTCGAGATACATTGTCCAGCTTTGTACGGCAGGGGGAATACTGGCTGGAGACCACTTCGCGTACTAGATGTTGTTAGATACCCCCAATGCAAATGCAATCCGATGAACCACACTCACATAGCTTCGCCAGCTGAGCCATCCCAATCACGTACGGCACATGGGCCGCAGGAGGCTTTCGGAAAATTTCAGAAGAAATATCGTGCTCGAGAAAATCAGCCTCTTCAAGCTCCGCCACTTCGCAGTCCTCGTCACGGATACGAGAGGGCAGCCCCAATGCAGCAGATGTTTGTTGTTCCCGAACCTAACTAGTGAGCATGAGCCGACTCAATAGAAGGACAAAACCTACATATAAAGCCCACCAGATCCTTTTCCACACTTTCTGGTCTCGCGCGCCGAGGAAAGGCAGTTTGGACCTATGTTGTGAGCGCTGGAAGAAAAGCAATGGGACCATCTCACTCACATCACATGCATGCCCTTTTTCTGGGCAATACTGGTCGCCGCGCCCAGCCAGAAACGAACGTCTCGCTCTTCAGTCGGTCCTGCTCGCCAGAAGCTCATCAGGAATAGAGATTGGAGTTTGATGATCATATCAGTCTCCCATCCGACGTCATATATTTCCTTTGCTCGTTGATAGAAAAGGCCCTTGGCTTGATACCGGTTGGTAAACCCGGTGGTGTGCAATGCGGTGTCTGAACATAAGCTCACCCCGATGAAGAGCATCGCTTGGAGGAGCAGGGGCGAGATGGTATGCTCGGTATATGCATTGCGAATCGTTTGCCGGTCGACTATGGGGAAACATGGGTGAAACCATTCAAAATATGCGTGGAGAAGAGTATCGCATATGGTGGGCGAGGGGAACACCAACGCGCTCTCGCGGATGAGGCGATCTTGCAGAATCTTTCGGTGCTGATCATCGCTGAGCTCACTGCCGCGCACTTCGGGAATGGCATAGTGCAGGCGCCCCTTTTGGATACTGCGCGTCTGCCCTTTTTCGGGTGATCGTCGACCCTCATCAACTACACATGTTAAGGGACTTGACTCGCCAAGAAACACCGTTTCATGGATGGAATCATCAGTAGTCGCGGGACGAGCAGAAGGTACATAACGCGGTCCCTGATCGTGTACACTTTGCACACTCCGATTGACCGGTGCATTGGTTGTGACCGGAGATACTTCAGTATCTATCGAGGCTTTCTTCTTTCGTCGAGGATACCTGAGAATGTTGGTACATTATACAATGAATTATAGAATATGCATGCACACTAGCTAAAGCAATAACGATCAAGGATATGCTTACTTTCCCCGTCTTGATACCCCTACGTCACATACAAGATTCCACGCCACACAATTCTGGCATGGTTGCATCTCCAGTACATTGCATCGCACCCGACGGGAATTGCAAGCCATGCAGGCTTTCTTAGCGCGTGTGCGTGGACGATCGGAGTTCGTCGTCGCCATAATTATTGGAATAGGCTGTTTGTATAATACCGAGAAATATATCAAGATTGAAGAGCAGCAGGCGACTGCGGTGGTTTCTCGGTTATACGCCAGTGGGTCTCTCGGCTTCTTCGGTTATATGCTGCGCGGGGAAGTACCGTTGTTCCGCTCATGAGGTCATTGTTCGCAAATCTCAGCTTTGGATATAGGGATGAGTGAGCAGCAAGCATTTAAGAAGAGAATGCGATTGTCTCTGCGCGGAATATTGAGGCGCAGAGAAGAGTGAAGCTTCTCATCGATGGTCGCCAGCGGGCACGTGACCCAACTGACCAAGTACATACAGTACATCACGAAGGAACCTGTCGAATTCTAGTGAATTCGCTGGCCAAATTCGAAATGTATAGAGAGGACCTAAGGTTCAAATCAATCTTGGTACATTTGGAAGGGAAAAGCCCGAGAAAATGGAGGGAAATGCTCGAGTGTTTGAACATTGAATTGGTGAGCCTTGGATGTATATTTATGTATCTATGGTCCCAGAAAATCAACCATTGACCTCGCACCTGCACAGGTTGCATTGTTGCAGGTGGAAAGAACAGCGCAAAACATTAATTGACCCATGAAATGTCCAAGCTTTCTCAGCGCCTAGAACCATTGATAAGTTCATGGACATGTTGAAGTTGAAAATCCAAGTCAGCTGGCTTTTACGGCTCTTGTATGTCCCGAGGTGGACAGTACAGCACTTGCCTAAATGCTGTTGACTGATTGGACACGTGCTAACGAGAACTCTGCATTTGTGACGATCACTGCCGTTTGAGGTCATCAATAATCTACAGAGATGCCCATAAGGGGTAGGAATGAAGGCAAAAAACAGAATCTGGCGGGAATAAGTGCAAGTTCCGCATTCCACGCAGGTGCTACTTCTCACAAATCATGGGGGCCTGGAAGCTCCCACAAAAGTCGACTTCAAACCAACGACAACTTGACTATTTGACTGTTGCCCTATAGTAATCGGATTCTTTGGTTACTAGGGATTAGATCTTTACCTTGATGCCTGAAGCCATGATGCTTGCGTCACGGAAGACAGGATCACCCGGAGAGTAGTAAGCGGCCTTGCGATCCTCGGAAGTCGGAAAGGTGGGGAGGATTTGCCAGTGGACTGGTGACGGACCCTGTTCGAATGAATCCCCAATCTTCTATCTCCGCATGTGCTCGGCTTTACGGATTTCCGAGTCAAATCCGAACCCCCACTTGTTCCGAATCCTGGACCTGGAGCAGTTGCGCTGGCGTTTCCGAGCAATTCGAACCTCATATGAACTTTCTGACGTGGTTTCTTGCATAGCTACGAAACTGCCATGATTGGAATCAGAAAAGACGAAAATCCCACCAAGTAGAAGAGATTCTGTCGTGAATATGCAGCGAATCTCTCAGGTACGGGAACGCCACCGGCAAAGGTGTTCAGTGGCGCCATCGGCTGTTGTCCACTTTGCGCCGGATGTAAGCTTCTCCGGTGCCTCGGTATTTGTCCCCAAGAGGGAATTCATCTCGGAGTTAATCAGATAAGAATCTGATATACCGTCAGTCATCCCGGTGTCGCAGCCGAGTCTCTTATTTATGAAGCTCCTCCTCGAAATTTATTGCATTTTCCTTTTCATTATCCCTACGTTCAAAATGGCTAGTTCTCTTCGCAACATCATCGTCGTTGGAGGTTCTTTCGTCGGGCGGGTGAGTCCATTCACACCCAGGTTTACGCGACTGGAAAACAATACTGACTTCCCCGCAGACCACCGCTCAGGAGCTTGCAAAAGTGATTCCTCCGACACACAGAGTATGTGGGAAATGAAGAAACTGATTTGATCGGCGAGAATGAGAATTGACAGTTTTAGGTCCTCCTCACCGAGCCGCATAGCCATTTTCACCATCTGTTCACTTTTGTAAATGATCTCCCCGCACAACGTGTTGATTCAAGGCTCCGAGGCTGATTTCTTGATAGCCCCGATTTGCGATCGTTCCCGGACAGGAACACAAGGCATTCATTCCATACAGTGGCCTCTTCTCGGTCGTGACCGAATCAAAGTCACACAGTGTGGTTCCGGCGCGCGTGACATCAGTTCACTCCCAGCATGTGCAGCTTGATCGGGAATGGCAGGGTTCCACAGAGATCCCCTTTGATTACCTCGTGGTGGCCACTGGCACGCGCCTGTCGAAGCCCGCCGCAATGGAGAAGGACGACAAACTATCCTCGGTCGAGTACCTACAGAAGCACCAAGCGGACGTCAAGCGATCGCAATCAATTCTGATCGTCGGTGGTGGTGCCGTGGGGGTGCAGATGGCAACTGATCTCAAAGAATATTACCCGGAGAAGGACATCACGGTGGTTCAGTCCCGACCTCAGCTCATGCCCAGCTTCCACATTGGGCTGCATGACCTCATTAAGAAACGGTTCGATGAGCTGGGAATTAACCTTATCACTGGAGCCCGAGTGACCATCCCGACAGGGGGATTCCCCACCGATGGAAAGCCCTTCGAGGTGCAACTGACCAACGGCAACACCGTGTCTACCGAATTTGTGATTCTGGCGACCGGCCAAACACCGAACAACCAACTGGTTAAAAGCCTAGAGCCCTCCACCCCCGACAGTCCATCCGTGGTCAACCCGGACAATGGGTACATTCGCATCCGGCCAACAATGCAATTCCTCGACGAGCGTTATTCAAATCTCTTTGCTGTCGGTGATATCGCGGATACTGGGGCCCAGAAAGCTGCACGACCTGGGGCGGCCCAAGCTGCCGTGGTTGCAAAGAACATCGTGGCCATGATTGAAGGTCGTGATCCCGAAGAGAAATTCGTCAAAGGTCCCGGGGCAATCCACATTACTCTTGGAATGGTCAGTCTTCATACTCTGTCTCAGCCACAAGGTTCCAGACTAACATCATATAGAAATATAACGTGGTATTCCGCAACCCCAATGTGGCTGAAGGACAGACAGAGCCTTGGGTCAATCCAAAGCAAGAGTAAGATACCTATTTCATCATGCATTGATACATTACTAACAGTGGATAGTGGCCAAGAAGATATGAACGTGGAGGGCATGTGGCAGAGGATGGGCATTTCGGTGGACAGCCCGCGCCAATACCATCTTTAAAGCATAAAACTAAGCGGCCCACCTGGAAAAAAGATTGTCGTTCTGTATGAATGGCACAGTGGATCCGTCCTTTATCTCCAAATCCCCACCTGTTATGTTATTCCCCTCGCATGAAGGCCGAAGACATTGGCACACAAGGGAAAATGCAAAATTACAAGGCTTTAGGCGTGCTTTGAATGCTCCCTTCTGTCTTATGGTAACTTGACAGGACCTCGGCTTGAGCGTCCTTTACGAATGAATCTAATATCATTATATAGACACGCTATTCTGAAAAAATGTCTATATAGTTTCAATAGGTCTAGTAATTAAGTACACTCGAGGTCCCAGTCGCACTGGCTCGTGGAATAAAGGCCTTCTAAGCTTACACACAATCCGCTCTTTGATGACCCTAACTCTCAATATTCCATATAAATTACAGACTCTAAAAGCGCCAAAGTAATGCCCAAAGAACGTCAAATTCCAGACTAAATGCCCACTGAGTCCTGGTTCCTCAAGATCGACTTTCTTGGGGTTTTTTTTGAGATGATGCGACCACAGTGGCCCCAATCTATATCGGCATCTTATGCTTTCTCAATACAGAAATGCTCCATGTAGCATATTTCAGAATTGTTTAATTCAATCTTGCAATCCTTCCTCTCATCTCATGCAGACCAGCACGGGTCATGTGACTGCCAAGGATCTTGATTTATGACGCCAAGAACCGACATCCCCAACTTATTCTTCGATTTTGTGTCTCCAATCCCGGCGAGAACCTACTAAAATCCGATGCATACACAGGATATAATAGATATCCAATGCTGGGAAAATTGGTTTCTCAGCGCGTCCCGCGCTTCACAATAAAGACGTCACTTCACAAATATGCTCGATCACGCCGGTTTGAATGTCCCCGTCGACATACTCATACTCTCGCAAGGCGAAGAACACATCTCCAGCCCAGCCAAAATGTGATACAGCGTGGGATCAACACCCAACGAATGATGTTTACCAGCTCTCTTTCACCTCTTCTAGTCCCGCCCGTCATCTTTGTTGGGCTTCTGGTTACTCTCTGGACATGGAAATGTTTCTGGATCATCGTGATGCAAAACAAACTATTATACCTGTCCTGGCTACCACCATTCTCCAGATCGGAGCAGATATCGGAGTACAAGCGTGAATGCAAGCCTGTTCAATGGGAAGAAAAGCAACTTCGAAGTCTCGACGGAACAAAATTAGCCATCTGCGAGGGCTATCTCCCCTCCGACAGTCCAAACCAAGTGGACGCAAAGAAAGCAAAAAATGTTGTTATTATTTGTTATTTTCAGGGCAATGGCGGGTCATTACCGCTCCGGTTACCGCTCCTATCACAGTTCTTGAGTTCTATCTCGAAATCCAAGACTGCGCAGCCAGGACTCAATGATACACGCTATATTGTCGTGGCCTTGTCATACCGAGGCTACTGGACATCATCAGGGACTGCAACGCAATCGGGCATTGAGCAGGATTCCCTGGCGTTTCTCCACTGGGTATCGACTACTTATTCCTCACCGGATACGAACTGTCAGATGTTTCTGTGGGGTCATAGCCTTGGTGCGGCTGTTGCATCGTCCGCAATGTCCAAATATCTTACCCGTGCAGAAGATCCACTGGCCACAGGGGATGGTCCTCTTATTCCCATATCTGGGCTGGTCATGGAGGCCCCGATCTCCAATATCAAAGATATGCTAATTGCCTTGTATCCTCAAAAATGGCTTCCATATCGATACCTTTGGCCTTTCTCATGGAATACATGGTGCACCTCAGCCTCTCTCGAGCAACTGGCTGGGTTGCGCCATCGCGATGCCAACCAACACAAAAATCCCGCGAATACCCCGCGTGAAGATCGGAATCGCTCCGTGCCCCCGATACTCATCTTGGCCGCCGAAAAGGATGAAGTTATCCCACCTCAAGTGGCAGGACAACTCGAACGGAGAGGCCAAGAATTAGGACTGGAAATTACGAGAAAGGATGTCATGGGAGCCATGCACACCGAATGTCCAATGAAGAGTGATGGAAGGGAGACACTGATTAGGTTTATTCTTGCGCATACACGCGATCTACGGTGATCCTGCGAATGGTTCATTCCAACCCTATACGTACATTCAGGATCCCTAACTTACCACACCTGATCTTGCGTTATGAGAAATCATTTCCAACTGAACCGATTGCTCTCAACGCTTCGGCCAGCTGGATCTGCAATCTTACTACATGGATGTGCAGCCTAGACCATGTTCCACGAACGGGTCCCCGTGGAGTCTCGTGGGGCTCTTTAATTATCTAAGATAAATTCCATTCCCCTGGAAGCTGTATGGTCGGGTGGAAAATTGGGCATTTGCGTATAAAGTGCAGATGGACCCACTACGATAACAAGGTCTGTACTGATCCCTTTAGCTGAACAACTGCAGAGTACAGTTTCCACTGAATCGCTGCACATCTTGGCATCTGCACATAACTACAACTGGAAGCATTATACCACCAGGTCTCTTCAGTGCTCTCAAACCTATGGTCTACCCCATGGTGTCGTACGAATTCGACCAAAACAGCATAGTGTGTAGTGGCTACTTGGGGATCTGGAGCATGTTGAACATAATAAGAACAAGATACATGAAGTACGCGCATCCCGGATATATAACAACAGGGATCGCGCTTGTCAATCAATCACAGTTAGTCTCGCTATCACGTGCGTAAGCGAGGATGGTCCCTGGATGTCTACCTCGACAAGTTCAACCCAACAACCTCGACAAGGGTATGTAACAACCCAACAGAGGTCTACAGTAGAGAAACACACTGATAGATTTACGGAAAAGGAAGGACTGATCGACGCTGTTCGGCCGCGCTATGTCTTCCTGCAAGTTTGACTGCTCAGCTCCCGCCCCCGCCTTGTCTATAAACAGCGATATCACTGGGATTGGGGTAGGTGTATCTCCCTTTTTCTCTTATTGACCACGGGTGTATCTCACACTTTTAGATAATTATCAACAATGTCGTGACTGCCGGCTTGGTTGTAGTGATCGTGGCCCTCCACTACCACACCGTCTACGATCCAACCCGCGACCCGTTTCAAAAAGATGGTCAAACTCCAACTTCGTTTCGACCCAACCCGGTGGACAAAGGAGTTTCGTTTGCCATGCACTCACTATCATCAATCATACGCCCTTTCGTTAAATTTGACACGAGCGAAAAATTTGCGAAATTCTTAATCAAGGTAGGTTAATTCTTATGAGATCGGATTGGTCAGTCAGGAATATTTAAACATAATTTCGAAAAACAGTGCATCCGAGCAATGAGCGACATACAAATCGTGACAGGGTTCTCCATCCTGATCAGTGGGCTTGTGCAGCTCAAATGCGGCCTGGCAACGTATCATTGGCTCGTCATCGTCCAACAGGCCTGGCTTTCCTGCCTGACTCAGTTATCCTGCTTAACGCTTCTCCGTAACTATCTCCACGACCACCCTACTGAGCGGGCAATAAGGCTGCTAGTAGTGGGTGCATTAGTGATATTGCTGATCGTGGGGCTTAGTTTCACCGGAAACTATCACTGGGCCTTTGATGCAGATAATACAGACCACCCGACTCTCAGTGACCCTGCAATCTGTTATATGCGCGCTCGGCCAGGGATGAATTCCGCGTTTTTCTCGATGTCTCGCTCGATAATCTTGATCGTCATTGGATTTGCTTCGAGAGTCATTAGCCTCTACGATACGCTTTCAGTTGGTGTTATTGGGCGAGCCAGAACCTTCGTTTCAGGCCACACACGAAGGTCGTTACGCATTGTATATAACTGGAGCCACGCGTCTGGCTCGCCACGGAGTTTGAAATTGACACTTGGCTACCTTCCCCTCTTGTCTGTCTACCTCACGTGTTTGGTGCTCGTGGATATGTGGGATTCTGTTATTAATGAGGTCAGATAATGTATATCGGACGTGTCGATTACATCCCATGTTTCTGACTTTACCTTAGGTCGCCTGGTTAATTGCCGCCTTTACATTCGGTATAGCCCGAGTAATAGGGACAATATATCGACCGGAAAAGATGGGCCTCGAGGCTTCGTTGACTGGCTTCAATGATTGGTCGTTTGGCCAAGTTGCTGCTGTGGTGTTACTGGCCGCACCGCTCATCACAATCATCGAGTATCTCAAGGACGGTGAGTCAAGTCTGGTGATTCTTATCTAGGATCAACTGAGAGGTCTAATACTCGCGCACAAGATGAGACTCGCGCACAAGATGAGACGCCCACACAAGAAGAGACGCCCACACAAGAAGAGACGCCCACACGAGATGAGACGCCCACACCGGATGAGGAACAACCTTCTATAGCTATAGCAAACCCAACCACCACAGACCCCAACGACCCTGACAATGATTGGATGTCTCACCCCAACATACCGGATCTGATCTATAGACATTTATCCATGTTTACGTTCATAATCATCTTCTGGACGGCAGACCATGATCCTTTCGGCAAGACGAGCAAGCTTTTATCAGACGGTGATCTCATCTTAACGGGTCTTTCGATGCCTTTATTCATTCTTTGCTCTTTGATGGTGGATACTATATTTGTGGATAGAAACCCTGCATTTCACGACAGTATGAAGGTCTGGGTAGAGATATACAACACATCGACTATGTTATATATGTTCTCCTCCATGTTTGCGCCGATTACTTATGGTCTCCTGCCGCTCCTCATTATCGGTGCTTTGGCGGCTCGATTTCGGAGTTGATATCTGACATTTTCAATATTTCCTTTTCATTCGAGACGCGGAGGCCTCTGTGGTGGTTGGCGATGAAGACGTTGGACATTAATGAGCTTGGCCAGCTTTAGCCTGTTATCAGGGTGCCATTACAATCCAATATTGATTGATCCGTACTGTATCTCCGCGGAACTGAGGTGGACCCAGGATCGACGGTGGGGCATCGGGACTGATATGAAATTTTCACCGAGTAACACCCGAATGATCGATGAGGAGATGGAGCGGGGAAGTATAACCAAGCATTTCCCTGTTCTTGACGCACGCGTGGTGGAAGTTCAATACACTCGGTCGGCATCACAACATGACGCAGGAAATAAATAATAGCCTGCAAGGCGAGACACAAAATCAAGAGAAAGATGCCGTGGTCAGCACAGCGCATGGAATCGAGGAATCTCACCCGAGTAAATCACAAAGCAACATCACCATCGTTAGCTGTGTAAGTTAGTCCCCAGATGAGACATGCTGGTACTAACGGCCTCAGTATATCGCGAATTTCAGTGATGGATTCCAAAACAGTCTGGCTAATCCGACGAATGTGATCTTCAAGGATCTCCTGGGCGCCAGTGCTTTTCCATCGGCAATGAAAACCCGAATTAGCAATTCGCTGATTGTCGGTGCCATTCTGGGAGTCGTCGTGTTGGGATATACATCCGACATGTTTTCTCGCAAAGCCGGTCTGCTGGTAACCTCGTCGCTCGTGGCCATTGGTACTTTAATGTCTACGGTCGCGTTGTCGGTGAATCCATCACAGAATATGTTATGGTATTTTGTGATTGCTCGTGGGATAGCGGGCTTTGGCGTTGGGGGCGAATACCCTCCCAGTGCAGCAGCCGGAATCGAAGAATCAGACGATGTGAGTTCCAACGGAAGGGACAGATCCATGATGGACGCCAGACTCACCAGCTCACCTGCAGTTAATGAGCAAATACCGGGGGCCGCTCTTCGTCTCCTTCACGACTCTTATGGCGACACTCGCCGGTCCGATTTTGCAGATCATTTATCTGATCTGTCTGATTGCCAGCAACAATAATTTGACAATTACGTTTCATGCGATCTATTCCATTGCCACGATCCTTCCCGTGGCCATTATCATCCTGCGACTGTTCATGGTGGACTCGACATTATTCCGCCATTCCAACCTGACGAACCAACGACGCTCGCCACGAATCTATCTGCTCCTTGCTCGCCGCTACTGGTGGAGAATCTTCACGACGTCGTTTGCCTTCTTTCTATATGACTTCATCAACTTTCCTAATAGCATCATGTCGAGCAGCATCATCTCGTCGCTCGTTAAGGATCAGGACATTCGACAGACCGCCATCTGGCAGGTCATTCTAGCCGTGTTGCCCGTGCCTGGAGTCTTGATTGGCGCGTGGCTGACCAATGTCATTGGTCGACGCAACACAGGGTATTCTAGGATTTGCCGGCTATGTGGTCCTTGGCTTTATCATTGGAGGAACCTACGCCAAACTATCCAAGAATATCGCCGCCTTTGTTGTGCTTTACGGGCTGCTGCAGGCCTTTGGACACATGGGTCCGGGGGCGACAATTGGATTAATCTCTTCCGAGTCTTTCCCCACGGCGGTCCGGGGTATGGGATATGGAATCGCGACAGCCTTTGGAAGAACGGGGGCAGCGGTAGGAACACAGTGCTTCACTCCTTTGGAGGACGCCGCTGGCACCAATTCCACATTCTACCTGGCCGGTGCAGTAGCGGTTGTCGGAATCCTGGTGTACTCTCTTTTGCCCGAGAGCAGCAAGCTCGATCTCGCGAAGGAAGACAGAGTGTTAGAGGAGTATTTGGCCGAGCATGGGTACCACATCGGGAAGGGAGACCGGGAGGCGTAGAATCCAGACCATTGGCCATGTTTCAGAGCATTCCCCATTGGTAAACATCGGATTGAGTTTCAGGAGAGCAGGACTAGGTTCTATGTTCTTGGATAGAGTTCCCGAGGCCCACAAAACCTAAAATTTAATTTCCTGACCTACATTGATACACTAGAGCCCGGGGGCACACAGACACAGAGACACATACGACCACGTTCTGTTTACTGAGTTCCGATGACCGATCGGTTGCAAAAGCCCAGATGAAATAGCTCAGTGAGACAGTAATAAAAAACTGCGCATGCAACGAGTGTTCTTATTGGAAGGTATTTTGTCCCGACATTTGGACCAAGCGGAGTCGCGGATCGCCCAGGAATTTGATATTCGCCTACGATTTGGCGATAAGCAACCCCTGGGCACAAAGTACATGAATGTGAGATCATCCCGGCATCTGAAAGTGGGGCCGATACAAGGGATGGCAATGCAACTGCCGGCAAGTATCCATTAGCCCCCCTAGATGAAATGGCACCAATTGCTTGATCGGGACAACTCGGTATTAATATCGAACGAGACATGAGATCGCTGATGTAGCTGATTCTGTTTACAGAAGATCTTTACTTCAGATCTCGAGGCCATTCCCTTAGACCGAAGGGGATGGAAATATCCATGGGCTGATTGTTTCCTGTTGAACACAATTACAGAGATTGAGACCAGTAGTCCCCTTTACAGTTGCAGCAATTGCGGGAGAGAGTGAAGCTGGAGAGTATTGGGTTCACGCACCCAAGTGCCTGTACCAGTACTTTTGTGGGGAATGTATGTGCATGGCAACCGGGTGCTACCGTTGATCTACATTCCGGTGAAACAGTAGGCCCCCATGCTTAAATATAGTCTGAATTTATTCTCCGTTTCAAATTCATATGGCTGTCACCAATGCACCAGGATGCGTGCATTACTGGTTTTAGGCCTGTTGGCCCTCGCAAGAGGCCAATTGTCGGACTGCACTTGTTCCTATACGACGACGGTAACAGAAACTGTTCAGCCATCGTCGACTTCCCCATCAACTTCAGGTGGGTCTCTGAGTTCAGCCGATTATACCCAAAATGCGCTAATGTGTCTCAGGGGCTGGCCCGGCCGTCACAGTGGCGACGGACAAGTCTGGCCAGTTTACGGCTATTGGCGATGCGATCTCCTATGCGCAACACAATGAGATTCCCACTGTGACCGTGCTAGCGGGCACGTATCCAGCCGTCACCGTTTCTGCAACCCCATCCGTTGCTGTGATTGGCGAAAGCACAAGTGACGAGGACTCTTCGAAAAACAAGGTTGTGGTTTCCGACGAAGGAACGGCGCTTACACTGTCTGTCAATGTGGACGGCATTACATTCCAAAATTTCGATTTTGTCAGCACAGGGTCAGACGACCCCGCCGTGAACATTAAAGGAAACAAGCTCGCATTCTACGCCTGTCGGTTTGTTTCGGCGGGCCCGGTGGCAATTGAAACAGGGCTTGGTATTGGCATCATCGCAAACAGCTATATCGAAGCCCAAGATACGGCCATCGACGGCAGAGCAACGTTGTATATCTTCAACACCGACATTATGCTCATGCAGGACTCGGCCATTGTTGCCTACACAACTGGTACTGACTTGGATGGCACGTTGTACAATTCCACTGTGGTGTTGGATAAAGCGACAGTATCCCCCAAAGCAGACGACAAGAGTGACAGGGCATATTTGGCCAAAGCAAAAGGCTTGGGGTCCGTGGCTGTCTACCGAGGCTCATTGCTTGATAGTTTTATCGCCGACACTGGAGTCTACGTTGATGGCATTACCCAGGATGCACGCAACTTCTACGGTGAATACGGGGATACAGGAGCGGGAGCGTACCCGAGCAACAAAAAGGCCAGATCGCCATATGTGACCCTCTTGGACAACTCAAGTATTTCGCAATTCACACTGGGCGCAGTCTTTGCAGGCGCATATCCTGATTTCGCCACGTCGGATACTAGCTGGATCGATCCCACCGTTCTAGACGAGATCGCCACAGCAGATGAAACCAGCCCTACATCAAGCGCAGCTCCAAGTGGAACTGACGGTGCATCTCCCGGGACACCGACCCCCACTTCGGATAGCACAACACCTCCAGACGGGGCGTTCATCGTCTCTAAGACAAGCATTGCGGGCAAGAAGGTCTACGACACAATACAAAGTGCCCTTGATGCCTTGCCGAAATCCGCCAGTGCCTCTTCCACTGTGTTCATCTACCCTGGTACCTATGACGAACAGATTGTGGTCAGAGCCCCCGGCACTGTGATTCTCGTTGGCTATTCCGAATCCACGGGTGACAACGAGAAAAACCAGGTCACGATACAGAGCAACAAGGCGGGAGATCCCAGCTCGGACACGTCTTTGTCTAGTAGCGCCACTGTCTATGCTGATGGAAACAATTTGCAAGCGATCAACATCAACTTCTCCAACACGCACAATGGAGCCGATGACGCATCAGTGGCATTTGCTGTCGCGGCCGACAAGTATGCTAGTCTCTATAGCTGCCGAGTTACTGGCAACCGGAACGCTCTTGTCGTTGACGGCTTTTTCTTCGCCGCCAATAGCTACATTGAAGGCAACGAGGACATGATCTCTGGAAGTGGCGCGGGCTACTTCCTCAATTCCACTATATCTCCAAACGAGGATGATATTAGTATCACTGCAGACAGACGTGCCTCCAGCTCTACCCCAGGAGGACTCGTCTTTGACCAGTCCAAAGTAACGCCCGTTGGTGGTGCAGGGTTAATGTCCGAGATATCACTGGGAAGACCACGGAATTCCAATGCACGAGTTGCCTACATTGAATCCCATCTTGGGTCATGTGTGGAGCCCGAAGGCTGGGAGAGATGGTCTTACGCTAGTCCGAGGACTGATGGTGTCTTATTCGGTGAATTTGAAAATGACGGCCCAGGGTCTGATACCTCCCAACGCGCCTCTTTTGCCACGCAATTGACCAAGGAATCCGTTGTGCAATTCGAGATTGCCAACTTCTTTGATTCACTTTCATGGATTGACTTTTCGCACGTTGATGGAACACCTTTCAGCGTGGAACCGTCTTCGCCATCGAGTACTTCGCCAGATTCAAGCTCCTCTGCATCGACCTCACCGAATGCTGCGGCATCGTCACCAGATCCTAGTGGTTCTGATGCTGCAAATCCAGCAGGGTCTTCGCCATCGAGCACTTCGCCGTGTTCAAGCTCCTCTACATCGACATTACCGAATGCTGCGGCATCATCATCAGATCCTGGTGGTTCAGCATCAAGCACCCCTGATGCTGCAGATCTAGCAGGGTCTTTGCCCTCGAGTACTTCGCCAGGTTCAAGCTCCTCTCCGTCGACATCACCGAATGCTGCGGCATCATCATCAAATCCTGGTGGCTCAGCATCAAGCACTCCTGATGCTGCAAATCCAGCAGGGTCTTTGCCCTCAAGTACTTCGCCGGGTTCAAGCTCCTCTCCGTCGACATCACCAAATGCTGCGGCATCATCATCAGACCCTGGTGGCTCTGATGCTGCAGATCTTAGTGGCTCTGATGCTGCAGATCTTAGTGGCTCTAATGCTGGAGATCCTAGTGGCTCTGATGCTGCAGATCCAGCAGGGTCTTCGCCATCGAGTACTTCGCCAGGTTCAAGCTCCTCTCCGTCGATCTCACCGAAAGCTGCAGCATCGTCACCAAACCCTGGTGGCTCTGCATCGACCTCAGACCCTGGTGGTTCTTCATCAAGCACTCCTAATCCTGCAAATCCAGCAGGGTCTTCGCCATCAAGTACTTTGCCAGGCTCAAGCTCCTCTCCGTCGACATCACCAAATGCTGCGGCATCATCATCAGACCCTGGTGGCTCTGATGCTGCAGATCTTAGTGGCTCTGATGCTGCAGATCTTAGTGGTTCTGATGCTGGAGATCCTAGTGGCTCTGATGCTGCAGATCTAGCAGGGTCTTCGCCATCGAGTACTTCGCTAGGTTCAAGCTCCTCTACATCGACATCACCGAATGCTGCGGCATCGTCATCAGATCCTGGTGGTTCAGCATCAAGCACCCCTGATGCTGCAGATCTAGCAGGGTCTTTGCCCTCGAGTACTTCGCCAGGTTCAAGCTCCTCTCCGTCGACATCACCGAATGCTGCGGCATCATCATCAGACCCTGGTGGTTCTGATGCTGCAGATCTAGCAGGGTCTTTGCCCTCGAGTACTTCGCCAGGTTCAAGCTCCTCTCCGTCGACATCACCGAATGCTGCGGCATCATCATCAGACCCTGGTGGTTCTGATGCTGCAAATCCAGCAGGGTCTTTGCCCTCAAGTACTTCGCCAGGTTCAAGCTCCTCCTCTCCGTCGACCTCACCAAATGCTGCGGCATCATCATCAGACCCTGGTGGTTCTGATGCTGCAGATCCAGCAGGGCCTTTGCCCTCGAGTACTTCGCCAAATTCAAGCTCCTCTACATCGACATCACCGAATGCTGCGGCATCGTCTTCAGACCCCAGTAGTTCTGATGCTGCAGATCCAGCAGGGCCTTTGCCCTTGAGTACTTCGCCAGGGTCAAGCTCCTCTGCATCGATCTCACCGAAAGCTGCAGCATCGTCACCAAACCCTGGTGGCTCTGCATCGACCTCAGACCCTGGTGGTTCTTCATCAAGCACTCCTAATCCTGCAAATCCAGCAGGGTCTTCGCCATCAAGTACTTTGCCAGGTTCAAGCTCCTCTCCGCCGACATTACCGAAAGCTGCGGCATCGACACCAAACCCTGGTGGCTCTGCATCGACCTCACCGAATGCTGCGGCATCGTCATCAAACCCTGGTGGCTCTGCATCGACATCACCGAATGCTGCGGCATCTTCATCAGTTTCAAGCTCCTCTGCATCGACCTTACCGGATGCTGCGGCATCGTCATCAGACCCTGGTGGTTCTGATGCTGCAGATCTAAGTGGCTCTGATGCTGCAGATCTTAGTGGCTCTGATGCTGGAGATCCTAGTGGCTCTGATGCTGCAGATCCAGCAGGGCCTTTGCCCTCGAGTACTTCGCCAGGTTCAAGCTCTTCTCCGTCGACATCACCGAATGCTGCGGCATCATCATCAAACCCTGGTGGCTCTGCATCGACACCACCGAATGCTGCGGCATCATCATCAGACCCTGGTGGTTCTGATGCTGCAAATCCAGCAGGGTCTTTGCCCTCAAGTACTTCGCCAGGTTCAAGCTCCTCCTCTCCGTCGACCTCACCGAATGCTGCGGCATCATCATCAGATCCTGGTGGTTCTTCATCAAGCACTCCTAATCCTGCAAATCCAGCAGGGTCTTCGCCATCAAGTACTTTGCCAGGCTCAAGCTCCTCTCCGTCGACATCACCAAATGCTGCGGCATCATCATCAGATCCTGGTGGTTCTTCATCAAGCACTCCTAATCCTGCAAATCCAGCAGGGTCTTCGCCATCAAGTACTTTGCCAGGCTCAAGCTCCTCTCCGTCGACATCACCAAATGCTGCGGCATCATCATCAGACCCTGGTGGTTCTGATGCTGCAGATCTTAGTGGCTCTGATGATGCAGATCTTAGTGGTTCTGATGCTGTAGATCCAGCAGGGCCTTTGCCCTTGAGTACTTCGCCAGGTTCAAGCTCCTCTCCGTCAACATTACCGAAAGCTGCGGCATCGACACCAAACCCTGGTGGCTCTGCATCGACCTCAGACCCTGGTGGTTCTTCATCAAGCACTTCTGATGCTGCAAATCCAGCAGGGTCTTCGCCAACCGACCCATCAAGCCCACCGGGTTCTGATGACCCCTCCTCAAGCTCAGCAACAGCTGCAGGTTCTTCAGTGTCAGATGGTATTACCACCAGCACTATCCTGGTAACAATCACAACTTCCGTGACTACCACCGACGCCACAGCGACCTCTGTAACAACGAAAACAAATACTCTCGACCCAGACTGTACTATAACCCCAGCTCCTGTCATTGTAACGACCACTGAGAAGGGACAAACAACCGTCATCGAAACATACACCGATGCCGACTCCACAGAGACTGTGCAAAAGACCTCGACCATCACAATTACAGTCACTGATCCTTCACCCAAGGCAACATACACCCGAACTGTGATCTCGACGACCACCATAACATCAACATCACCACCCTCCATAACAACATCCATGCTGACCATTACGGCCTGTCCTCGGGGAACGAGCACAAAGACTGGCAAGACCACAGTTGTGACGACAAAGGTGACTTCGACGAAGACCGAGACCGATAGTGTGACAACGACTCTGGATTGTATCCCAGCAAGGAAAATGAAACGACATCTACTCCCGCCTCGATCAGTTCCTGCAACTAGATCCAAACCGACAACGGTCACCGAAACTGCTATGACAACTGGGATGACCCATTCTCTCAAAACGGACGGTACTATCATAATCACAGATGTGAACCATGTGAAAATCACCATCTCTTTTGTAACATCCACAGTGACCGAAACAAACACTGCCACCGTTGCTGCAGACACTGCTGTGGTGACAATGACCGGGAATGCTGGCGATTCAGTCACCTTAGATCCAGAGACGTCAACTTCCACCGTCACATCACTCTCATCAACTACATCTATCACGACGGTGACGGCTGCCGTCGCAACGATCACAGACTTGACAACAACTACAGCTCAGTCTACGGTGGGATTGGCTCCCTCAACGGTGATTCTGGTGGTTACCACGCAGATATCTACCTCCACGCTCTTCTTACCTGCGTCTACCTCGACCGAGACCAAGACTATTACCTACCATAATATCCCGACTACGACGGTCACTTCTCGCCCGACCTCCACCAAGACCAAGACGGTCAAGACCACCACAATCACCACTACTAGTACAGTGACAAAAACTTCACAGGACGCTACGACCTGTACTTCCTGATGGACAGATGGACAGATGGATAGATGGAAATTTTGATTGACCTTAAAAGCCTCCAGTGTTCTTTTTTCGTGCCTTTTTGTGAATCTTTCGGCCTCTTGTCTCTATGACCCGGGCTTAATTGTGCATTTTACGGAGTCAATTCGAAACGATTACGGAGTCAAATTGAAACGATTACGGAGTCAATTTGAAACGATATCCTACTTTTATCTTCCCTTATAACATTCGCTTCAAACCAGGACATTGGGTAGATCCTTAGATAGCATAGAGGTAAACAAGCATGTTGAACTCACTTAGGTATTGAGATTATCGGAATATACTGATTTCAGCTTGTCTTTCATTGAGAAGGCGACTACAGAAGGCCTTGTCGATGAGGCACAGTGAAAAGCCCGCCGATTGCGATGCCTCAGGTAACCATAGGCAACCGTAGTGATCTTCTATTTGGAACACATTGTGAAGTTGTATCAGCGTTCATGCAGAGTTCTCTTGCGTCAATGAGAATCAGTACTCTCAGGCCAGAACTGATTTGTCAGTACCGCATAATAATTGCACTTCTTCCCCAAAATATTGGTCTTCCTGCCTGTGAATAGCGCAGCACCATTTCAGCCAGATGCTCACCCCAGGCTCGCCGACCTTGTCAAGTCACCACAGGAATCAATCACTTTGGCACGAACACGCATAAAGTCATCCCCTTCACCCTGCAAACCGACCTCCTACGATCCTCTTGGATTCCTCATACCGACAGAAGCCAAGAGTATCGCTACGCTCTCCTTCCAACAATGACCCGCCGACCAAGGTGGTTGCTCTCATGATGACCGCCTGTGTGCCCGCGTGGCGGGTGGATACTGAGATTTGGACCGAAGTCTCAAATGGGCAACCCATGCGCAATACCCGGAGTCGGTCTCTGGGAAACCTGGAGTGGACACTACAGGTATACTACGAGAATGGCGCCGTTAATGGGAGGCCGCTGGTGTTGAGCTTTGAGCTGATGATGCGCCGACGAGCGACCGGCATAGACGCGGACATTATGTTCGATAGCGAGATGCTCAATAATGTGTGCTCAGGTCTTATAATGTATGCAGTGGTTTCGAGGTGAGTATTGCGTGGCGCTTTTGTATTTCTACATCCAGGATGACCCTATCGCACTTTGCTGGATCTAGCCATGAAAGATGACGAAATCAACCCCACTGAGCACTCCACGCTGACTGGCTTTGCCAACCATGATGTTTCGGCTCAGCATTCCAATGCACGGATACAAGGCTCGGGATCTCGGGTTCAACCTTCCACGCCCCGGCTCAAAGCAGCATCAAAACTAGACAAAGGCTGCCATTGAAAGGAATTGTGCGCATTGAGGGGCATTGGACATCTCCGCATCTAGCTCTGGTGCGCAGAACAGAGAAAGAAAAGTTCTAAGGCTCAGCATTCTCGAAGCGGTGCTCTCGACGAAAACGGCAGGTTTGCCTCCGAAGAATGCAACTCAAAACCTGCGGAATGTGACCCGGACCGGACCCACTTGGCTCGAACCAGCATCTTCATCTCCGATCTATACTTGCGCTTCAAGTTGCGGACCGTGAATTTATGCTGATGACTCTAGTTTATTGGGGTAATGTATCGCATACACGATCTCAATTGCTGGAACTGCAGCTCCGATCCTGACCTCGCGCCAAATGGGCAGTGCGCAGTGCGATGACCTCGAAGCGTTGACGAATCTCATGAAAGGTACCATCCATATAGATGTGGATATGGATCACTATCATCCATGGTACCAAGGTGTCCAAAGTCTTCACCTGTCTCCTTATCTCTTCTGCTCCATCCATGGAAAAGTACCCGGAAATGGGCCACCAAAGAGACCAGATCAATGTAACTGTTGAACTTAATTGAATAAGAAGGGATTGTATTCTTGCTTCTGACCAATTGTTCAATCTTCATCTGCTTCCTGTCTATACATTCAATCTTTTTTTCCACTTGTACCTTCCATCGCAATAGCTTAATGCGCTACGTCAATCCTTTCTTGCTTCTTGCCTCCGCAGCTGTGGTGACCGCTCAAGATGCAGTTGTCGGTCAAAATCTCGCAGCCAACAGCGGATCATGCGCGTCACAATCGTATGTTGCTTTGATGCCGCTCGGGACATGGTCTGACAAATATCTCCAGGGTCGTCGATACATGCGTCAACGTCATGAAGGGTACACTCCAGAAATGCACTGAGAACGACTGGGATTGCAAGTGCTCAGGAAGTGCCAATGTTGCCAAGTGAGTAACTCGAGGCTGTTCCGATCATTCGCTAATCTGTGAAGTTGTTACGAAGATTGCCCCGATGACCCGGCACGCTTTTCGGCAATGCTACTCAGTGAACAGGATTGCGCCACTGCGAATGCTTATGACAAGGGCGAAACAACGGTTCCAACCACGTGGACTACGCCCGGCCCCAATACTGTGACGGCGACGCCGACGGATACTCAGGTGAGCACCACGACGAATACTGCGGAGCCGACCAAGTCGTTGCAGGGCGAGAAGGATGCCAGTCCCTCCGAGGGAGCTGCGGTCATGAAGTCGGCTGGGAGTTTGCTGGCGTTGTTGGGATTAGGAGTTGGGGTCATGATATGAGCGCCTGTCATTGGATTATGTTTTGGTCTGTTTAGATGTTGAAATAATAGAGTGTCACAAATCAGTTCACATCAAATTTTTGGATTCCCTGTTGATACTGGCCGATCTTTGCCAATGACCTGCTCCCACGAGCAAGATCAACCACAAAATCCGGTTCCTTAATGATCCCCCGCGGCCGTTCCGAAGCTCCAGGGTCGGTAATAGGGTACAGCTGAGCGGAGGAGAGACTCAGAGGAGACTCGCTTTCGAGGCGAAGAAAGAAAAGACGAAGCACTCCAGCGGTGAGCGAGAAAGAACAGAGCGAAGAGAAAACAACCGTACTGTAAAGAGAGAGAGAGAGAGAGGAGTGAAGAAATGAAGACAAGAGACGAGCATTGATCTAAGGATAAGAGCGACCTGACCCCCGTAGGTCTCCACATTGCAGATTGGATGAGTTGTAAAGATGAAAGATGGAGGTGACAGCTGATGTGGGCAAGAGCCTCCGACTCAACACAGGAACCTGGTAGGAGCTTCTCACTTTCCTCAGTACCGGGATCAGCACGGGAATCAGCACGGGGAATGGTCTGTTTCAATCCATTTCATTCAGTCAGCTAATCTAAGATGCAGGTGATATCCTGGTACCTATACAATTGCGAAAACATCAGATGAGGCGAGCACACAGTTCACAGGCTTTTCATACAGATCGCCCGATATTGAAGGATCATATCAAATACCACATTCCCGAAACCAGGAGAAGTCCGAACGACGATCCAAGTCTACTAGATCTGGACGTGAGCAGACGAGGTCTTGATTTGATTCGCAAATTCAGTGACCCTTTCGACCAATTCCTGCGTACAGGTGAGATGTGCAGAATGTCCCGCTGCCGCATGGTAGACGGTGAAGGTATTCCCGTTCGCGCTCTGGAGTCCGATCATCGCCTCTTGGCCCATTTTGGGCAAGATCAGATCGTCGTCGCACACGAGATATGCACATGGCAAGGTGGAGTAGGGGTCATTGGTCAACACACCGGTGTTGATGGGTGATGCCGTCAGTGTTGCTGACCATTTTGCTGCTGATTCTGCATCCAGACCATTGAACAGGTACTTCTCAGGCTCAACGAGTGTTCCAACACCGGCGGCACCATGTTTCTATCCAGGGTCAGTCGCGTTTCATCCTGAAGCGGGGAGCTACTTACATAGAATCGCAACCACGGTGGCATGTAGAAGCTCCCGTCTTTCGGTTGAAAGAAGCCGCTGATGGACTCGTTGACCGGAATCGCAAACGCTGCATAGTAGAACAGACCAATCAGACCTCCCGGTTGCCCATTTTCTTGACGCGTCTTGTACTGCAGCTTTGGAATAGCCGCCTGCGTTGCCATCCATCCACCAGACGAATGCCCCACGAGAAGAACCTGCTTCCCCTCTTGCTGAATGAGTTTCTCCAAAATCTCGTTCAGCACCACCACGTCCTCGAAATCGCTAGCCAAGCCTTCAGGTCCCGGGCCTCGATCGAAATCCGGGTTGTTGAGATCACCGACATTGTGCCGGCTGAGATCTGCGGTGGGTCGCTGAGGACAATAGGTCTCGTATCCGCGAGAGTTCAAGGCCTGGAGGAATGGTTCGTAAGGGGCGGTGCTGTGATAGGAGCCATGGCAGATGACGATGGCCAATTGATCCTGGGCCATTATGGATTCTTCAATCAGTGTGGTCGACACGAATGACTGTGATGGAACGGCTGGGGAAATCGAGCATGAAGTTCAATGGATGATAAATCATGATCCTTCGGCCCCCAAATGCCCCCGCTTCAATTTATTCTACGATGACAACGATATTGACAATGGTCCAAGTGGATTGTCCCGGATCACCAGATCATCCAAGCCCATATTATGCATCTCCATGACCTCTACCTCCATGCCTGTCGGGTTCTCTTTCGCATCCACTCTTCTGTAGATCAATCAACTTCTTCGGCATTGGAGAAGGACGAGCTGGACAGTGAAGCCTATTTCAGTTATAAATAACGCGTTATGCCATTTCTCCAAACGTGTTGCGTAGATTTGTGCCCATACAGGCGTCAGGATTGGGTTTATCTGGCTTGATACTCACCAGACCTGGATCCAATTGAAGAGTTATTTGGGAAGCTAAAAAGCCTCGTAAGACGCAATTGGAGCTACTACGGAGAAGATCTCGCCTCAGGTCTTGGCAACTGACCCCGCAGACGCTTCACTTGATCCCAGTCTCCGGCTTTCCCTGGGAAATGTACATTGCTGGAGTTAATTCAACCGGTCCCGGGAATTCGTGGCAAACTTTCAGAGACAGATTGAGTTTTCAGGAGCAGTAGAGTCGGATCTACGATGCCGATGATACCGAGATTCTCTAACACTCAAAGTCTTGTTCCATCGCAAATTTTCTTCTATCGGCGGACTGGAGTTTTCTATTTCGCCTTTATAACCCAGCAATGGAATTGATTTTAGTGAAGAAAGTGACATTGGAGAACAAAGAAAATATAAAAAAGCCAGGGCATAATGTCTCAACTTTGCAAAGGGTCGCTTTGCATCTAAACATGCACCTAACAACTGGCCAACCGCTACTATCCATTGCCCGAACAGCCACCGGAACTCGGTCCACCGGCGCCTGATTGGACCTTGTTGTTATTGAAACATCTACTCCGCGTCCAGATGGGAGAACGGAAGCTACCAGGTAGAAACAAGTCAAGTCATGTTAGTAAAAACTCTCAAATGCAGGGTTTCTGGGTGATTGAATCCACTTACGAAGCATGCCATTCCATCCCATTAGAGTCAGGCTCGTCATAATATTCGAAATTCCACTTGGTGAGACCGAGGCCGAAACAGTTGGTGGAATTTGGCCTCAGGCTCTTCTGGCCGGAGTCCCATGATGCCCAACCGGTTCCATAAATGTCATACGAATCCCAAAGGAATTTGTACTTCCCCGTGCAGCTTCCCGTGGGCTCCGTCGGGACAGGCCATGGACGGTTGCTGCGCTGGGGCGAGATGGTATATGTATAACTTCCATCGACAAGAGTACCGCCAAACTTGAAATTCATCGGGTTAGATGCATCATTGCCGTCGCAGTCGTCCAGGATCGAATTCACAGCGGTGTTGCAGGAATCTTCATCAAACTCGCTGGCCCCGTTGGCAAGTTGCAGCTTGAAGGTACTCTCATCGAGAGTTCCAGAATAATAGGTCTTCTCGTACTCCCAGTTGGTGCGACCATTACTGGGCGCATTGCTTTTCACGCTGGAGCAGAAGTCCGCAGTGTTGGAATACAACGAAAAATCGCTGGCGTACTTCTTTGACCCGGACTTTTGACTACAGGTCAAAGTCGTGGAAGCGACACAACTGTCTCCAACGTCCTCTCCTAGAAGCTGTGCTCGGGCTTGTAAAGCCGCATCCAGGGCATATGAGGCAATGGCAGTGTGCCCCAATTCATTGGGATGGAAGATTTTGCCAACTCCGTCGCCTAATACGACGCCAATCAACTTCTGGATGAGGCCGGAGTCACACGACGCGGCTGTGATGTCTCTCTCAGCGAGCTTTTGTAACTCAATTGCAGCCTCCCACCTCTTTCTGTGTTCGGCCTCTTCCATCTCCAGCTCGGTAATATTCTGCGCAACCGTGAGCCAATCGAGGCCACCAGCCCCATCGCCCCGTCTTCTCAACTCATCATGAACGATATTACCCTTCATGGATCTGGTGTTCAGCTTGAAAAACATCAAGTCATCGTTTGACGAATCGTTGGGATCAGGACTTGCCCCCGGCATGCACATGTGACCTTTTCTGAGCTTCACCCACGGGTCCCAATCGGCAATCGTAAGGGTCATTTTACTCGTCGATGCAGCTTTTGCGCCTTTCTTCAGTGCCGCATTGGTTTTCTGCACGAGATCATTGAAGGTTTCCCGACGCTCCGTGGTCAGCGATAGAGCAAACCCCAATGGGAATGCCCAATTCTGCTCAGTGGCACATTCATCGCTCGTGACATCAAAGTACTCTGCATAGAGAACAAAGACAACAATACCATTATCAGCCATCTTGTCATCAAGCTTCTCTAAGAGTGACTTGATGTTATCACTCAAGTAGTCATCTATGCCATCACTCGCGTGGTCTATTGTTTTTTGGCAAGCCGATTCAGATGACACAGGAGACACAACACAACTTGCGATCATAGATGACTGTTCGACTTATGAGTTAGCATTCCAAATGATCCAAGTTTGGCCATAACTGCCAGTCGCGGAAGCAAAATGAAGGCGAAATAAGAAAGTCTCACCAGGCACAAGTCATTGCCACCGGCAGTCAAGACGACCAGATCCTGATCAGAATCCAAGTTATCGATCTGGGTGGATATGTCCGTGGAGGTGTCTCCCGAGCATGCCAAATAGCTGAAGTCTGCGCCTCCAATAAACCGATTCATGACAGCAGGGTAAGACATGTCATAGCGAGAACACGAGACATCCGATTTGCCAGTACTATAGATTTTGCCGGCGCCTATGCCAGCGGTGAATGAATCACCCACTGCGGCGAATTTCTAGTGGCATGTTAGAAGAAATACCAAGCGAATGGAAAGATAATTCAGGTGCGAAGCACCCATGTTTATGTGGTGCATTTGGATTCAATGAACAGATGGCACAACTCACTTTCACCCATGACCAGTCCTCTGTACTATCCGAGGAACTTGAGGCCGCAGATGCGAAAGAAGATAAAAGCCCCAATGGGCATACAAAGGGAAGGAGGCGAATGAAGTTCTTCATATTGGATTTAAACCTTCTGGTCGACCATCTCCAGGTGCAAGGGAAAGAGAGCTGAGTGCGGAGCTAAAGCGGGCTCCGCCAAGGGTCGAGTATTGAATTATGATAGAAAAGAATGAACGAAAGAATGGATGAATGAGTGTAGACAATTGGAATAGAACTGGGCGGTTCGAGGGTATTAGGAGACAGAAGCATTGAGGTGTGGTTGAGTCGTATACATTCCTGGAGACACTATCCATGCTGAATGGTGGTTTCGGTATGGTCTTGGGTATTTTTCGTCAGGGCTGACTGGTATATAATACGCGTATAACGATAACGTCGTTCTGTTTGTCTCCGTGCCGAGCTGTCCCGGCGTATTACGCTTAAATCATTGTTGAAACCTTGCGACGGTCAAGCGCTGAGGCTTGGCCCCACACTTAGCTTGGCTGCAGGTCCGCTTTTCTAAATTAGCTTGTGCATGAGGCGATAAAAAGGGTCTAGGGTCCTTTTTAGGGTCTTTTCTAGGGTCCTTCAAAAGAGTGATCATAGCCGACAAAGTCTGATTCGTGTGTAACGATGCACTAATCTGAATCCTGATAGTACTCCGGACACGTTCCGATATACGGTCGGACACGATAGGGAAAAATCATGCCAAGGATTTTGCTCCGACATAATGCTTGAATAGTGGCTCATCGGACACGGGCCGCTGAGTTCCGCAGCTCGATCTCCTGATGCGGGGTCTGTCTTGGCAGGTACCCGAAGCCCAGCTGACCTGTTAAGGCCTCCCATGATAACGACCTGGTAAGGCCCCCCATGAGAACGCGTGGCCGCTAGCTGAAGTTGGTCATAATACCGAACTCACTTCATGGATGAGATGAATTGTGATCAACGGGAAATGTTCACCGTCGAAGTGCCGATTCGATGCATCTTCAAAGTGCGCCCACTAAGGATGTCGGAGGCAACAAAGATTCATTTGGAGCTACATGTATACAACGTTTGAAATTCAGGATTGGAGGGTCAATTATTACAAGTATCCATTCATTCAATCTTTGCTTCGAATTTGCGCGGTCTCATCCAAGAAACAATACATCACATGGACAGATATATAATTCTCTAACGTCAAAACAATCCATAGAAAAGGCCCCCAAATCAATCATCGTCATCGGCAACCATACAACCAACAGTGGACTTGAAAGATGTGAGGTACTGGCTGCACTTCTGGTACAAGAAGCAGGTTGTACTGCTCGACGAACTGGCCGGATACATAGCAATCAAATTGTCCACATCGTTCACGGTAGGTACGTTGTTGTACCCAATAGCAGTACCATCGGCCAAGGTATATACCGTCTTTCGCCCTGATTCGGTCTGTATCCCACCAGCTACAGATGGATACATCATGATTGAATCGTAGTCGACTGTTCCTGAATTTTCCATTTGACGAACGGTAGTTGGAAGATAATCCAAGGCAGAAAAGTTCAACTCTGCCGCGGAAGCACGCTTCGTACAAACCTGATTAATCGAAAATTCCCCCAAGCTCGCTACCTTGGTATCATAATCGTCCAGATTCTCGCAGTTCCATATGAACTTGTTGTCGCTTGCGGTGCCACCGTGGTTCGAATCCCATTGATCAGGCCGCTGATGCTCGTGCATGAGGCCCCAGGCATGGCCGATTTCGTGCGCGTAGTTCCAGATTGGATTTTCCATGCCAATCGCCGTGCTTGGATTGAGGATCATTTTTGAGCCACCACTCACTTTCCCAAGGGATGTCTTCAGCTTGGCCTCGCTATCAAGGCTGACCGTGAGCACGTTCTCTACGTTGCTTGCCGCACAGTCAGCATCGGTCCCCTGCTTGAAAACGAAGCGGCTTGGAACTCCGGCTTGGATCCAGATATCCCACGCCGAACGAAGGTCGTTGTCGAGGGTTTCTTCGGCGCCGTCTGCATAACAGTAGAGAATAGAGGCACTGGGCCACCATTGTGAAGAAGATTCGGGTACTCGCGCCCACCGTGGCTCGAGATCGGTGTGAGTATTGTTGTTTTCAATATAACCACGAGAGTAACGGCTCCATAGCTCTGCCTCCGGAGATCCAGCAAGTCTCAATGGAGGCATATATTGCTCCGGGGGTGGGCATGCTTGGATTTGCGCAAGGTTGAAAAGAAGAACGGAGAGACTCCCCGTGAGGAATCTGGCGAGATTCATATTGGTGAAACCTGATCTTGAGAACAATAGCTCACAAGATACATTTGCATGTAGATCTAGCAGGCTGGAGTAGAAGCTTTTGTGGGCTTGGTGAGAAGGAAAGGTTGCGAAGGTGGGAATGCCCGCGGGCGCGATCCCGAGATTGATGATATGACTAGCGCAACTTGACTGTCAAGTGTATTCTTCTGAGAACGGCAATGTATTCACGAGCCCACCTGTTTGCCTAGTCCTGTTTATTTCAAATCCTGTATGCGTATTGTGGTTTGTATTGAAGTATATCCAGGAAGGTTACATGGCTGAAGCAATATCGTTGCATTAGTGTATGTACGGCCTCTAGTTTCCCTTGACCCGCTCTCCAGCGCCCCAATTTTAATTTCCGCTATCAGAATCTCACCATGCATGGGAGCTAGTAAAATTTGTACATTCTTCAATAATATGTGGGTGAAGTGCACGGGCGATGGCCGGAGATTAGTCTTTTTAGCGTGGATTGGTGGCGATTCGACGGATCAGCCACTTAATTTCGATACTTGGGGGCGCTATGCTCAAGAGAGTCTTAAAATAATTTTCCGATCAAATCAGAAAGTAAGCAAATGTGAGACATTCGTAGAGAGTCATGTCCTTCCAATTTGGGATATCGATGATTCTCCTTCGGTTGCGGAAAATTGCACGTGTACCTACCATCTCTCTGTGGCCGTCCACTAGTGTGGCCGAATGCTTTTTGGCCTTACCCCGAGGGGTCTGAGATAATTTCACACTACACGAACTAGAGAACATGGAAGGCGAAAGAATAAATGGCGAAATTCGCAACCAAATATGTGTTTTGTTTCAATAGTAATAAGCTTGACTAGTCCAGCAACGTGAATGCAAACGACTGGTAATTCATTGTCCCAATGCGCACAAAAGTAAGGCAGAAAATAGAAACGGAAAAAAAGACTTGTAGAAGAAGTCTTCGGTATCAAAGAAGATGAGAGTAGCTAGGCCCTATTGCCACCAGGATCTACCCTTTCTGCCATGAGTTCCATGCCGATGGTGATTGAGTTGCGGCCCCAAGAAGCTCTCCCCGACACTCCTCTTTTTGCTCGAGGTGGAGTCGTCGCTGTCAATTGCGGACCCTAAGTCTCCAGGATTCTCAACTGTGGTGTCGTTATAAATTGTACTTGCGGTTCGGTTCAGACCAGAGCCTAGATAGTCTATGGATGTCCCGTTCGAATCATCCAGGTCAACAGCCCATATAATAGTTCTGATTATCTGTTAGCATATCCAGCCCCAAAAATTGAGGGTTGCAAATATTCATTATCCCATTCTGGGAGTCAACTTACCCCCCTAAGCAGATCGAGTTTGCATAGTCAATCTTCATTTTCATAGTCGTCGCATCGTCATACGAGACCCATTGATTCGTGTCCCAGGTAACAATCTGAACAGCTGCTGTCTCATCCAGGGTTACCGTTGCTCCGTCAGCAATAATGTTCCGAATTTCTATATCCGATAGAATCCCGGCAGAGGCTGTACATGGACCAGCAGTCCCTGCGCCGGAGAAGGGGCATCCTGCGGTCATGCAGCTGGAATCAGACATCGTGAAGCCTAGTCACAGTTAGTTTGCATCTGTAAACAACAGAGAAATCAATTAAAAGGGATACGTACTTCTTCCATAGAAGCCAAGTCCCAGATTCACTTTGGATGGATCAATGTTGTTTCTCCATAGTAGATCCAAGCTTTCGGTGATTTCTGTAAGGTTGGTGTGTGCGAGCGCGACGGAACCAATGTATGGGTCCGTGCTATCCCACACTCCGTGCAGATCATACGTCATTACGTTGAACCAGTCGATAATCGGATCGATGGATACGATGTCAAAATGCTGCATGTACCAGTATGATGATGGCTGATTCAATGTTAGTATACTAGCCTCCATGCTATGAATATGGATGAGGGATGCATACTAAGGTAATCGATAATCCGAAGTTGTAACTACTAGCGTCGAACGCATCGCGGAGGTTCTGCAAGAAGCTGACGTAGTTGTCAAAATCGGCATCAGTCCCGTATCTGTCCGTTGCAGCTGGATACTCCCTGGAAGTTTGCGCTGTGAGTAAAAATTATCGAAAAATGGAAAAGGAAGGAGGGAAAAGAATGAACTTCGGTTCCTTACCAATCAACATCCAGGCCATCAAATCCTTTATTAATCATGAGTGATATCACAGATGCGAAGAATGTCTTCTGTGCTGATTTTGATGCCACCAGGTCTGAAAACGTATGCTCAGTTGAGCCTTCGTCATTAAAGGACCAACCGCCCACACTGATCCAAACCTTGAGATCAGGTTGCTTATTCTTGAGATCAGTCACGTTCGCATAGAGTGACCCTGTTTCGCTATCCATAGCAGCCACTTCGAATGTGTCTGGATCAATATAGAGAAAAGCATAGTTGAGATGAGTGTAGTATCCGAGGGGAATCTCATCGGGTGTCATAGCTAGCGTCGACCATTCATATTAGCAATCGTATGTATAAGGGCACCAAGCTTGAATTCTGATCTCACATTGACATGATTTCTCCAAGCTCCAACCTTCATAATATCCAATTGTGCGTGCATCGGAGCTGGTTCCAGAGCAAGAAGGCCGAGTGACAGTAGTATCTCCGCAAAAGTCGGAAGTGGTTCCTGGCGGACGTCAGTCTATCTCTTCCTCTATGACTGTTTGGAGTACAAACCGCAGAACCCGTAATCACTGCAGCATACCTGTAACGGGCATTTTGTCTCGTTATACATAGAAGACGGCCATCCTCCAGGGTTGCACTCGGCCTTGTAATCGCATGTCGATGTGCAGTTCCCTTTACCGCAAAACGTGGGACCCGTTCCACAAATGTAGCTAAGAGACAGGTGAGCATGTCAGTAATTGAAGGCCATTAAGTGTTCGGGTTCAATCTGAGAGATTTCTTCCTCACTCGTTTCCCTCTATTCCTCCATTGCCACAACACCCGGTAGTGCACAAATCAGTGGCGCTGCAAGATAAATCTGAGTCGTCACCAAGTACCATCCGCAATGAAAAGGTAGACAAAAGCAAGGCATACAATGCCCCTCGCCAAATGGTGTAAACCATATTGACTATTCTCAATATGAGAGATGAAGTTAATACCGATGCTCAACGGGAAGGACAATCAGAAAACTTTGGCATTCAGTATAATTGGCTTTTCCCTCGGAAGGAGTCTACAACATGTTCAATCTAGTTGATTCTATTCTTATCGGGCCTTGTCGGCTAGCCAGAACTATCAGCATCCTGCAATACCCCTCCTGTCCGATACAGTCCCACTTTCACAATTTTTTTTTCCCCCTGGTGGCTGTATCAATGTGCATTTTTCAAAAAGTTTGTAGTCCTTAATTTCAGAAAAAGCTTTTTAAGATTAAGCCTCCACATGATAGTCAGCCTTCGGCATTTATTGGTGGAAACTAGGAAGTCATCTTTACTAGAGCCTCAAGCCATGATCATTTGGAAAAACAAGCAGGCTTGGCATGCTTAAACGCTTCATTTGATTCAACAGGCTTACGATATTTGGCAAAGCGTGGCTTATCAAGCAGGCCTGAGCGCCAGGGCCAGGTCCGTATCACAAATGTAATGCGTATTTTATCTTCGTACAGGCGTATAATACACTAGTAAAGACGCTTGTACTGACCGGGTAATAGTATTCTTCTCCACATAGCGTGTCTAGGTGACATCGCCAAATTTGCAGACGCTCATGGCTTGTAAGCTCCGAGATAGTGAGATGGATCACGCGAACCTCTGAAATGCAAGCGAAATTAGCATTGAATCCTGCCATACAAATGGGAATGCGAGAGCGGGGCTCCGGCTGCAAGGACAAAAGTAGTCACGGATAAACGGACACAGCCCGAGAGACCAGGACAATAAGGCGAAAAGAAGTAAATCCCAAGTTTACTTCATTCATCTGTGTTTTTGCAAGCAATTGGCTGAAAGAGTCTCCTCTCATTCATTCATTGATTCATTCATTCATTTATTCATTCATTGATTCATTCATTGATTCATTCATTCATTCATGCTCATTTTATCACCAGACTCTGTGCTTTAGACACGATGCCTCAAGTCGTGCGCCATGGAACGTTGGGTACCTGGTTTCTATTTTCTTCCCTCGTCGTTTCTGTCTACGGATCAATTCATGGAGCCTATTATGGCCATGGCCATCATAATAAAATAGCGAAAAGAGCGACGGGAATCACTTCGCCAGATGACCCTACGCAGACAGGCACGATCAGCACTTGCAATCTTTGGTACGACATTGTCGATGGAGACACATGTGCGTATATATTTCTCTCTGACTTCAACTGAAAAGCCTCGAGTGTTTGGAGATTGGAAAAGTCCAAATATTCTTGGGAGAATCGTCCCTTGACTGACATATTCCCATCATGCTTAGGTGCCTCTGTGGAAGAGGCCTTCGGTATCACATCGGAGCAATTTCTGGCATGGAACCCTGCTGTCTCATCAGATTGCGAGACAAACTTTTGGGTTTCAGATTCTTACTGCGTAGGAACTGGCACTGTCGTGGCAAGCTCAGCTACATCAACCACATCATCATCAACATCTTCTTCTGGGTCGATGACAGCGATAACAACAGGCCCTGATGAGCCAACCCCAACTGGGCAAGCCAGCAATTGCAACGCCTGGTACGATGTGGTATCAGGAGACACATGTTTGTCCGCTTCAACATGATCAGATGCTGAATATTTCTGACTGAATCCTTGATACATAGGTCCCTCTATTGAAACGGCATTTGGTATCACATCTGCCCAGTTTCTAGCATGGAACCCATCTATTTCGTCCGACTGTAGCTCTGGACTTTTATATGGATTTTCGTATTGCGTTGGTGTCAATTCCAATATTACGAGTGTCGCCTCCACGTCCACTGCCCTGATCAAAACGAGCCAAACTGCGACATATTCAGTCCTTGCGGCAAGCTCGCATGTTGTATCTGCATGGCCGACTGCCACAGAGTTTCCTCCAAGTCCAACACAGACTGGAACCCTTTCCACGTGTAATATCCCATTTCCTACTTCTGATAACTCTGATCAATCATCTTTTTCTAGTGCTATAGATACTGATGTGCTATTGAATCTCTTCCAGGTATTCGATACTATCAGGCTCAACAAGGGGACACTTGCCAGATAATCGTGAACCGTTACTCGCATCTTATCAACATGGATGACTTGTAAGTATGCAGTCCGAACCTACTTGTCAAATTCTGAGCTCACGCATATACAGTCTGTCCTGGAATCCTGCTGTTGGTGAAAATTGCACTTCACTATACGTGGCTTACTATTACTGTATTGATGGGCCATTGGCAATGGATAATTCAACTGCAACAACACAAATTATCCTTGGAGGATGGACTGCCGCTGCTCTTCCGACAATGAACTCAACATTTGCTCCTTCCCCAACTGCCTCTGGGTTGATTTCTTCATGTCAAGGATATTATGAAGCGAGTGAGGTATGAATATTCGAACCCGATTTTGAATCTTCTAACCAGCTCTCCTCCCTCTAACATCCTTTTCCATAGTATGACACTTGTGACAACGTAACATCATCCCTCGGCTATCTCGACGTTGCCGAATTTGAAGATTGGAACACAGGAATCAATTGTTCCACATCTCTAACTGACGGTACATACTACTGTGTCGCCAATTTCACCAGTGATCCTCTTCCATCCACAGTGTCTGTTCTGCCCAGTCCTGTGCAAACTGGTATAGTCTCTACGTGCGTAGGTTGGTACCTTGCAGATGATGACGACACGTGTGAGGACATATCGGACATCTTTGGTACATTTGATGAGGCCGACTTCATCTCCTGGAACCCCGCTGTGGGCTCTGACTGCTCCGGTCTGACTGCAGGTGATTATTATTGTATTGCCATTCCTGGAACCCCAACCACTGCTACTAGCACGGCTACCACAGCTACGTACTCGACGAACGGAGTGGGGCCGCAACCTGAGCAAACTGGCATTTCTGACGATTGTTCTTCATATTGGCTTGTTGGAGTGTAATTCTCCCCCTACCCTTTGCAGCGATCGCTCTGAAATTTGCCATTGGACTCTTACTCACAGCGTTGATAGGGATGACACGTGTGCCACCATTGAAGAGGCAAACAGCATTACTGAAGAGCAGTTCTTGGATTGGAATCCTGCCCTTGGCTCCGATTGTTCCAATTTGTTAGAAGACTACTATGTCTGTGTTTTGATGCCGAATGCCACTACTACCGGTGGAAATTTGACAGTTTCTACCGATAACTCAACAACAACTTCTAGCACTAGCACTAGCACTATCACGACAACGACAACGACTGGCGTCTCTCTTTCAACACCCACACCTTATCAGGTCAGTTTCCATAGCACGATTTCTTACCCTTTTCTCTGTGAAGCCTCTGCTTATCGTTTACGAATAGTCTGGCATGGTCTCTGGATGTGAACGCTTTTACTTGGTCGAAAGCGGCAATGACTGTTATGATATCGCCCTCGAGGCCAACATCGCCGTCACGGACTTGTACACCTGGAATCCTGCCCTGGGAACTGACTGTTCGGGTCTTGAAGCTGGTGAATATGTCTGTCTTGGAACCTCTGGGCAGCCCACAACCATAACTTCCGGCACTGCAGTTCCAGCTACTCCCAGCCCAACACAGGTAAGCGTCATGAGTTTATACACAATTTCCATGCGCGATTGATTTCTAATGTTCTCCTTAGACGGGTATGGTAAGTGGGTGTCTTCGATTCTATTATGTAGAGTCTGGAGATGATTGTTATGACATCGCCCTTGATGCGGGAATATCGCTTGAGTGAGTGCAACTACTGAGCCCCCTTCTTTCTTTTCTCCGTTCCCTTTTTACATCGTCTAACTCAATCTTTCTGTCCATCAGCAATTTCTACAGCTGGAATCCGGCGGTTTCAGACTGTTCAGATCTAGAAGTCGGTTTCTTCGTATGTATCGGGACTTCTGGTCAAGCCACTACTATCACTAGTGGGACACCTGTAGCCGCGTCTGCAACAGCAACAGCGACTTCATCGTGATCTGCTATCTGCACAATGTACCGTACTAGAGTAATAACGATTATGCGACTGTTAACAAATATCACACATTGCTTTGACTTTGCTGGATCTTTTGACGTTGTTTTAGCTTCCTCCTCTCCCTGAGCCAGCTAAAAGTCATGGATTTCGGATCCTCGATGCCTATATGCGAGCTGCCGTCCGATAAGTCCGTGGAATTTCCATCGGGGGACGAAAAACAGTAGGCATATTTGATGGTGGTACTCCGGCACTTGTACGCTTTATACCTGACGGCATTGTTTTTCGCCCTTCTTTGTTCTTCTTTCTCTTTCAGCCAAGGCTTCACTCTGTTCCTCAACACCTGGTAAACCTTGGTGTAGAAATAAACTTCAAAGACTTCCAGGTCATTGTTTCCCTCGACCATAGTCTCTAC